CAAGGTTGCTCCTCATCATAGTGTGTGTGTTGTATCACCACTACCTGACATCTGAAGGTGCCCATAGCAGGTTAGCAGTCCAGATCAAGATAGAACCAAAGGCAGTAGTCCACTGCGGTCCGGGGATCACTTCAAGCATCAAGTCAACACACTGGACACTCGTGTTGACACCACCAACCTTATCACCAACACCATCAACCTCATTATCATCAACACCCACCAACCTTATCACCAACATCATCAATGTCATCATCATCAACACTCACACCAGACCTTGGTGTCATCATAGCATTGATATTGATCGTGCCGAGCTACCCCTGAACGGAGTGTCCACAGAGGTCAGCCGAAACCTACGATAGTATATACAACGAACGCCACCTGCTGTCACTGCGCAACTTGATAGTCACCGATACCAAGACAATAGCTGTTGCACAGTTTGATAGTCACCGAGTATCTCGACAGACCGACCTGGGTTTCAGGCGCGAGACCCCTGACATCCATGGTCTCCATGGAGACTGCGCTACGACCATGCTCTCTACTGGTATCGACTAGATCTCCGATACCTGTGCTCCTTCCATATGAACCAGTGACCCTCCTGCTTCTTGAGCATTCAGGCCCATGACAGGGGGCAAGGACCCTCAGCTGTGGTGGCAAGCTTGGCAGCATCTCAGATCAGTATGCATGTTCTTTGGAGCCATCAGATGCCTGGTTTGAGGGTATGGGTGATGAAACTGACCTAAGTTCTCTGTCTGGCTTGTCATCTGGATGCTCGCAGAAGGTATCCGCTGGCCCAGGAGGACCCAGGTGCTTGAGGGTGTCATTGGCCCATTCAGGAAGTGGGGTTTCCCCTTCAAACACTGTATCTTGCTCTGGCATTGGGCATTAGACATCATTGAGGGGTTGTTGTAAATCTTCATCATGTATGTTGATGTCATTGTAGCTGAAATCCTCGATATTGGCTCCAGAGTTGTAATGTAAAGCATCCATATCTTGAATCTGGGTGGTGTCAGTGCAGTCATTCCATGACCTGTCTTGCAGGAAGTGTGCTGAGTTTGACCAGAAGATCAGTGGATTATGGTTCAGAGCCAGGAACTTCCACCCCTTATGCTCTTCATCATATCTGACAAAGATTGCTGGGTTTGCCAGCTCATCAAGCTTTTTGCATTTCACTCAGGGTATGTTTACCCAAGTGAGGCAACCAAAGGTCCAGAGCATGTCAAACAGCTTTTGGGGATCTTTTTGGTAGAAAATGTGGTATGGGATCCAGTTTTTGATGTTCAGCCAGAGGTTCTTTGTGAATGCAGTGGCCTCAGCAGCGAAAGGCCAGAACATCTGTGGCAAGTGGTGTGTGCGCATCATAGTGATCATCATCTCTCTGATCATTTTGATCATGTGCTCAGCCCTGCTGTTTTGCTCACTGGTGTATGGCAAAGTCTTTTGCCAGCAGAGGCCAGTTTCATTCTGCCAGTGAATGGCTGCTGCCAAGACCCATACCTCCATTATCTGAGTGAAGGGTTTTGAGCTTATGACCTGTCTGTACCTTGGCATATGTAATTCACTCTTTCAGGACTTGCAAAGCATCTGATTTTGCCTGGAGTGGTTTCACATATGTAAAACTAGAGGCATCATCAATAGCAACTAGCAAACATGTGACTTCAGTTTTTGTCAACCAGTGTGTAGCCAGAATGACATGCACTAGTTCTAATGGGTCTTTAGCACATGTACCATGTCAGCGGTCGCATGCCTGAAACCTGAGATCGGTGGTAGTATCGATACTATTACCGATTCTGTCGAGTTATGCAACAACACTAGTGGTATTATGATTCTTGGTGAAATATGCAATAGAGCTGTCTCTATCACTTTTCACACTCGAATCTGTAGTTGTAGTAATGCTATTGCAGATTTTGACTAACCGCTGTGGACACTCTGTCCAGAGGTAGCTCGGCATGATCAATATCAATACTTCAGTGGTGAACTTGATGATGACACCAAAGGTCTGGTGTGAGTGTGGGTACTGGTGGCATCAACACGAGTGTCCAGTGTGTTGACTGATGCTTGAGGTGATCCCCAGACTGCAGTGGACTACTGCCTTCAGTTCTATCTATATCCAGACCACTGACCTGCTATGGGCCACCTTCGGACATCAGGTAGTGGTGATACAACACATGCACTATGATGAGGAGCAACCTTGATAGATTGCTACTATGCTGACTGAAACTAATATATACTTATGCTGAAGTGATAACTAGTTATGATGTGTGTAGAGTGGATGAGGATCCACTTGACCTTTGATGATGAGAAAGTATGGTTATATACCTCTTCACAGCATCACCAGTGACGCTGCTCCTGCTCTCTCTCTCCAGAGAGTACCCTCTTCATCGAGTACTGTACAGGGGGCCCCTCTAGCACCACTCCTGTCCTCCTTGAGCTATCCTGCTTGCTTGGCACCCCTGTGCCTCTTGAGCTGTGTTGACTCCTTCGACACTGCTCCTCCTCCTTGCTATCCTGCTTGCTTGGCACCCCTGTGCCTCCTGAGTGGTAACTGTCTGCATGCTCCTTGAGCTTGGTCCTCTTCGTGGCTGTGCCTGGCCCTCCTTGCATATGGGCCCGGTCCTCCTTTGCATGTGAATCTGTAGGAGTCCATGGTCTCCATGGAGACTGCACTATGACCATGCCCTCTACTGGTATTGACTAGATCCTCGATACCTGTGCTCCTTCCATATGCACCAGTGACCCTCCTGCTTCTTGAGTATTCAGGCCCATGACAGGGGGTTCCAAGCGTACCAGTTCTTGGTTGTGAGCTTGGGGGCCTCCTTGAGAGCATCATGAGTGCAGGAGAGTCTTTGGTGGAAATCTGATCAGCATGAGGGTTTCTTGTATGCATTGGAGTTTTTGGCTTTGTTGCATTTAGTAAGTTCAATGAGCATGCCTTTGAGCATTTTGGGGTTTAGTCTGGAGATGGTGTCAATGTTGTAGTGAGTTTCATTGCCATCATCATTGTCATCAGAGTTGTAGCAAGAAGGTGTCTCTGTACCAACTAGCATCTGCCTGTGTGGTGCAGTGGGGGCTCTTTCCTTATGTGGTTCATTGGACAGATTGCTGCTCTTGGCATCTGAATTGCAGGTGCATGGAGGCATACTGAGTTGTTGGGCTTGGCAGAGGCAGGCCCTTTCTTTGGGTGGCAGAGGCAGGTGAGGATACAGATCAGACAGCATGGTGAAGTGGGGCAGTATTCCTACAGCAGAGCTTCAGACTCTTAATCTGTTGAGAAAAGCATGGTCAAGGCAGTCAAGCGAGTGGCAATATTGTTAGCATTTTTAGAGAGCTAAGTACAAAGGAATATCATGAGTATATATATGCTTCTGTGTCAAGCAATGTGTGTGTATGCCTATGAGGTGACATGTATGAGGATGTACCACTGTTGAATGAGATAGGGGCATTGGTGGGTGGTGCTGAGTGTTGGTGGGAGTTGATGGGTGGCGATGCAAAAGTGAAGTTTGTGGTCATGTTAGAACATGGACGTGTGGTCATGTGATTTCACTATCTCGAGACCAACAGACGATCTGAACTGAGACATTCCTGTCAATTCAGCCCAAGATGTCTTTCACCGCCAAAGTGCCTCGTACAAAAGGACACGGAACACCGCGTCTTTTCTTTTTTTTTTTTTTTTTTTTTTTTTTTTTTTTTTTTTTTTTTTTCTTTTTTTCTTTCTTTTTTTTCTCGAACTCGCTTGTCGGTTCACACCAAGATGTCGATCTCTGTAGTCTTGATATGTTTCGCCAAGACAGGATCAAGCAGGCAATGGCGATGATCAGGTTCCATTTGAAAAGCACTCGAGTTTGAACAGTCGCACACAGGCGCCCAAGTCAAGTCGCCTGTACCGTTGTTAATTGATGCATCTCGATTTCTGCAGTTGGGCGTTTTGTCTGCTGTCTGCTGGAGAGAATTGATGGAAATTGAGCATTAATGTGCACAATGTTCAAGTTGTGCGCTTTCTTGCTTTCTTGCTTGCTTGCTTGCTTGCTTGCTGACCGCAACACACAGTTGGGAAATGTTCGAGGCCAGCGAAAAAAAGAAAAAGAAAAAGAAAAAAGAAAAAAGAAAAAAGAATAAAAAGTAACAGGACATCCACAGACTGTGTGGGTTTCCAGTTGTCTGTGAAATTTGGCTTGGACAGCCGATGTTCAGGGTGAAACTCGCGCGACCCCTTGAAATTTGGTCAACAGACTGAAATTGCGCAGTGTGTCTGGCCAGCGAGAATTTATTTAATTTGACTGCAGCAGGGCAAAGCACCAGAGCACCAGAGCAGCAGAGCACCAGAGCAGCAGAGCAGCCTTTCTTTTGCTTCACTTTACTCCGCTGTGCTGTGCTGTGCTGTGCTGTGCTGTGCGGTGCGGTTAGGCTGTGGTTGAGATTCAGTGTTGGTTTTGCGTTCCCTTTCCATCCTCATCCTCATCCTCCATCTGCGACGATTGCTGCTACCCATCACCACCCACCCCCGCATCATCGTCAACACCATCATCGACGTTCGGAGTACGCTTTTCGCCAAACATTTGCAGATCGTGCTCGTTGCGGTGTGCACAATCATCAACTGCGGCCATCCTTGCTCCCTTTCATCAGCATAGCGAACCTCGCACCCTCATCAGGACACCAGCTCCACAACTCCATCACAGAAAGAGCGTACAGCTTTCGATTGCTTCATTGTCACACTCACCGAAAATCTGCTTTCATCACACGGACCTTGGAAGTGTTTGCAGCCGACTCACCCTCGCCACCCTCTCCACCCTCGCCACCTGGACCTTGATACACCACCTCAGTGTCTGTCCTACCATCAGCCCATCGCACAGCTCAGGCATCTTGACGCAGCAGTGACGCTCACCATCGCTAATTGGGCTCTTCAGCCTTTCCACCCTCACTCGCGCCTGCTCCTCAAGCGCCTCGCCTCGCCTCACCCATTTCCCCTGTCCCCCCCTTGACCCGCACAAGCTGCTTCCGCCGCCATGTCGGTCAAGAACGCCCACAACCCCTTCTCAACGCCGCTCGAGACCCTCTCGCACAATGATCCTCTCGCAGAGACTGCCGGCCTGAAGTCCGACTACGACAAGCGTGCATACGGAGAAGCCAATCCATCTCTCGTTGGCACACTCGAAAAGGATGACCTTGCCAATCGACCCATCGATGCCGTCGAAGAAGTGCCCGCCACTTCCATCCGCAAATGGTGGGTCCGTCTCACCTGGTTCACTACCTGGTGGATCCCTTCTTTCGCTCTTTCCAAATGCGGCGGTATGAAGCGTCCAGATGTTCAGATGGCATGGCGTGAAAAGTTTACCATCTGCGCCATCATCTTCTGGTTGTGCGCCATCATTCTCTTCTACATTATCGCCTTCGGTCGTCTTCTCTGTCCAGACTACGACAAGGCATGGAACTTGAGTCAGCTAAGCCAGCACGCCGGCGAGACCGACTACTACGCCGCTGTCCGCGGTACTGTTTACGATTTCACCAAGTTCTACCATGGCGACCACTCGGACATTCCCAACTTGCAGACCAGTTCCGACCTTATGCTTCAGCTCGCAGGTCAGGATCTCACCCAATACTTCCCTGTCCCACTCACTGTCGGCTGCCAGTCGCTCGTGTCGGATAGCTCGCTTGCCCTCATGCCTACCGCCAACAACACTCCTGCCATCTCTCAGGCTGTTCACACTTCCGGTCCCTTGCAAGGCGATGCCAGTTCCAAGCTTCACGACATCAACTGGTACCCCGACCGCTTCCTTCCCTTTGCCAACAAGCTCCGCAAAGGCTACTACGTCTACTCGAACAAGGACATTGCCGATCAGGGCCAGTACAGGCAGTGGGCTGTTGTCAACAGCAAGCTCTACGATATCTCGGACTATCTCAACACCATCTCCATCTATCAGACCAATCCAGCCTACGATTTCCTCGACTCTTCCATCATCTCGCTATTCAAGTCGCAGGCCGGTGGTGACATTACCGCCGATTTCAACGATGTTATGATGACTTTCAATGAGACCTACCGTGGCGCTATTCAGGCTTGTCTCGACAATACCTTCTACGTCGGCAAGACTGACTTCCGTAACACGGCCAAGTGTCAAGTCCAGAACTACCTCTTGCTCGCCTTCTCCGTGCTTCTCGTCACCACGGTGTTGGCCAAGTTCATTGCCGCTCTGCAACTCGGCACCAAACGGACACCCGAACAGCAGAACAAGTTTGTCATTTGCCAGGTCCCATGTTACACCGAAGGTGAAGATGAGTTGCGAAAGACGATCGACTCGTTGGCTGGTCTCGAGTACGACGACAAGCGCAAGCTCCTTTTCCTCATCTGTGACGGTATGATTGTCGGCAGCGGTAACGACCGATCTACACCCCGTATCGTGCTCGACATTCTCGGCGTCGACCCCAAGATCGACCCGGAGCCTCTGATGTTCAAGTCGGTTGCCGAAGGTTCCAAGCAGCTCAATTACGCCAAGGTCTACTCGGGTCTCTACGAGTTTGAAGGTCACGTGGTTCCCTATATTGTCGTTGTCAAGGTCGGTCGTCCGAGCGAGCGTTCGCGTCCCGGTAACCGTGGTAAGCGTGACTCCCAGATCCTGCTCATGCGCTACCTCAACCGCGTCCACTTTGACGCTCCCATGTTCCCCGTCGAGCTCGAAATCTATCACCAGATGAAGAACGTGATCGGTATTGATCCGGCATTCTACGAGTACATCCTCATGGTCGATGCCGATACGCGCGTTGAGGCTGATGGTCTCAACCGATTGGTGGCCAACTGTGCCGATGACTCGAGAGTCATTGCGATCTGTGGTGAAACGACGCTGGACAATGCCGAGGGTACGTGGTGGACCATGATCCAGGTGTACGAGTATTACATCTCGCATCATCTGGCCAAGGCATTCGAATCGCTGTTTGGAAGTGTCACCTGTCTTCCCGGTTGTTTCTCGCTCTACCGTATTCGAAGCTCGGACAAGGGACGTCCTCTGTTCATCTCGAACCGCATCATTGACGACTATTCGGAGAACCGGGTGGATACACTGCACAAGAAGAACCTGCTCCATCTGGGTGAAGATCGATACCTGACTACGCTCGTTCTCAAGAACTTCCCCACTTTCCGAACCAAGTTTATCGCTCATGCCAAGGCTTTGACGAGCGCTCCTGAGCGATTTGGTGTCTTGCTCTCGCAGCGTCGGCGATGGATCAACTCGACTGTCCACAACTTGGCCGAGCTGGTGCTGATGCCCGAGCTGTGTGGTTTCTGTCTGTTCTCGATGCGATTCATCGTGTTTATCGACTTGCTCGGTACTGTTATTTTGCCTGCCACTGCCGTCTACCTGGTTTACTTGATCGTCACTGTAGCGAGTCACCAGGCTGCGATCCCGTACATTTCGATTGCCATGATTGCAGCAGTGTACGGCTTGCAGGCGATTCTGTTCTTGCTCAAGCGACAGTGGCAGTACATTGGATGGCTCATCATTTACATCTTGGCCTACCCGGTCTTCTCGTTTTTCCTGCCCATCTACTCCTTCTGGCACATGGACGACTTTTCCTGGGGTAACACACGTATCGTCGTCGGCGAAAAGGGTAACAAGAAGATTGTTGCTGGTACGGATGACGAGCCGTACGATGATACGATGATTCCAGTCAAACGTTTCAGCGAGTACCAGCGAGAGGTTTGGGAGGAAGGAGCGGCTGCCTCGATTCGATCGGGCATGACGGGTGCAAGTGGACCGTTTGGCAATTCGCAGGCTATCTTGCACAGTGGCCCACCTAGCTTGTACAAGGCTGGTAGCGCGTATGCTGGCAGTGTTGCTGGATCCGACTATGGACAAGGCTTTGTTGGTGATTACTACCAGAACACCAATGTCATTGCAAAGCCAGTGCACTCGCGTCAGACTTCGGCAGCGGCCTTGTCGCAGATGGGTGGGAGTCAACCAGCGTCGATGGTGTTTGGTGGTACACCTTCGATGTACGGAATGGCGGGGATGGGGATGGGATCGATGGGGATGGGATCGATGGGGATGGGATCGATGGGGATGGGATCGATGGGGATGGGATCGATGTACGGCATGCCTGGATCTTCGACGTCGATTTATGGAATGGCGAATCCGATGATGGGCAACGCGACAGGATCAATGTACGCAATGCCACCGATGCTTGGCAATCCTCTGGCTGCCATGTCGCATCACTCGCCGGCCAACTCGGACATTGGTCTCGCCATGCCGCTCTCGCAGCAGAATACGGGCAACAAGAACAATGACAGCAACATCTGGGCCCAGCAGGAGCAGCAGCAGCAACAGCAGCAGCCGAGCTCCGCATCACCAGACGGAGGAGCCAGGCCGATCTCGACCTACTCGGCTCTCAACGCATCCAACCCCTTCGCCGCGGCACCTGCACCTGCCAGAGCTCTGCCGATCAACGATGCGGCCGATCCAACGGATGAAGAGATCAAAGCGGCGGTTCAGACCTACTTGGCAAACCAGCCTAGCTTGATGAATGTCACCAAGAGATCGGTGAGGGAGGCGCTGGTAGCAGCTTTCCCGAATGCAGAGTTGGGAGGAAAGAAGCAGATGATCAACAAGGCTATTGATGCTACGCTGAGTGGTGGTGCTCAGGCGTAGAAGCGCGGGCTGGAGGAGTAGTGGAGAGGATCATTAAAGGCACACACACACACACACACACACACACACATACACACACTCATACTTGCGTTCCTTTTTGTTTTTCGCAATCTCATGGACTTTCGTTTGACAGGCCACTCGGCTTTTTGTGTGTGATGATGGTGAGAGGTAAAGAGTGAGGACAAGATCTGAACAGAATCGTGATTCGGATCGCGGACTGGCTTGGGTGGAGTGGTGAATGATCTAGAAGCTTTTACGCGATCCACATTTTATTAACGACATGCTCTTCCGCTTTGCAACCGATCTATATCGGCGGTGGCGGATGGCAGATGATGAAACAGGGTCCAGCAAGGAGTTGCCTCTCTCTCTCTCTCTCTCTCTCTCTCGCTCCCTTGGCTTTGTTCCCGATGATGACGAGATTCGGTTCATTAAGTGATTGCGATCTTGCTCCGACGATCGGCATCCAAGACCTCCACCGCCTGTGCATATCTCAAGGCACTTTTGGAGTCAGAGCAAGTTTGCTTTTTCGGCCGTTCCTTGGCAAACCCAAAAGGAGAAGCGTGTGAAGAAAAAGGATGTGACTAACTTTGTTGCTGCTCCAGTTGTCGGTGGTGCCGACAAGGATGACTCTGCAAATAGAACGGTTGCGCTTTTTGTAGTTTGAAATCCTTTTGGTGGAGCAATACAGTTTGAAATGATTGTTTTTTTTTTTCTTTTTTTTTCTTCTTTTTTTCTTTTTTTTCTTGTGATTTCAGGCGATTCGATCCTTCATCTCATCACACTAACCCTTTCTCGGCCATTCAACCGATCGGCAAGGACCGATAGGGCAGTAGCAGCAGCAGTCAAGGCGGGAGCATCGCATTACATATACCAGCTGGGTTCAATGTCACTCGCTTGGCGTTAGCGGATCATGTCCACTTTACAACCACCATCATCATCATCATCCGCAATCACTTCCACCTCTATACCTACTTCCACAACGCAACCTCCCTTGGCGCCCATCGGGGCAGATCAATCAACAGCAGCAACATCAACAGCAGCAACATCATCAGCATCAACCTCATCACCATCAACCCCTTCCTCATCGCAAGCAGCGACACCGACGGCATCGTCAAACACTGCCGCCAACACTGCCGCCAACACTGCCGCCAACACTGCCACCAACACTGCCACCAACACTGCCACCAACACTGCAGCTTCTACTCCATTAGCCTCCACATTGACATCGACACACTTGGCAACAGCAGCAACCGTCTCAGATTCAGCAAACCAAGAGGTAGACATGGCCCTCTCTACTGTCTCGCGTTCTGCTCCTGAACTTGTTCCTGCCGATATCGCTGGTGCCAAAGCCGTCAGTCCTGTCGCTTCCGCCACCATCCCACCAAATGCTGCTGCAGGTGTTACGCTTCCAGGATTGAACTTGCCCCTGATCAGCTCCATGGCTCCAGAAGAAGCTCAGCGTTACAGTCTCAACCTCTTGCACACCCTTGGGCCAGCCGCTTCTTTCACTTCAGCTCCACAAGCTTTTCCACCTCCTTCCCATTCGTCTCAGTCTTTCCAGTCGAAAATGTCGCCTTCGACACCTGCCACTGTGGTCAAACCCACCGATGTCGCTTTGTCTCCCGCTCTATCCGCTCCAGCTCCTGCAGTAGCTTCCATTTCCGCTCCTCCTAGCAGCAGCAACAACAACAGCAACAACAACAACACATCCGAAACAACCTCTACTCCTTCTTTGTCTGCTTCATCTGCAGCCAAAATGGCACCTGTAGTTGCCGGTGTGGGCACTTTGCCTCCCAACATCACCCCTTCTGCCGCTGTCAGTGCACCCAGCTCATCCGACACACTAGGCGCTATACCCACCAACAAGAACAATCCTGCTTTCCTCAACAAACTGCGCAGCATGGTCGACGATCCCAACACCGATGAGCTCATCCGTTGGTCTCCCGACGGTGCATCCTTCTTTGTCCCCAACCATGTCCGATTCGGTGACGATGTCCTTCCACGCTTCTTCAAGCACAATCGTTTCTCCTCCTTTGTCAGGCAACTCAACATGTACGGTTTCCACAAGGTGCCCCATCTTCAGCAGGGTGCCCTCAAACACGACTCGCCCCAGGAGAGCGAATTGTGGGAGTTCAGCAACCCGCATTTCCACAGAGACCACCCGGATTGGCTCTCGAAAGTGCAGCGCAAAAAGGGTCCTCGAGATGAAAAGGATGGCCATGGAGATCGCGAAGCTAGTGCCAGTACCGGCCAGGAGTTGATGCATGCAGGTGCTCTGATGCGTACCGATTTTGGCCCAGATGGTAGTGGAGAGGCTGGTGCACTTCAGCTAGCTAGTGTCTTGAATGCCATCAATGCCATCAAAAATGCCCAGACGAGCATTAGCGCCGATCTCCGTCATTTGCAGGACTCGAATCAGAATCTTTGGCACGAGGCAGTCGAGTCGAGACAGCGTGCTAAACGACAACAAGAGACGATCAACAAGATCTTGCGTTTCCTTGCAGGTGTCTTTGGTAATCAGCAAGATGCAGAGACGCCCCTGCCGGGCAAGAAGGTTTCAGCAAAGGGACGTGGCGGTGGTAGACGCGTTGCCGTTCGTCCGGGACAGCAACGTAGTAAGAGTCGACTTATGATTGAGGATGGCACTGAGTCTCGCTCTTGCTCTTCCGCTGCAACTGCTCGTGGTTTGCAAGACTTAGAATTGCCTACCGATGAGCAAGAGATCGAAGAGATGCCTTCGCATCTTCGTTTTCAGGACGCTAGCTGTGCAGACTCTCCAAAAAGTCACAGTCCGACTTCAGGCAACAGCGGCGGTTCGAGATTCACTCACATTGCTTCTCCACCTAGCAGTTCCAGCATGAACGATTTTAGCAGACAGCTGTCCGAGACCGTTTCGATGCCAGGTGGGTCCAGGAGGCTTTCCTCGCAGGCGAGTAACCAGGTGTTGAATGCACTTGCTTCGGGAGAGGGTAATGCTTGGTTGGCTAGTTTGTTTGGCGCTAGTCTTGCTAATCAGGGTTCTAAATCCACTGGGCCCGCTTCGGGTGGTGGATTGAAGTTGGATCCTCAGATGGTATCTGCTTTGCAGCAAGCATTGGCTAGTGCGGGGAGTGGTGGTGCAGGTGGTGCGCTCAATATCGGCGACAATGCGAATGATTACTTCAATGGCAGCAGCAACACAAGCAACAGCAGCGGTAGTGGTGGAGGTGGAGATGATTTCTCATCCAGGTTCTCTGCTTTCCCTTCCGGTAATGGCAGCGCTTCTAACCAGCAACAAGGTTCGAATTCCTCCAGTTCAGCTTCTGGTCAGGCTTTGGGTCTGGACGCAGATGCACTTGCACGCATTGCAGATATCTCTCAAGCGCTCGTTCAGTCTCCATCTCGACAAAATGCAAGCCTAGCCAACAGCAGCAGCGGCACTAACAACCACTACTCCCCAGTCAAAGGTTCCAACTCGGGCAGCTTGTTCGACAGCCACGACGATAGCAATAACAACAATCAGCAGCTTGCCCTATCTCTGTCTCGAGCTACCCGGGATCTGCAGAATACATCCAACGACGTCGACCAGGTGCAAAACAGCATCAACTCGCTTCTCGAAGGTCTCCAGACCAATCCGAATTTGTTGCACAACATTGCTGCTCAGTCCTCGTCTGCACCAGTACCCTGGCAGAACACAGATCCCAATACGGCATTTGGTGCTGGCATGTTGGGCAACCAACCTAACTCTTCTTACAACGATCCTAGCCACTCGACTCACTTGAGTGCGGGTGCAGGCGGTACAGGTGCGACCCCACCCTCAACCTCGGCTCCCGCCGCAACTGCAGGAATGGACTCCGACTTTGACGTAGACCAGTTCCTCAGTCAATTCGTCGATTCCTCCCAGGCTCCAGGTGGTGGCGTTACAAGTCCTACTGCGGGCAACGCTTTTGGAGAAAGCCCTTCCTTCGCATTCAGTCCAGCTACTACGGCTGCCTTCTTGCATGGTGGAGTGACGGATCCGAATGAGCCAAGTGGGATTTATGCACACGAGATTGCCTCTAGTTCGGGCACTAGTTCGAGTAGTACCACTCCTCCGAGTAGCGCAGTCGGAGTGCGGCCGGTGGGTGGGAAGAAGCGAAAACCTTCGCAGAGTGGTGGAGCGAATGGAATGGTAGATGTGGAAATCGGGGTGCGGCCAAGTAAGAAGAGTGCTGCGAGGAACAAGTAGGTGACCGTTTGTGTGCATTTGTAACGCATTTGTGTTTGCTGTAATCTAGCTTTGCTCTGTCTCTTTGCGCTACAACGTCTCGGTGTGTGCTCATGCATTGCGACAGTTGATTGAGAGTGTACATATGTCGACAAGAGGAGTATATCAATGTGATGTCTCGTCTGTTTTTTCCTCGGCAACGACATGGGCTCTGACAGTTTCGTCCTGCGACCGAACGCGCTCCTCATCCGCTTGCTCGAACGGACGAAAACCTCTAGTGCGGAATAGAATGTCATCCATATCCAATGGACCTCTGAACTCTCTCCTGCCTCTGCCCATCCATGCTACACCACTCAAGAGGGCCACTACTGCAACGACTACGACAGTGTAATTCATATTGCTTCCTGTCGCTGGCAATTCTGGTGGGAAGAGGAAAAAAATATTAGTAAACACTACGAACATTACTGCCAAGATGTTTACCATCGGACCTAGTAACTTTCCCATATTCAACCTTCTCTTTTCTCCTTCTCGGCTAGCTTCATTCAGCGCTTTTCTGCCTCGACACAGAAGAAGGATAATCGGAATCATGTAGGATACTTGCAGTAAGACCACCGACGAAGACAGAATTGCGTTTAGAGCCGAAGATGAGCCGAGGTAGATACAGCCAAAGACGATCACCCATGTTGTGGTTAAGATGAGAGCTGGTATGGGAACTTGTTCTTTTCTACTGATCTTGGCCAAAAGTGTATGCATGGGAAGACCTTTATCCCTTGCGAAAGCTTGAGTCATCCTAGAGCTTGTAGTTAAAAGTGCTGTGGCGGTAAAGGCCATACTGCAAACGGGAAACATAAGTAGGCATACTGCTCCTGTCTTGTTTCCTACGGCTTGGTATATGATTTCCAATAGCGCTCCTGCCGGTGAATCGGTAACCGCAGCAAAATCACGTAGAACGAACAAGAAGACCATCAGGACGATAAAAGTTGAACCAGCACCAATGGCTACGGCCAGTATCATTGCTCTTGGTGCATTGATCGAGGGTTGATCAATTTCGTCTATCAGATGGGTTGCGCCATCGGAACCGATGAGAGAGAATGCTGCTTGGAGTAGGCCTAGGATCCAAGCCACACCGTTGGGCCATCCGGTGGTATTGGTGAATTGTGCAAATACGAATCGAGCTGATTGGTAGTTTGCACTGGCTCTAGCTAGACACGTCACCATGATTACTACTGCGCCCAGGAGTGACCAGAGCATCGCTATCCTGTTTAGACTGTCGAGCATCTTGACTCGGAAAGCATTTATAAGCCAAGCTCCGAGGCTGAATGCAACGTAAACCAGAAAGATGTGCCAATTCTTCTCTTGGTAATTAGGATGAAGCAAAGCGATTATACCGACGATGAATTGTCCAGCTAAACTACTAGCAGTTGCTGTGAGCGCTACCCATCCAGAGACCGAGATCCAACCGGTAAAGTATGCTATAGCATAACGGTACCGTGCGGGTGCTAGGAGGAAGCTCCAATGGTATTGCCCTCCCGTTGTTGGATATACGTGACAAATCTCTGCCATGCTTAATGCGGTCGACATTACGCCAACAAAGGCAACCAGCATACCCCAGAGTGTTACCGAAGGTCCACCAGAAACAAGCGCAGTAGACATGCTAGCAGAGGCCGCAGTCCAGGAATTCAGGATACAGTAACATAGACCGATCAGGGCTAGGGTCGAGAAATGCCTCTTGGGCAGATAAGTTCGGCTGGTCGAATCGGCATCTTGGAGGGAGGTATGGGGAGAATGGGGGGAAGAACGGTAATCGTGTAAAGCTTGTGTCTGCATTTGGGCTTGTTTCTCGGCTCTTATTGCTGGGTTGCTTGTAGTTTTGGGAGCGGTTGAAGAGGGAGAGCAAGGGGTTATGGAGGACGACATGATGCGATTCCACCTATCGACCGTGCAGTGGTAGGAGGTGAGTTGGTGATCGTGGTAAAGAGGCTAGAAGGGGGAGCAAAAAAAGGGGAAACAAGTCAACCTTTCCTGCAGGAGCTCCTCTTCTATACGTCCTTCAGCGTCAACTCAAGTGAGTCAAGTGAGGCACGATAAGCGCAATAGCAAGAGCAGATGAGGGGAAGAAGAAGAACAAGTGGCGCATGTCAAGCAACACAAAAGCGCTACCAACAAAGGATTGATAGGCACAACAGCATAGGACCAATCACAGCTTATGGCAACGGTAATACCCCGCACTTGACACCGAGCTCATCGTCCACTCACACAGTTGGACATAGATAAGTGGTAGAGCCACACAAAAAGTTGTTTCTCAGCCAGAAGGATCTTAGCCGAGAGTGCCAAGTTGGGCAACCAAGTTCCGCCCTCTACGCACCCCGAATGTTTGACTTTGTCGCCGTTGCAACTTGCTCTATTCCGCCTGCTTCCTCCTCTATGCTGATGGATGATGTGTTGCCAGAATACGAGTGACGAGGCAAAGGCGAAAAGAAGCTACAATGTGAGTAGTAGAGATAATCTCTTATAGAAGGGCAATAAGCGTTCCAGAACAAAGCCCACAGGAAGGCAAGTTCGGGCGGGGTTGACATGTTTTGGTCGCTACAGGGTACGCTAGCACCATCAGTATTCTGCCCTCGCTTGGTCGAGAAAAGGATCACTGGAGCCCAGAGAAGCCGAAGCGCTTTTGATCTGGAGCGAGATACCAAACTGCCACCGTAATGTCGGAAGAAATCGGTTCCCTGCTGCGACAGTTGAGCCGAACACCTTTTTTTTTTCCCCAACCTCTGTTAAACCGTGTCCCCGATGTCGGTCTATCGGGGGTTGCTGGAAAGGAGATCAAAAGTGGAGCGCAATTTCGCAACTCTCTCTCTCTCGCACGGAGCTGCTTTTGCAAAAGCAACACTTCTCCCTTCCTCCAAACCCTCATGACCCTCAACACTACCACCAACAGTACCAGCAGCGATGTCGAACTACGAAGGCGACGCAGAACCAATCGCCGGAGCCTCCTCGTCCACCTCGACCGCTCTCGGCAAACGAACTCGCAACGATGACCCATCCTCCACCACCACCTCCGCTCTCGATGCGGCGGATTCTTCCAACCTATCCCGTCTTTCCCCCGAGCCAGACGAAGATATGAACATGACCGAGGGTAAACACCCTGTCTGGTTGGTGAAAATTCCTAAATTTCTTCTTCAAGCTTGGAGTGTTATCCGAACAGACGACTTGCGGTTGGGTACAGTTAGGGTTTATGATCCGGATCATACAGGACATCAACGTATGGAACTCCTGTTGCCGGATCCTCCTCAGCCAGCGATACCTGCGGAGCCGGGCAAGGGGAGAGATGCGAGATGGGAAGGAATTCCAAGGGCATATGATTTGAAGTTGACCGCGGATAGTGCTGCGACTTTGAAGAGAAATATCTATGCGTTTAGGGAGAAGGTTGAGCATCTCGACCCCTTGGGTGCAGGCGCCATCAAGAAGGGAGAGGAGAGTTCCGAAGAGGATGACCAAGAGGCAGAGGAGGGTGGGAGGAGGAAGAAGAGGGGAAAGACGAGAAGAATCACTGCTCTCTGTGGGACAATTACCAACGAAGCTGCACTCCAACCTCAGATTCGCTCTTCCTCTTCCTCTTCCTCTTCCTCCTCCGCTGACATCAAACCTGCTCTCAGCGGGATTGGTAACGCAGCTCCCATCTCCGACTCTTACCGAGAACTGCTCCGACGCAGACGTGAAGAAGCATCGAAACCCAAACGCACGATCAAAATGCTCGACTCGACCGACACCGGACGACACAATATGCTGGTCGCTGGTGTAGGCGGCGGTCTTTCCAACAGCCAAAAGAGCCGTTTCAACGCTGCCATCTCCTCGAAACCGACAAAGAACTCTGGTGGGGCAGGAGGAGGGGAGAAGTTTGCTAGGATGCCCAAAAACGAGCTGCTGGATATGTTATTCGCCTTGTTTGAAAGGTGGCAGTATTGGAGTTTGAAGAAGTTAAGGGCGGAAACGCAACAACCGGAGAGTTACTTGAGGGAAGTATTGACAGGCATTGCGGATTTGCATAAGAGAGGTCCATATGTGGGTAATTGGAGCTTGAAGCCCGAATATAGCAGTGCGCGGAAAGAGGCTGAGGTGAAAGCGCAGATGGAGGAGCAGCAGGCGAGAGGGGCGAGTAGCAGCCAGAGTGGAGGCAAAGGGAAGCAAGTGATGGCGAATGATGAGGAGGAGGAAGATTTTGGTGAGAATGATGAAAGCAGTAACGACGACGATGATGATGATGGGCAGGATTTCGATCATGTGTAAACACTTGCATTCAGTTTGCTCTTCCTTTCTGTATCAAGTTCGGATTGCAATCAAACAAAGTTGAATGCAAGAATCACACCAAGAGGATGAAAGTGAGGCATCATCTCACACCAATGACAGTCGATCAGGCCAAAAGTTGAGAAGCCAGTGTGGATGAGGGGTACAAATTGCAATGACAACAAGTGTGGACGCAGCTGTGGATGCTTTTAGGTTTTGAGTTATACAGGCTTAATGATTCAATAGGTCTACTGCCGACTCTTACCCGCAACGGCCAACACTTCAGTCTCACCAATTGGTTGAGCGCTAAAGACCCTCCCTCTTTCGACGACCTTCTCCCCTGCCATGCCTGTAAACTCGCTATCCAACGTAGCACTTGGCAAATCAAAATCACCCAAGGGCGTCTCTGCTAAATACAACCTCCTCAATGCATCTTCCGCCGCTCGAAACTCTGCCATTCGAATACTACTTCCACTACCCTCGCCGATCTTTGTCGCACCGCTCCACACTCCTACGACGAAAATAGGACTGATGCTAAGACGGCCTGATTCGGCAATCATCCGGGATTGAGGCGCTTGTTTGCCGTATTTAGCGCAGGTGGAAACAAGGGCGTGTTTGGGATCGTTAAATTTGAGAAGGGAGGAGAGGTTGAGGGAGCGATTGAGGAAATGGGATGTGACGAAGGAACGGGCGGAGGAAAGACCTTGTTCTTGAAAAATGACGGCTGTCAGGGCTCGCATCGAGTCTGCTGCTACGTCACGGGAGAGGAGGGTTCGCATCGAGTTCAAGCCCGAGCCCGAGCCCGAGCCCGAGCCCGAGGAGAAAAAGGAGGGGAAGAGGGAACGAGGAGTAGCACCTCTTCCACCTCTCTTCTGGTTAAGATTGCTCTGGGTGGGGATACGAGCTTCTTTATTCCACCTCAAAATCCCTTGTCCAGCAAGACCAAGTTCCGCACCGACATCGGCAAGTGTTTGAGGACCTACATAGGCCGATACTGCCGCTTTCAACACTCGGGTTGGCAAGTTGGGGTATCGTAGATGCAGAAATTCGGTTGCTAGCATTCCTAACAATGAATTTCCGACGGTTGCTAACGCTGCATGGTGCTCTACCCCTCCTTTCGGCGACAAGCTCAAAAACTGCGCAGAGTCTAGTGGAGAGGCGCCTTCTTTCTTTGCGAGCCCAGAAACAGTTGCTGAGGATTCAAGCTGCAGATTGGCGGAAGCATTGACTTTGTCGACCAAAGCTTGGAAGGAGGGGTGGGTGCATGCTTGGTGTACGAGTCGAATGCGACGTTCTCGCGTGGCAGCGTCGACGGAGATTGGGATCAAGCCGAGACGGGCGGTGAGAGCGGCAAAGGCTGCGATGGGTGGTGGTCGGACTGCGGCGTAAAGTTCGGGTTCGGTGCGAGCGAGACGAGGAAGGTGGACATTGGGGGTTGGATCGTGGACGTAGCTCGTAGACGAGTCGGTCGAGGAGGATGAAGATGAAGAGGATTCGGCTACTGCGGTAGATGCTGAGCGGGTATGCGATGGTCCGAGTTGACGTCGTGCCACATTAGTTCTTGAGATATTGCACTGAGTCAGCGGACGTAAAGCCCTTGACAAGGGCCTGTTTGCCGACATTGCGCGAGTGGATGCAAATGCCAGAGGAAGATATGTCGATGCAGGCGGGAGCGAGTTGAGTAGGTGGATGTGGATGGGTGAGTAGCGATGTCTTTTGGTGTTTAACCAAATGGACTTGGGTCGTCTGCCACTTGAACGCCAATTCTTCTGAAAAAATTACGCCGCTGACCTGACCAGAAAAAAAGAAAAAAAAAAAAAAAAAAAAAAAAAAAGAAAAAAAAAAAAAAAGAGCCTTTGCCATTCTTGCCAGGCAGAGCAAGGCTCTCTCTCGTCACGTGATGCTGTCACTTACCGCACGATACAGTTTCAACTCCACCTATGCCCCACTCAAGCTAACAAGGCGCATAGGCGGCATTATACTTTACAACATCCTAACTCCTTGCCACATCCTTACCCTTCTGGAAGCACCGCTTCGACCGTGACTGGTGCCGACGATCTCCAGGTGTGCGGCTTACATTGCCTCGCCGCTCCTTATCGTCTCTTTCCCTGCTGATCACAAAGCGGCTAGCCAACTACTACTGCAAAAGTAGTAACTCCACTCGCCCATCATGGCAGCACGCAGAGCACCAGCACGAATGCCGACCCAAGCTCGTTCCCCACCCGCCTCTGCCGCCCAAGTCCACTCCCAGCACGCCTCCGCACAAGCCTCTGCCTCCGCACAAGCCTCTGCCTCCGCACAACAATCAACCCAACAAGACGCACTTTCCGTCCTTCTCGTCACCGCAGGCTACGACCACACGATTCGATTCTGGGAAGCATGGTCCGGCATATGTTCCCGCACGATCCAACATCCAGACTCCCAAGTCAATCGTCTATCTATCTCTCCTGATAAACGCTTCCTCGCAGCTGCAGCAAACACTCACATCCGATTATACGATTGTTCACTAGCATCCCCTTCAGCCATCGCCGCTGCCAACGCGGGAGCCGGTGGTGCGGGAGGAAACAACGTCGGCGCTCCCGCACAACCCATCGCAACTTTGGAAGGACATCAAGGGAATGTAACAGCGATCGCATGGCATTGCGATATGCAGTGGTTGGTATCCGGTGGTGAAGATGGCTTGTTGAAGATTTGGGACTTGAGAACTTCGAGAGCTACGAGGATATACGATCATAGAGGGCCGGTCAACGATGTTGTTGTTCATCCCAATCAGGGCGAGTTGGTAAGCTGTGATCAGAATGGAAGTGTGAAAGTGTGGGATTTGGGTCAGAACGGATGCAGTCATGAGTTGGTGCCGGAAGAAGGTGTGCCCATCCGCTCCGTTACCGTTGCTGCCGATGGCAGTTGTTTAGTGGCGGGCAATAATACAGGAAAGGTGTATGTTTGGAGGTTTATCAATGGAACCTATGAGACTCAGCAGGGTCAGACTCCTTCGCCTGCGGTTGCAGGTGGTGATTTTACCGAGTTGCAACCTGTAACTACGTTCCAAGCGCACGAAAAGTACTTGACCAGAGTACTGCTGTCGCCGGATGTCAGGTAAGTTCTGCTTCCCCTCCCGCACACCTCTCTCTCTCTCTCTTTTCCTCTTTGGATCGTTAGGTCTCTTTACTGACGTGCCCCTTCCCCCCCTTCTGGTTTCGGTTGTTGATCTAGACACCTGGCAACATGCTCAGCAGACGCCACAGTCAAAATCTGGTCTACATCACGATACGAGTTTGCCCTCGAGAAAACCCTCGTCGGCCATCAGCGTTGGGTGTGGGATGCAGCTTTCAGTGCCGATTCGGCTTATCTCGTCACTGCTTCTTCCGATCATGTTGCACGGTTGTGGGAGTTGGCGTCAGGAGAAACGGTGAGGCAGTATAATGGGCATCACAGAGCTGCAGTCTGTGTCGCCTTGAATGATGCTTCTCTTGGAGGGGCATAGCTTACAGCTGAATGATAAATGATACCTTTTTGCATCAGACCGGAGCAGCAAGTGTGTGTATCAAGTGTGTGTGTATCAAGTGTGTGTGTATCAAGTGTGTGTGTATATCAAGCGGGTGTGTATATCAAGCGGGTGTGTATATCAAGCGGGTGTGTGTGAGGAAGAGAAAAGTGTGAAGCGGCTAAAATCCGAGATCCGAGAGTGGAGTTGGACCCTGAATTTTATCAAGCTTGTGTTCGACGTGAATCTTGGAACCATGCTTTCAGCATCATCCTCACAGGCAACTCGGCATTTGGAAGCCTATGGATACAGCAGTCATGAGCTCAGGCAAAGCAAGAGCAAGCCCTTGGAGCTCGGTATCAGCATCCTTTCTGGAGCTAAAAGCGGATCTTGAAAGGACTAAAGCTTCCTCCACCTCCTCCCCCAATCCCACTTCTTCCTCAACAAAACGTAAAGCTCTCGCCTTCGACCGGGAGAAGCGATCGAAGAAAGCCTCCTCTTCCTCCCAGCTCAAAGATACATCCTCTGCATCTCGTAGGCCCCGATACTACGATACTGTTCATGAAAAGCAGCGCAGCGACCGGAAGAATTCCAAAAGCAAGGAAAAGGAAGGGAAAACAGAAGATGTACCTTGGTCAACACAACTAGATGGGATAAAGGCAAATCTGGAGCGTAAGGCAAGGATATACGATCAGCTTTCAGCTGGCAAATATGCAGGAATATCCACAGAAGCGCTCAAAGAGGCAAGTATCGATTGGGATCGGAAGCTGGCTGATCCCCAACCCCAGCACTATCGGTCACCATCACCGCCAAATTCACAGACGCTGGCGGGATGCAGGGAGGAAGAAGATCCAGAGATAGAGTATGTGGATGAGTTTGGCAGGACGAGAAAGTCAAGGCTGAGTGAAGTGCCAAGAGATCTCTTACCTGCCGAGTACGGTGGCGATAAAGAGGAGGAAGAGGAGGAAGGGGATATTGCAATTTATGGCCCGGCGACGAGCTTCCCTGTTTATGACCCCGGTGTGCATAGGAGGCATAGGGAGGAGAAGAAAAGGGAGAGAGAAAAGGAAGGCGTGCATTTCGATGCTGATTTCGAGAAGAGGCATTATGGTGCTGCTTTCTATAGGTTTTCCAAACATGAAGGGGAGAGGCAAAGGCAAATGGCCGATCTGGGTCGGTTGAGGGATGAAACTAGAGAAAGGCGAGGGGGGGAGAAAAATCAAGATGCGGATCGAGGAAGAAGATGATGCTCTAAAGCAGTCAATAGCTTGTATTCCCCCTTTGGAAGAGTTTGATACTCTCCACTCAAGTGTTCTGGGGTTGAGGTCGATGCAACTATATACGCTTTCAGAGAATCTCTCATTGCGCAGCTCCATTGTTCGAACACCAAATCACAGACAAAGGCTCAGACCGAGAATCAAATCCATCATGGATGAGATTTACGATTGTTTTTCATCGTTGGAGGTGCTACTGCTCATCACTAACAAAAGTCCCAGCAGCAAGATCTCTCATCACAAAAACGTCCATCTCCGTTCTCATTTCCGCCACCGTCAACATCTGCAACACTCTCTGCAATCTATCCCAAGTCTGCCTTTCCCATTCTGTCAACAATCCAACCGTGTCCAGCTTGACATCACTTCTTTCCACCTTCCTCAACAGCGTCAGCTGTCTCCTCATCTCTTCATTCCTCCTCTGACCCAACCTCGCTAAAGACTGATAAAGATGATCCAACAGCCAAGCTCTGCACTTTGCTTCATCTACAAACCACAAGAAAAACGTCTTTGCCGGATCCCTATCCTTGGTCTTCGGAACTTCTTGCAATCCCAACAAGGAAGCGTGGAAGAGACGAGAACAAAGATCTCTAGTCTCGGAAATGGATACGAGTGCAAGTTTCGAGATGTGTTTCTCTTCCAGTTTTCCCTTTTCACGGAGGATGTTCATGATGCGGATTGCTGCAGTGCCAAATTTTTCTTCGATGACGTTGCGGAGGAGATCTCGACGCATTCGTTCGGCGACGTTGCTGAATTCGATCGTGAGTGAAGAGGCAACTTTGGACCCACCAGCTGTTTTGGTGCTGCTATCCGAGGCCGGGGCCATCAAGCGCGAGGTTTTTGACTTTCCAGAAACGTCTTCGCAGTTGGAGAAGATGGCACAGTATTCTGCAAGGAACTCTTGACGACTGGGGAGAGAGCTTTTGTCTTTACCGAACGAGCGTCGGTCGAAACCTTTTTGCAGCGAAAGATCCGAGGGGAGCTTGTGAGAGAGAGCGGTGATGGAGATGGGTGCGCTACGAATGTCACGTACCGACTTCTTTGTTGATGCGTCACCTGCGTAGATGAGCTGGCGGAAGACTTCTGCGGCCGTGTTATTGTACTTTTCCCGTACTGCATCGATCATGATTCCGTCCCGAAGGTGGACGTCAAAGCGATCGTAGTGGATTCGAAGCCAGATTGTAGGGTCGATCTCAAAGTCATCTGCAGGGTCGAAGCCTTCCGCCAAGTGTATGCCGTTGACGCCGTTCTTGTTGTCTTTGCCCTTCTTGTCCTTGCTGCTGCTGCTGGACTTGGACCGCTTGCTCTTGCTGGCTGCGTTGGCTACAGCAATAGCGCTCTGCTTCTTACGGATCAAGCCAAGCCGTGTTTCTCGGTGGTCGGCAGTCAATCCATCAGCTCCGAGTGTCACGGTAGTTGCCGAGACGTCCCAATCTGCATCCCTCTCCTCTGCAATCTGAACTCGAACGTCCTCGCGAATACGCTGCAGATCCTTTGGTGTAGGAATACCACGCAGTTCACGCCGCTTCTTGGCTTCATACTTGATCTCCTTATCTCGAGGCGAAACATGCTGGTGGACTGAACTCGGCCGCAAATAGGTGCGATAAAGCATGATGGTCAAGTGGCGTGCGACCTGCGCCTGCAATTCTGCAAGTGGATCTGTGGCGCCTGCTTTGCGTTTGTTCGAGCCGTTGGCGGTACGGTTTGGTGGGTCACCGTTCAGATGAGCCTGGGCAGCAGCGAGCGATGCCTTGCGCTGCGTGTCCATGTCCGAAGCGGTACGGTCGATAATGTCGCTAGCCTGAAGCTTTCCGTGCTGCAAGACGAGCTTGACAATCCTAGCTGCAGTGTCGCCTAGCTCCTGCTCAGCAATGCCGATGTATTTACCGAATCGCAAGCGCAACAGCACTTGGTTGACGTTGATCTCGAAAAACTCTTCGTTTGGATCGGCCAATTCGGGATCTGTAGAGCTGTGCCAAGCACAACCATGTTGGATGAGAGTCATAACGGTCTGCTCTACCAGAAGTTTTGGAACGGGGACGGGAGCATTGGGATCGCCGGTATTGTGGCTGGAGCTGGCACCTGCGATTGGCGCTGATACCAGAGTGGGTTTGCTATGTGTTGTGCTGGCATTGCTGAAAGGGTCGGTGGGGCCACGGTTGGTGCGCGTAGGTGCTTGATTGAGGAAACGCTGGATCTCGCGGATATTGAGTCGACCTCTTTTGAGCAAAAGCGCCCCAACTCGTGCGGCGATGGGACCAAAGTGCTGGAGCAACACATGCTCGCAGAGCTTGATCTTTTGAGGTGAGTGGGCGGTGGACGACATTGTGCTGAGTGAGAACCTGATTCGAAGCGATGTACGTCACCGTCTGCCATCTGCTGTGATGCAGCGAAGGAAAGATGAGCTGCGATGCGGTGAGGTGCTGGTTGAGTCAGGACTCCATGTTTGCTGCGCTGTGTGGTGGCTGATGAGGCGAGCAACACCTGCGAGGTCTTGATGTTGGTGGCAAGAAGATGGGTTCAGTGAGTACTCTCCATTTTTATTTTTCTTTCTCCAACGTTTTCTTCGTAAAAGTGACCAAAGTGACAGCGTGGAGAAGTGTTAGATTAAATCCAATCGCCGATTTCTTTGCCGCCAGAATTCAAGAAGAAATCAATCTCGAAGTTTGACGGCGTTTGGGTCCCGATACTGTCGATCGGGGATAGTCTAAGTACGATGTCTCTACTCTTTTAAGGCAGAAACATATACTAAATTGACTAAGAGGAGAAGATGGCGAGAGCCTCGAGCTCTCTGCCTGACATATATACAAGTGTTGCTTCATCCCATATGTGGCAGTATCACCCCCAATGATAGAGTAGGACAACGAGCGGGACCCAATAGCATCCATCCTTTCTCTCCGAATCGGCTCTGTCCACTTCTCGATTCAATCAGATCTATCCTATTCCCGATTTAGCTTGAATCTGTCCGATTCCCGATTAGGCCTGCTGGATCGTTATCTTGAGCAATCAAATGTCGACCTTTTCTCGACCTTTTTGACACCTTCTCGTCCTCGCTGGACATTCGTACCAAGAAGCCCTTTGCTCGACGGTTTGAAAGCATGCAAGCGTCGGAAGAAAGGTCAACGAACAACAGCATCGACACAGCTGCTACCCAGCCATCAGCGGACAAGATGATCTCTCCTGCAGCTCTTGCTTCCTCCGCCATCGGACCCATTCGCACTGCTGTCACTTCCGTAACTGCCTCGACATTGGTACGACCCCTCTCGGGCATCTTTGCCATCAATAAGCCCAGCGGTCCCACCTCAATGTCATTACTTGACGACCTCAAACCTCTCTTCGCAACCTCTCCCCTCTTTGCAGACGCCGACGGCAAGCGACCCAAGGACAACAGCCGAAAGCGAGGCAAGTTCGGCAAAGGCAAAGGCAAGTGGGCTGGTGGCATCGCTGGTGCACCCAAGCTAGGTCAAGGTGGCACCCTTGACCCTCTCGCAGATGGCGTACTAATCGTGGGTGTAGGTAACGGCACAAAGCAGCTGCAAAAGTATCTCGACTGTACCAAAGAGTACCGCAGCACGGGTTTACTTGGCTCTGCTACCACTTCGTACGACTCTTGTGATCCCATCTTGACACGCAAGTCGTATGACCATGTTACGCCACAGAGCATTGCCGACCTTCTGCCGAGATTCACGGGGGTAGTATCGCAGATACCACCACTGTACTCGGCAGTGAGGATCGATGGAAAGAGGTTGTTCGAGTATGCGAGAGAAAATTTGCCTCTGCCGAGACCGATCGAGCCGAGAAAAGTGACCATTCACGAGTTGCGGTTGGTCGACTGGCTCGAACCCGGAAAGCACCCATTCAAAGAACCTGAACGTGAAGTTCCGGAAGAGCACAAGGCGCTAGTTGGCAGAGTCCTTGATATCGCCGGAAGGAAGGAAGGCCAAACAGACACAGTCAAGGAAGATGATGGTCAGCAGCAAGAAGAAGCACAGCCGATAACATGGAAGCGACTCCCAACCAGTAAAGACTCTTCATCAACACAGACAGAGGACAAGGCAACAGAGGGAGCAGCAGGTCCACCAGCATTCGTGCTCGAAATGACCGTTTCTTCAGGCACTTACGTCCGTTCCATTGTACACGATCTAGCCATTGCTGCCGGCTCAGCAGCACACGTACAAACACTTACACGAACACGTCAAGGCGAATGGTCTATCGATACCCGCTCTGCTTCCAGCACGGAAGAAAGCGAAGCAGGCAATGTCGGCGATGTGGTTCGCGGCAACTGCATCGAATGGAAAGTGTTCGCGGATGCCATTGCCGATATGCAGCGCGAGAAGAGGGATGCATGTTATCAATCACCCCGTGATGAAGAGGGCTTGCGGCCGTGGGAGAGGCAGCTTCTCAAAGTCATCGTTCCTGTGTAAATCAGTCGCCTTGCAGGAACAAAATCTGCATTTATTAACCCAAAAACGATGCTGCATTGCAAGATGCATACTAGAACACCGGGGATATCGACGCAAGAAACTGTGTATGAAGGCAAGACTCTTTTGAAGCTTCAATTAAGGGAGGCCAGTGATCCCAACTCACAAGTGGCTGTTGAGCCAGCTGTTGAAACCAAGAAGAAAAGAGACAGGTAAGAGTGGTCAGCGGTCGTCAGGAGAAGTGTGTTTTGAGTGGAAGAGTCAAAGCGAACTTACTTGATCACGTATTCGCCAACGACGACCTTGTCCTGACCTGGCTCATTCAGCAGATCATGGTAGTATCCATCAAACAGCTTCAGCGTCTTATCCTTGGCATTGACGCGCTCGACAAGCATTTCCGAACCCTTGTGACTTGTAATAAGATCAGCGGTACCGTGAATAACGAGCAGAGGTTTCGACTCGGGCCAGTGTTTATATGCCTTCTCTACAATGTCCATACCACCCTTGAGCGGTCCCTGGATTGCCTTGAGGTAGACTTTCTTGTCTGACAGTGGGTCGTTCTCGAAATTGTGTGCGACAAGGGGATCTCTAGAGATGTTCTTACCGAGCAAATCCACACTCCAGTGCATTTCAGGGATGAGCGAAAGCACCTTTGTAGCGCCCCAGACGACAAACCAGGGCGGAGGGTTTGTCAACGTCAGCCAAGGAGCACAAGCCACTACGCCAGCAACCATCTCCTTCGCCTCTTGTGAGGGACCATTACCACCGTGCTGTTGGATCCACTCATCGCTGCGAGTGTGGAAAGCTGTCACGATACCTCCGCCCATACTATGTCCCAACAAGAAGATAGGCACTTTGTTCACGCCCCATCGCTTATCCAATCGTTCACGGGTGTGACGAATGACAAACTCGAGATCCTGAAACTGCTGTGGCCATGTGGTGTTACCGTAGTTCTTGGAGGGGTCAGCCGAGTTGCTCCAAGTGTTACCCCACCCACGTTGATCAAAGCCGACCATCTCGTGACCTTTACTAGGCCATAGCTTGAAGATGTTGCGATATCGATCGACGTATTCTACAAAGCCATGAATAAAGATGGTGGTGGCTTTAGGTTGAATCTCCTCTTCGCCGGCGGCTGAGTCGGTGGGGTAGAAGCGTTTAGCCCAGAAGCGAGTCTTGTCCGAGTAGTCGCTTTCGATCCAGAACTGCTCGGACTTGCCTGCGTTGGGGATGTCGATCTCGGGTGGGATCGTAGCTTTTGTTCCTGGCATGGTGAGCAGAGTTGGGTGAAGGTGGTGGTGAGGATGAAGGTGTTGACGAAGGACAAGGGTTAGGTTGGATGCACCTGCCAAAGTAGGAGCAACACAGGCGTGTGAGCGTGCGTGCACTTCCAAGGGACAGCAGCCCACGAGGCTCAAGCGTCCAATTTCACGCTCCTTTTTGTGTGACGCCCACATGGTTACTTGAATTTATGCGCCAGTTAGGTTCAAACAGAGAATCATGTTACCTATCCAAAATTACAAAACTATTTTATCAGAATTCGCCTTCTTAGCTCAGCGGTAGAGCACTTCACTAGTAATGAAGAGGTCAGTCGTTCGAGTCGGCTAGGAGGCAGTCCCTTTTTTTTTTTTTTTTTTTTTTTGTTCATTTTGGCTTTTTTTTTGGCTTTTTTGCCTTTTGGCACATGTAGCTTTCTATTGAACGTATACTTTTTGATGGCTTTTCTTTTGATTCCAACTTGTTTGTTTCCATCCGGATTATTGACGATGCCTGACGTTAGTGCTCTTCTGGCATACGAGAATCATGGTCGAGTGGACGGCCTGTTCGATAGGACTGTGATCTATGATTGCAATGCGGGTATCTAGATAGGATCAAAATAACGACGAGCGGTAACAGGTCTAGCAGCTCTTGACCTCGACCTTGCGCCCAGCATCTAGCAAAGCGCAAGTTTGGCTCCATTCAGCGAACCAGCTCCATCCCTTCCAGTAGTCGGCGCTTGACGGTTTCGCTACTCGATATTTCAGCGCCTTCAGCGTGCTCCTAAACGGTAACTGAAGGCAATGCAAATGAAGATGGTCTACACTGCGGAATGGTGGAATGTGAAAGCCGAACCTTGGCTGCTCTTCCGCAACAGCGATTTTGCTTGAGCTAGTGTCGTGTGCCTGTTGAGCGACAATGTCAAGTGCTTTATTGCCTAACACCTTCATTTCGCCAACGAGGACGCTGTCTCGCTGTGTGAGGCTTTGAACATTGGCCATGTGTGTGCGAGGTATGACGAGAAGGTGCACCTGAGCTGCGGGGGAACGGTCACGGAAACAGATGTACTTGTCATCTTCGAGTACGATATTGAAGCGGTCAGAGGTGACGCTGCAGAAGATACATTTGGCTGAATTGACCTCGTCGATTGGTCGATGCCCTGTTGGTGGTACGTGCCCGTTATGGAATGGAGAGGAGGTGTCCTTGCTACGGCCCAAACAGCTGCTCAACAGTGAGGCCATGGAGAGCGACGGATCGCAAACTTGACTTCCATCAAGCAGCTGGGGCTCGAGTCGTTGGATCAGGATCTTCCAGCCGTTCGTCTTAATGTCGCTAGGTGTGGAGCGGCTCCATGTGGAACAAGCATGTGTTCAAGGTTTCCTCAGCAAGGTCGAAAGGGTCCAAGCAACGGTAGGCATGAGTTAGAGGTTGCTGTGCGACTCGACTCGTGCGAGAAGAAGACTTTTGCAGCCGCAGCCTTTTATTTATTTCTTTTTCCCGTTTCCGCGCAGCGCTGAGCACACACAAACCTGCTGAAGGAAACGATCCAATATGATGATTCGAGTTGACGTAAGCGGATACGATAAGTAATCGGGCAAAGCCGATCTGATCGGAGATCAGGTGAAGCCGATACAAGTGAAGCCGATACAAGTGAGGGATCGGGTACAACTATGTCCCGCTCTTTGTCATACTTGGTCATTAAGGGGGATACTACCACTTCTGGCATGTGCCGATAGTTTGTATATATATCAAGCGCGGAGCTCGAGGCTCCGACCACATTCTTTCCTTAGTCAATTGAGTATTTATGTTTCTGTCCTAAAGCAGCAGTGGCCATCGTACTCAGACTCTCCCCGATCGTCAGTTATCGGGACAAAACTTCTTCACAGTTCAACAAAACCAAGCGCGCGTTTTGAGAAGAATTGATGGTCAGGCGCAAGGCCTTGATACCATCGCATCGCATCGCATCGCCTCGCACACTTTCTTCTTTCTTACTACCAGCACCTTGAAAACGTAAGTCTCACCCTCAACACTTCTCCTTCCTCTTCAGGCTTCGAATGATGATTGGATTCTGCCTGGCACCAGTCGTAATAAAGCAAATTCATTGCCGACAAACCCGATAGCAGTGGAGGCCTTTACGCTATTATCCTCCCTTACTCTGATACAAGCTACTTCTCACAGAAGTCCAACACATTGCACAGAACGATCAAGCTGACTTTGCTCTTCTTTCCCTCTTGCTTTGATCGCAATGCAGTAGCTCTAGCTTGTCTTTTATCCCCCCTTTCGTTTCGTATCTTGTATCTTTTTCTCCTTTGTACTTACTTCCACTATACCTTCTTTCGCTGCAATATCCCTTCTCTTTTTGTCAACATCATGTTTTCCACTTCGGGCGCAAGGTCTACTGCAAGAGCACTGCGCCGATTTGTTGGCACTTCTTCGGTCTGCCAGTGAGTCGCTTCCATGACCACCCCCTGCTCCTCTTGCTTTTAGGATAAATGATGTGCTGAGACTTTGAACTTCTCTTCGAACAACCCGTCCCTTACATCAGACCTTCAACAACGGCGGTACGGTCATTCGCTTCAACATCAAAGCTGCCTCTCGATTCGTCCTCAGCCTTGACGGACTCCAGCAAGGCCAGTAATGAACGAACCACCACGTCCTCCGTCCACGCATCCGAGATCGAACACTTCAGTCGACTTTCTTCGAAATGGTGGGATGAGCATGGCGAGTTCGGTCTACTCCATGCTATGAACCCTGCCCGAATCCAGTTCCTTCGCGAAAAGCTTGACGAAGTGTGGGGGTACGAACTTGCCAAACGCCAAGTTGAAGAGCGTCGTGGCCACACAACCACCACCTCTTCCGCAACTCCAAACGCAGCGAGAGCACCGCTGGAAAACATCGGCAAGACCCAATTCCTCTCTGGTCTCGACGTTGCTGATATTGGATGTGGCGGTGGACTTCTTTCCGAATCCCTAGCTAGATTAGGTGCCCGAACAACAGGGGTAGATGCAAGTCACAGCAACATCGGCATTGCCACAACCCATGCTGCTCGTGATCCGCTTCTCTCCCGTCCGCACCCACTTGGACGGCAGTCGCTTACATATCTCCATACGACCGCAGAGGATCTTGTGGCCCAAGGACAAACTTTCGACGTCGTCTGCGCGATGGAGGTGCTCGAACATGTGAACGGTCCAGCTGACTTCCTTCGTTCGCTCGATAAGCTTGTCAAGCCGGGAGGACACTTGTTCATGTCTACCATTGCACGCACACCCTTGTCTTGGTTCTTGACCATCTTCATGGCCGAGGAGGTACTCAGATTGGTCACGCCAGGTACTCATACGCATCATCAGTACATCAACCCAAAGGAGCTCGTGGACTTTTTCCAGAATGATCTCAAGTGGTACGGACCTGGAACGGAGCTCCCGCAAAGACTGCATTTCGAGGTTAGAGGAACAGCTTATTTGCCATGGAAGGCAACTTGGACTTTGGCTGCTTCAAACACCAGCTTGCCTGCTACTCAAGAGTGTAATTACTTTTTCTGGGCTCGGAAGCCGCTCGATGCTGCATCATGAAGATGATGAAATGTAAGCAACTGCAAGACTCTGATCAAGCGTGTCGCATGTCTATGCTGAAATGACTGATGAATTGCAAATGATAGGAATGCGGATGTGATAGTGTTCAATGCGAACAAACGAAAGACAAAGCAAGCGCATCCACCATGGCGATGACTACAACTTGAACTGGTTTCCCGAAGTAGGTTTTGCCGAACCGTTGATGCCATTTGCCGCACCACCTTTGCCCTTGTTCTTGCTGTTCTTTCCCGTTCCCGCCCCAGCAGCATTCGGATCCTTTCCAATAACCGAAACACCACGGTTTCCCACCAACTTCTTGAGTGCTTGCTGCTTTTCTTCCTTCTCATTGACTTTCTTGGCACGTACGAGGCCTGACATTTCGAGAGCCTTGCGTGTATCCTGAATCTTTTCGTTGCGCTGTCGCTTTTCCTGGCGAAGCTTGTTGTGCAATCGTTGCTTCTCTTCGGGTGTCATCTCGGATTTGGCACCTTCCATAGCGGTAGAGTGACGAGAGCGCTCGTACACCTCTTCTGGTGCCAGCATCGTGCTCGATGATGCGGTCGCTGGAAGGGCGGTTTCGATCGAAACAGATGGCGCATTGGTGAGCGTCTGGATAGTGGCTTTGGGTGCTTTGGGTGTGAAGTGGGCGTTGGAGAGAGCATCGAGCTTGTTGAAGATATCGTCGTACAGTTTTGAGATCTCTTCGTGCTCTTTTTGCAACTTGGCATCGGCTTCGGCGACGGGTGCACCGTCTTCGCCGTCAGCACCGCGTGCGTTTTGGTACTCTTCTTCGTAGAGCTCGGCGAGACTCTTGGCGCTCTTGCTGTCCGAGAGTTCTAGCAAGCGAGAGGGGAGCAACGGAAGAGCTTCCATCTCTCGACGACGGATGACGTCGTCGAAGTTGCGTTCGAGGATACGACGCTTGATGAGATCCTCGATGGATTCGGTCATCTCCTCGGTCACTTGCGGTGTTACCTTGGCTGCACGCTCAAACTCGAGATCTTGCTCGAGAAGACTGTCTTGTGGACGGGCGCGGGTGCTGCTCTCACCCATCAGAGTCCAGTCCTTCTTGCCGACATTCTCGTCTTCAAGTCGAGCAATCTCTTGCTTCAGGGCAGCAACTCGCTTTTCATGGGTAGAAAGCTTGTCCTTTGAGTCGGCCTCGTCGTCACTATCGGCGAACAGGTCGCCAGCAACGCGACGGGCTGTGTTGACGTCATCATCATCTTCCGCATCTTCTTCCTCTTCGTCATCTTTGTCGGCTTCCTCGTCTCGACTTTGAGCTTCTTTTTCTTCCTCGTCCAAATATTTGCTTTCTCCTTCATCGTCGCTTTCCTGACGTCCGACAGAAGAAGTCTCAGACTCGACCTCATCCATCTCCATATCGTCATCATCTTGCTCATCATCACTGCTTTCTCCGACATCCTCGTCCATGTCTTCGTTATACTCATGTGCAGCATCGACATCATCCTGGGATGCGCCGAGCATTCGGAGTACATCTGGCGTGTAGTCGTCTAATGACTTCTTGCGTGGCTTTATGCGACGGTACTCGATAGTGTCGTTGAATCGAATGCTGCGCTTTCGATCCGGCTCCTCGTAAACGCGGACGTGCTTCTTGCTTGGCGATGCCTCTTCCTCCTCTTCATCAGATTCTTCCTCATCGTCGTTGTCGCCAGCAGCGTCTTCTTTGGCGAACCTGGCAGAAGCTTTGCGCTTTCCGAACTTCTTGTTGAACTTGGCAGCCTTTGTTGGAGGCAAGAAGAAGTCTGCATAATGAGCATCAGCAGCATCCACCATTCTCGAACCCTCTTCCGAATCTTCTTCCTCTTCGTCATCGCCGAGACCATCACCGCCAGGAAGTGGCTTATAGAGGTCGACCTGATCTGTGAGGTCATCGTTGTCATTATCGTCATTGTCGGCAGGATCCGCTTGCTCTTCGGCATCCTGTTCGTCGAGTTGTCGATTAAGCTCGTCTATGGAGAAGAAGTCATCATCGAGCGTTGGATGACGCTTGGTGCGGCGCTGTACCGACTTGCCAGGTCGGTCGAGATCTTCGAGCAAGGATTCCGGAATGCCGGCGCTGTTCTTGCGTGCCTTTGGGCGACTACCTGCATCCTCGGATTCTTCATCATCATCCTCTACGTCGGAGTCGCCATCCTCATCGACCTCTTCGTCATCCTCGCTGTCGTCATCCTCGTCGACTTGTGAGCGTAGACGTGGAAGCATGCCGGACTCCTGCTCTTCCTTGCGCCGGAGCTGCTCGGCCTCTGTTTTGAGAGGCTCGTAGAAGACTTGGGTGGGATCAGCGTCGCTGATGTCGGATGCACCTGCGTACGGAGAGCCTTCTTCGTCGGACTCGTCTTCATCATTGAACTCCTGATCAAGGTCGGCGAGGAGCTGATCGCGGTAGGCGGGGTCGATTCCGAAAGCGCGGAGCTCGGCATCGCTGAGCTGGCTTAGACGGGCCTTTTCCTCTTCAGGGTCCATGTCCTCATCGTTGTCATAGTCGTCTGACTCGTCTTGATCATCCTGTTCCTCATCGTCATCATCGTCATCTCTGCGCGCTCGTGTACGTGATGGAACAGCTCGGTTGCTAGCTTCTTCCTCTTCCTCTTTGTCCTCCTCCTCTTCTTCTCGAATGAGACCTTGCGCAAAGTAGCGTTCGACGATGTTGGACATCTTTGCGGCTTTGAGGTCAATCTGCTCCCAAAGCTGGCGCGAGTCCATGTGGTCAATAACGAGCTCATCTAGTGGTGTGCCTTCAAAGAGAGGTGGAGGAGCAGCGGTAGCCTGCCCACGCTTGCGCTTGCCGGCTGAGCGTGAAGCTCTTTGCTCGAGCAGCTCTGCTTTGGGTGTGACAGTCTCGATGAAGGAGCAGATAGAGGGAACAGCATGTTTTTCAGATTGAACAGAGTAATCGAAGAGCTGTTTGAGTGCGTCTACTGAGAGGGCGGAGACAGAAGCATCGCCGTTGGCCAGTCGTTCAGGCTCAGAGGCGATGAGCTCTGCTAGCTGCTGCGCCTTGTTGAGATGCGGAAGGGATGCATCGATGACATTTGTGTCGTGTGTTTCGGTCTTACCTGCAGCCGAACCTTTTGCGCTCTTCGGCGGCGAGGTTAGCATGGTTGACGGAAGGGTGTCGGACCGCGGAGGCGCAGCGGAAAAAGGGAATATATATCAAGGTCGGTCTGGCTAGTGCTAGCGCGAGGTGAGCTGAGTGTCTAAGTCTGCTTTATAGTATCATGAGTTGGTGACCACGAAGTGTTGAGTTAGGGGGCGGAAGCGGAAAGAGAGTGGTCCAAGGTGTGGGATGGTAGGAGGAGGACGAGGAGGAGGACAAGGAGGAGGAAGAAAGGTTTGGAAGATTGACAGGCTGAGTTTCCTTAGACTCTGCAATTCCCAAAATTTTCCGCCCACTTTTTGGCAGAGGGAATACTTTGCTTGCTAATGCTGATGTAAACATATTTGAAAGAGCAGATGTCAGAATGCTTGCTCTAACATTATTCGAATCGGGGTCAACTCGGGCAGCAACTAAGCTCCTTACGCAGATGGTCACTTGTAACCACCCCAAAGCACTGCATGCAGAGTCCGATACAGGGCGAACAGAGCTCATCACATGGCGACAGCGGGTGTCGGCTGATACGTGGCATGGGTGTGAGCACAGTGGGAGAGGGCGAGATAAGCCATAATGATTGACTGCTTGCCACGAGCTAGACAGGTTTAGATGAAGCGTAGCCAGCCTCTGTATAAGGTCGATACCTCACCTAAAGCCAAGACCCGATGGTCATCCTTCCTTCCACCAACGCTGTCACAGTATGTATGGATGGTAGGGTCCGCCATCGTCCTTCGGCCACCTGCGGCAAATTTCTTTTGTCTCCAGATTATCCCACTAAGGTGTGGGGACTAAAGAATCTAACATAATATGGATGGATCATGTCAATGGGTGAAAGTGCTTCTCTGCATCGATTTCATCCATTCTCTTGCGTCTACAGTAGAAGCCATTTCGTTTCATTGCCAATGTACCTTGATCTCTTCGGCTTCAGAAGAGCTCCGATAGCGAACACAACGAATGAGCGGCGACCTGAACAAACTGTCCTGCACTGCACATCCACTGCAAGCACGCAAGAGCCGAGAAAGGTGAATGATCCAAACTGACAGGTACTCTCTCCTTCCTGCTGTCAAATACAACCCTTGTCACCATCATATGAAACGTTACATTGAGTGCATTGTGTGAAGAGGAAAGCAAGATACAAGCAAGCAATGGGTGATAGCGACAAGAGCAGGACAAATAAGATATGCTTTCTGTTAAGTTACGTCTCTTATCATCGGCGGGTGTTCGAATTTCCTCCAAAAATGCGCCCTTCGAAAAACGCGTGTTTTTAAAAATGAAAAAAAAAAAAAAAAAAAAAAAAGGTTTGATACCCTCAAGGGCGTGCGTGGCCAAACACTCAGTGGCCCGTGCAATAATTTTGGACAGGGTCGATGCCATCTAAACCCGTTCGGCAAGCCAAAGCCAAACCACCATCTCTCCTTCTCTCTCTCTCTCTCTATCGATCGTCATTGACTCGCTCGTTCCTTCATCATTTGACTCCACGTTGGCACTCCATCACAACAACAACAACAACAACGCACAAGCTTCTGCTCGCGTTCGGCCGCGACTTGAAAAACTGAGCGACGGACGGTTTCCGCAAGGCCTCTATCCTCTTGACCACCAACTCTTCTTGCCTTTGCGAGATCCCTGCTGGTGGCCCTCCACCTTTCTAACGCTTCCACTTCTGGTTCCGATCCGATACTGAGCAAACGTATCGGGAACCCGCAGTGTCCTGCCTCCTGAGGTGGATGACAAGCCCCTGCATCAGTTTACGAGCAATACCCTGAAGACGACGAGCCAGTTTACGAGCATTACCCTGAAGACGACGAGCCGTTTTACTCGTTTCTGAATAAACTTGTCTCGTAGCTACTATCTGCAATCATGCCGAGCGGCGGCAACGCGGGTCCAAGTCGGTCTACTAGCCGTGGCGCTGTCTTGACAGGCAAGTTCTCTCTCTCCAACCTCTCACTCAAGAGCATCGATGCTAGATCAGGTGCTCGAACACCGAAGAGTGCCCATCGCCAATACGCCAGCAATCCAGGCCCAAGATCTAGCAATGTTCGCACCTCCAATCTCTCTTCAGCCTCTGTGGCCAAGACAACGGACGGCAACAATATCGCACAACTCTATGCCGTCTTCGGTCTACCCAAAGATCCTGCCGTCTGGACGTTAGCCGAACAAGACTGCACCAATGGCGTCCATCACATCGAAAGCGCTGTAGGTCGTTTCTGGCGTCCCGAGGTGCTCGGCTGCTCCATCTGCCCACCTCTCAGCCCTGCCGAAGAAAGCTTAAAGTCTCCTCTTTCGCCTGGCAGCCTCTCGGATAAGAAGGAGGCTAAGCGTTTGACGTGGGGGTCTGACAAGAAAGGCGGTTCTAATCCCAAGTTTATCGAGATGGCCGATGGTCGCGGCGGCATCGAACGAGCAGAGACTGCACGTGTCCTCTCAAAAGCCCTCAAGCTCTCCTTCACCCGCGAGATCGAAATCTCTTCTGGCCCCATCAACTTCCCTCCCAGCTCCACTTCGCACACCTTCTCCTTCAGCGTTCCAACCGTCAAGTCGTCTGCATCAGGCGGAGCAGCCCGCCCATCTACCGATGCTCGCAAGGCTAGCCAGCCCTTCTCGGTCAGCGCTGCCAATGTTCACAATACTCGCTCCTTCTCAGCTGTCGGCGAAGGCTTTGGTCTCGAAGGCGTCTCCTCTCGTCTTCCTGCAGGTGCTGGAGGTGCAGGTGAAGATACCCCCGGCGTGGCTACATTCTACGGCTCCGTTCTGACCGTTTGGAGTGCCGCCGACGAGAAGCGTGCCAAGGCGATTCGCAAAGAGCTTAGCCGACTTGCCAAGACGCGTGCCAACCGTCGTTCTGCTTCCAACAAAAACGTCAGTAACGAGGGCGAAGATATCGAGGAAGAGTTTGAAGGCACAAGTGCCTTGGGACACTCACTTCTTCCCGACAACAACGCCTTCTTCATGCCCTACGCCATCTGCATCGTCTCCCGATACCCCATCTACAACCTCCTTGGAGACTGGAACAAGGTCGCTTGGTTCAAGTACAGCCGCAACATCGAGATGCACAACAAGCTCATGGCTGCCATCCTTCGTCACCCAGCGCCCCGCATTGGCGAAACCTTCAAGCTGCAGTCTCCCGACGAGGATCTCTCCTTCATCTGCACTTTCCCCGGTGCTCTCGACTGGGGTCGTGGCTTGCTTGGAATCGACTTCTCCATGTGGCCTCTCTTCAAGACGCTTTCCATTGACAACGTTCTTACCATCTGCGAGATTGCACTTGCACCCGCAGGTCGTGTTCTCTTCATGTCCCGTCATCCTGCTTTGATGGGCATGGCCGTCGAAACCATCAAGTACCTTGTCGAGCTCTGCGGATGGAAAGGTGTTGCGCATCAAAACTGCCACGCAAGAGACGTTCGTATTTACCTCGAAGATCCTGGATCTTGGCTCATTGCTATCAACACAGAGTTGCGTAGCATCATCAAGCCCGCAAAGCAAGTCTGCGTTGTCGATCTTGACATCAACTTTGTCAACTGCCCACGACCACCTATCAAAGCTCCCAGCAAGGGAGCTGCACGTGACAGGAAGCGGAGAAAACTCATCGCCGCCCTTGGCTTCTCGTCCGCAGACTACATCATCCCACGCGAGTACGTCGAGGCCTTCCCAAGTGGTCGCTTTCGTCCTCTCAGCAAGCTCGAATCTTGCTCACGTGATGCCCCTTACGAACGCCTCGAGAGTCCACAGTGGTGGGACCAGGGCGCGCTCGTCAGCGCTTTCGACCAGGTCTTGCATGAAGGCACCAAGCCAAGCTTCCTCAAGAAAGTTCTTTGCATGCCAACCGAGAAGCAGGCTGTGGCCTCTGAGACCGAGCTTGCTGCTGTTCTCGCCCTCCGTAAGAGGGCCAGCACTTTCGTCGACGCCCGTGATGGTCTCGAGAACAAGATCGGCAGGCTCAACAAGCGTCTTGCTTTCCTCATGAGCGAAGGTGAGATGTGGCGACAGCAGTTCGACAAGATCCAGCAGCTCGTCGACCGACTCACACGCGAGGCCGGTGAGCTTCGTTCCAAACTCGACAAGGAGCGCAGGGAATCTAGGAGGCTCAGCTCTACACTCCAGCAGCGTGACATGGAATACGTTCAGGCACAGATCCAGCTTCGCGAAACCGAGACCGCACGTGAAAAGGCTCAGGGCGAGCTCCTCCGTATGCGCACTGCCATGGAGAACCTCGAATCGGAACGTGAAGCCATGATGGACGAGATTCGCAACGCTCTTACCAGCTCGGGTGCCAACGAGTTCGGTACGGACTCGCTAAACAACCTGCAAACCATGACGCAGAACTTCGGTCGAGGCGATGGAGCCTTCTCGCCAGCTGCGAGCGACATGAGCCACAACACCGAAATGCACATCATGAAGTCGCGAGCTCTTGCGGAGCAACGCATATCCATGGGCCAACCCCGCACCAACAGCCAACTCAAGAAGGATTCCGTAGCGCCGTCTGAGGATGCTCATACCAACGGCGCTAGCGGTGCTGCCAACGCATCGCAGCACAACCACTTTCCAGACGAGCAGATGAACAACGAGATTCAAAAGCAAACCACCGCAGTGACAGACCAGATCGCAAAGATCCAGCAGCAGCTCGAGTCCACCTTGACACAGCTAGAGGGACGTCGATCTGCCGCCTTTGAACGTGGTTGTCGACTATCCTCTTCCTCGATTGGCAGTCACGCCCACGGCGCTGCCCCAAGCATCAGTCATCACAATGCAGTTGCCTCGAGCGTCGGTCATGGATACGCTCTGGACGTCAACGGACGTGCCTCGGAAGATGTCGAGACCATAAACGCCGACCGCTCCGGTTCATTGCCACTGCGTCAGCGAGCGGCTTCATCCTCGAACGACGCGACTTGCTCGCGACCGAACTACCTCTCACCCCGGGCAGCAGCAGCTCCCATGTTGACACCCAAGAGCCCTGCACGTGCTCAGCGTGACTCGCTCGTCTCTTCCGCTCACAACGCCGCCGAAGGTAGCTCGACTGAGGCGGGTGGACACGCAACCTCGTCTCCGCTGCCGGAAGCAAATGGTATCAAGGCTGCAAATGGAGCTTTGGCTGTTGCCGGTGCTGGTGCGGCCGCAGCTATCGCTGGAGTTGCCGTGTCACCCGCCGCCTCGGGCTCGAAAGGAGCTGCAGAAGAGCGAAACGGTGAAGACACTAGTGAAAGCAGGGCGTCAGATGATCGCCGCAACGCAGCGCTGCCTGACGTTCCAAGCGACCACAACTCGGAAGACGTCGACTTGTCGAAGAAGCTCGACGAGCTCGAGCAAGAGACTGGCGCTCAGGCTGGTGAAGGTGATGGCCAGGACAGCGACGGCGTCCTCAACATGTTTGAGGAGCCAGAGGACTTCCGACCGAAGACACCACCTCCTACCGTTACTCATTATGAGTTCCCCGGCACCTCGTCCAAGGTGACACTCAACCTTGTCGGCAACCACCCGCTGTGGGGCCATCTCGCATGGAATGCAAGTTTTATCCTTTCCGACTTCCTCTGCGCTCACGCACTCACCTTAACTAAGGGCAAGCGTGTTCTCGAGCTCGGTGCAGCTGCTGGCTTGCCAAGCATCGTTTGCAACTGGGCCTCAGCGTCGCACATCGTTGCAACCGACTACCCAGACAAAGACCTCATCGACAACCTTAGAAAGAATGTAACCCTCAACTGCCAAGACGAGTCCTCACCAATGCGAGGTTCAGGCAAGACCTTGGTCGAGGGCTACATCTGGGGTCGTGACCCCTCCTCTCTGCTCTCTAAGCTCACCGACGAGCAAGGCAACCCGGGCAAGTTCGACTTGATCCTTCTCTCGGATCTTGTATTCAACCATCAAGCTCACCCTGCATTACTCGAGACCTGCGAAGCATGCATTGCAGATGCGACAATGGACGAGATGGAAGGTCAAATGACCACACCATGCGTCCTCGTCTTCTTCACCCACCATCGTCCTCACCTTGCATACAAAGACATGCAATTCTTCGACTTGGCAGAGGTCAAAGGGTGGAAGTCTGAAAAGTTAGGAGAATGGTTCAAGGAGCCTATGTTCCCAGAGGATCCGGGTGATGAGGTTGTCAGATCGACGATTCACGGATTTAGGTTGTGGAGAGCCCCTGCGTGAGCGTTCAAAAGTTGTTATCGTTGGTTGTAGGGATGACGAGAAAGGACACTTTCTTTTCGCTGGAACAACTTTTCGTCTGAGCTTTTGAAGTTGATTTCTTTTGAGTCGAGCAACATTGATTGAGGGGAGTGAGAAGAACGAGCATGCTCAACAAGTCGAGTGCCAATCGCGGAGTTGAGTCGAAGATGTCCGCTCAAAAGCGGAGACCTGCGTGGATCTGCACGCATAGTGACAGTTCGGGCCAATAGCTAGAAATCGGGTTCTCATCGCCAGATCCCGATCGCTCGGCTATCTGAGTGCCTCAAACGCAGTGGGACAAGAATTTCGATTTCACGGCGTCTTTCGCCCACATAGATAAGTTAGTGTCAGGCAAGACTGTTCTTCAAGCTTGGTTGGTCGTTGGGCACACATCCACAGGTCTGATCGACAGCACTACGGAAACAGCAAGATAGAACGACAATGTGTGAAAGCTTGGAGGTGACCAAAAGCACAGCTAATTGGCTTTTGAGCCGGAAAGAGTGAAGAGCACTTTGGAAGAGAAGCGCTTGTTGGTGCGAGAACAACTCAGGTTTGGCTGTGCAGATTTACACACAGCTGATACATGATTGATTTTGATCTGGCGACACGGACAGGACGTCTTTCTGTTTCTGAGGCCGTCTTTCTGTCTCTGAGGCCGTCCGACACGTTTGTCACCTTCCGACTTTCATCGAACCATCTCCTTTTCGCACCACCTTCGTCGGTCTCTTTCGGTCTCTCTCTCTATAGTCGCAAGACCACGTCATATCCATACACAGCTTAGAGTGTTCTGGCTACGCCACTGCTTTGCCAACGACTGTCTCAAGTGAACACCGAGATTGGCAGAGGTCTTGCCGTCCAGCACACCGCTCCGCCAACACGCAAGACTCATCGATCGAGGCTGTCAAGGATTCGCAGCATAAGTCCTGCGTATCCTTATATGTGAGCTTCTGATCCGATAGGTTCCTTGGAAATATACAGATTTCACCCTCTTCCATTTCCAGCAGCTCAGCGATGAACAGCAAAGCAGCACAAGAACGACAGCAACGGATCCTGCTGGATCTGCTCCGTCAGCCGGGCAACGATGTCTGCGCTGACTGCAAAGGGCGTGCTCCAAGATGGGCCTCATGGAACCTCGGCATCTTTATCTGCGTGCAATGTGCTGGCGTGCACCGCAAGATGGGCGTTCACATCTCGAAAGTCAAGTCGATCACGCTCGATACATGGACTCGTGAGCAGGTGGAGAGGATGAAGGAGATGGGCAACATCAAGAGCAACCGAATCTTCAACCCGGACGAGATGCGCAATCGACCACCAACCAACATGGAAGAGAGCGAGAGGGACAGCGAGCTGGAAAAGTACATTCGCAGAAAGTATGAGTTTCGTAGATTCATGGAGGGACGACCACCGCCGGTGCCAACCAAAGACGCCACCTTCTTGACATCGCCACCACCATCGATGGACAGGTTTGGTGCTCCCAAGTCTTCTGCTGAGGCAACATCTTCTGTCCGCTCCAACAGCAAGCTTGCCGAAGGAAGCAGCATTGCTCGATCTCGCACAGCACCTATTCCAACGACATGGAGCGAGGCTCAGCAGCGAGCCAAAGCGATCGCACCACCGCTCCCAAGCTCTGCAGCCTCTGGCTTCCGGAATGCAAGTGCTCCTCTCTCGAATGGCGCTGGTACATCATTGGCACCAACAACACGGACGGCATCCACTCTGCAACCTCGGCAAACAGCCGTGCCTCTACGCACTTTGAGCGCTCTCAACACAAGGAATGGCAATGCAGCAACGAGCGCTTCGAAACCTTGTGCATCAACAGCACAATCTAGTGTGCTTGATGACCTTATTTCGCTTTCAGAGCCGTCACCAACCACATCGAATCAGCCACCGCTGCAGATGAATCCGTGGGCAGCAATACAGGCGCAACAGCAAGCGGTGCTCAGTGCACCTGCCATCCAGCAGCCAAGGGGCAACTTTTGGTCAGCACAATCGGCTACAAATGGCAATGCATCTCCAGCAACACCTTTTGGTGTCAGTCCATCGAACCACAACAACAGCAACGTTTTCGGTCAGATGCCGGGTCTGCCACAACATGCGAATACCATGCCGACCGCACCCTCTCCTCAGAGTCAACTTGCTCCGCAGGCCACAATCATGCTCAGCCCGAACAACGGCATGATGTTTCCTCAATACCAACAGCAGAGGAGTGCCAGCTTGGGAACGATGGCTTTCTCGACTTCACTGATGGCATCGCCGGGTCCGATCTCAAACAACCCTTTCAACACGATGCAAGCCAACTTGACAGGCATCAACGGACAGTATCAGCAACAGCAGCCACAACAGCTCGGACAAGTCGCGTTCCAGGGTCAGATGGGCAATAGCATACTCAGTCCCAACGGAGCTATGTACGGCCAACCGCAGCAACAACAGCAACCTTTTCAGCAGTTTCAGCAAACTGGCAACGGAATGGGTCAGTTTCAGAACTCGATGATGCCGAATAGCTACGGACAATCGCCACAGTATGGCAGTGCATTGATGCAGCAACAGCAACAACAACAACAACAACAACAGCAACAGCAACAGCAACAGCAACAGCAACAGCAACAGCAACAGCAACAGCAACAGCAACAGCAACAACATAGCCAGCATTGTTCTCAATTTGGCAACATGTGGTAGTTGGCTCGATCATGTACGAACACTGATTCAATGTCGCCACCTTAGCATCAACAGCAACAATGCCAGTATGATCGTGTGAGAATGCGGCGTGAGGAGCTATGTGTTTGCTCGCTCCAAAAGATCCAGTGATTTAAGGACTTGGTTCACGGAACAGCCGCCTGTGTTGAGGTCAGCGTCGTTCAAGGCCTCGGTTCACTGAGTTGAGGCAGAGCACACTGAGCAAGCTGCAGGCTCTCTATACGAGAAAAGCTCTTGATCTCTAAGTGGCACGGAAATGCCGACTGATTCGGGATGTGCCGAAGCAAAAGCGATGGTGGACCCTATCTTTAGCTCGCATGGCGTGAGAAAAAATAAATGCCAATCATGGATCTTCCGATAAAGTCGTGAGCAGTGCAGTTCATCGCTTATCGGCATGTGATAGGCGAGCGACTTACTGTTTGAGAGGGGTTCACATTGGCAGAATCAGGCTGGGCTGTCGCTAAATTTTCGCTAACTGAAACGATATTCGATTGCAAAATGATGTCCGAGACCCTGCATCGCAGAGCTGGGAATACAACAGAAGCGGACAATGACTGGAGCACATGACATGGGCCATCGATTCACGCACCGTCAGAATCAGTGATAAGGGCCAAGAGGTGAATTGAAAGCGGTTATCATTATCATGATCAGAGAGCAGCCATTCGGCTTGCTCGGGCAGAAGCATTCGCATTGCAGCACTTGCACAGAGCCTCGTGCTGTACTTGCACAAAAGCAACAACTAGTTCTTATAGACACAAGGCGAGTGGAACAACACATCACGATCGGTGGAAAGGCAAGTTAAGGAACGGTCAAACCTAATTACCCCACATTTTTCTGCAGTTCCCACGGCGCACGAACCCACGGCGCACGGACCCACGGCCCTGCATTTCATTCAAGGCATTTGACCAAAGGCGTGTTGTCACTGATCAAGTGTTTCGGTTGCTCACCTGAGCCTTCTTTCCTCGATGCACAGGGCAACTGTTGACCTTTTTACACGGAGAAAAGTAGCCGAGGTCAGACACCCTGGTCGATGGTACAATCACATCGGCTGTCGCTCTGTCACTTGAAAAAGAATGGGCCTCGACCTTTTCTGCTGATAGCCGAAAGCCACCAAAGAATGTGGCTAATGCAAAATTGTCGGCTCTTTGCGCCGCCGTTGATAGATAGGATCTGTTCTTGCTTGTCGTGGGTTCAAGAGATTGGCGTCCAAGCCTTTGGCGGACGAACAACGCTGAGCGAGCGGCTGAGCCAAGATGGCGCCGCAAAGAGGTCACAGTTCCTTTCTTGCTCCATGATAAGGGTGTGCAAGCAGGCTCTAGCATGATCTTGATCAGCCAAGGACGAGCTCGCCCAGTGTTGGACAAGCTGCCATTTCGCTTTCACATTTAGCCTTGCTGAGCCGAGCAAAGGATTCTGGACCAACTCTTGCGTCAACCCTGAGAGCAGCAACACTGTTGAAACGCCTGAGCCACATTTGCTCGCTCGCGTGCTGAGCTTGGACCAACCGTCACTTTTTTCACACTCGGATTCCGCTTCATCTTGTTCACATTTCGGCCACAAACGTGTGGGGTCTCTCCTGCAGCTACAATAGAAGGCACCTTCTCCATGGGAATCATCTAGCGAGACAGCGCTTCAATGGACCGGACGTAAGAGAGAGTGATGGCTTGGCGACGCCGCCGTTGCCATCTCTCTCTCGCCCCCTCTCTACGGACCAGTTGTTGCCGCCTCTTTTGGCTGATTACGTGCCCTCGCCTTTCTCCGGCCTCGGCAGTGTTGTGCCGCTAAAACCTCGAGAGACCCAAGAGACCCAAGAGACCCGATAGCATGCCGCAGGCTCAGCCCGAACAGCACGGATAAGAGCAAAACAAAAGGCACCGATGCTGATACTGTAGAGAGAGATTGGTGAATGAGAGGAAAAGAGCGAGAAAAGGACCGACATCGATAAGCCTCATCTCGTTCACAGTGGCAGAGAGAGGCAAGGAGAGGGAGAGAGAGAGAGAAAGAAAGAAAAAGAAAGAGAAAAAGAAAGAGAAAAAAGAAAGAGAAAGAGAGGAATTGCAACTCAGCTGTTGGCCACGGCCCCTCCGTCATCTGCACTTGGTCTGAGCGCCGGCTGTTTACTCAGCAGAACAGTAATCAGGCACTTGAGCGGTGTTGAGCAATCCGACACTCGTCTGACGAGAGACGAGAGACGAGAGACGGTGACCTTTTTCTTGCTCCCTTTTCTCTCTTGCAGGGTAGTTAATTAATTGATGATAGATGTAAAGCTAGTGTACAGAGGAGAAAATTTCAAATATTTCAGCCTTCCTCCCCACATTTCTGTAGCCAGCTGCGCAGCTGCGCAGCTGCTCCTTTGCCCCGCTCTGCTACTCTCCTCTCGCCTCGCATCGGCAGCACACCAGGAGAGTTTGCGATCAGTCCCATCGGCTCAGCCCTGTGCTTCACCAAAGTCCAGTCTCACACCAACCTCGCCTTCGCTCGCACCATCTTTCTCCCCACCATCTTTCTCCCCACCATCCACATCCGTCTCGCTTCAAGTTCCAACTATCTCGCAACTCTTATACCCCAGCTCCAAGACGTGTTTGTTCGCATCAGCTTGCTCTCACCATCGCATTCGTAATCGCAACCTTGCCCATCTCTCCTCTCGTCTCGCGAAGAAGCTCTCAGCCATCTTCTAGCTCTGTAGCCCATCAAGAGATTCGACTGCTCTACCTCCTCCCTACCCAGAACCTTTCCACAGCTCCTCTCTTTCCTTTCCTCGATCACACCTCCTTTCTGATTTCGATTGTGCAGCACCGTCTGCCGAGATCACGAATCGTCACCACCACCAACTCTCGAGGACCCAGGGGCCCTGCGCCCCGGATCACTCGCGCCTTATAACGCAAACTTACATCACTCCTCCTCTCCCCCGCACTACAAGCTGCAAGCTTTGTTCAGCCCCACAATACTCCCCATCCCCTTAAAAGGTCTGCTGTTGTAGCTTCATCCCTGCCCCATCTTTGCCAGGTAGCCTACGCATTTAAGCTTCTCACTGTCGCCTGACAAGCTCTTGAACACTTTTTACCCTATAACGCACTCGGCCATACTCATCCAGCCTACCTTCGTATGGCTTCTCCAACCGCAATTCCTCACGCCGAAAAGTCGGCTCATCATCGTCACCAGCCTCAAGCTTTCCCACCTACCGACCTTTCAAGCGAAATCCGTACCAGCCAAGGTCAGAGGATCTCTTTCTCTCCTCCGGCCTCCTTCTATTCACGCCCATCGACTCAAGCCGGCAGTCTCCGCATCCCTACAGGTATGGCTTCTACTATGGGGCCCTCGAGCCCCACCAACCGCTTCTCCATCGGTTTCAGCCCCAACAATGGCAAGTCGGACGAGGGACGCATGTCGCCTCCCCAATGCCACACACGCGCTCGCTCGCACACAGCCATCGGCGCCGGCGCACCCTCTTCCTCCAACATGGATACTTGCGCATTGAGCGACGCCTCTGGCTCTGGCTCTCAGCCTTCGTCCTACATCTCGGCATCCGATCTGTCCTTCTCGCGCTCTCCCACCAGCCCTGGCAGCTCCTTCTCTTCGTCTGCAGCAGGCTACTCGCTCGGCAGAGTACCCTCACTCCCATTGGGCGCTTCTTACGAACAGGCGCAGAAGAGATTCAACAGCGGCAGCTGGGGTCAGAAGATGGCCTGGATGAACACCATGCGACCTGGACCTCTCTCTCCCACACTCAGTAGACCGAGCATCGACGAGGGCAGTGCTAGCGGCGATGCAGCCGCCAACGGCACCATGGGCAACCTTCTTCGCCGCTTCAGCCTGAGTAGCAGCTCCTACCGCACAGGCAGCATGTCGGCCTCAGCTTCGTCTGCAACTCCTGTGGCTCCTGCCTACGACTCGGCTCCATCCGCCGCTGCCATCCCTCGATCTGCCTCACCAAAGTCCATCCCTGCGATCCACGACTCTGGCGTCTCGTTCGGTGAAGGCAGAACTGCTAGGCGCGGTCGTCAGCCCAGCTTTAGCGGCAACACCAAGAGGAAGCCTAGCCCCATGGGCGAGCGATTGCTGATGGGTCATTTCAACGCTCATTAAGCAAGCTTCAACTCGGTAGATTAGGTCGTTTAGGTGGAAGTTGCAGCTAGCATGGTCTGCGAGGCTCTCAAAATCCGCGTGCAGCTCGCAATGTCCCATCTTCGTTGTCAACTTGACACCACCTTCACACATCACTGTCGACGTACACGCTGAGTGGCTCTTCGAACTTCTGTCGTCTTCTCACCTCCAGCTGCTCCGTTTCAGTACCGCTGCTCATTACACTTTCAGAGCCAACCTGCAACGGATTGCATCTTTTCCTGCCGTGGCATCCTTGTTGTCGAATCTCTGTTTGTTATTGTGTAGGCATACCTCGTGATCGTTTGTTCGCATATTTTCCTGTCTCTGGCTTCGCTTTAGGTTGTTACAGTCGCCTCCAAAATTGCCCAGCATCTAATTAATTTGATATGGTGTTCTCAGGTCCTTTTCATGATGATGACCAGTACCCTTTGTTCTCTTTGATAACACCCACTTTGTGTGGTATGGTTGCAAAGCTTGGATAGCCTGCTATCAGAATACCTGAGAAAAAAAAGAAAAAAAAAAAGGGTGGTCCCACCAAAGAATATGCTGGAATTTAGGTTGGTGCTTTTTAAAGCCCTACCTCCTCCTCAATTAATTCTGCATCATGATTTGGGGTTGTATGACCTGGGCAGGCCTGGGTCTAATGGTCTATATAGATGGTAAACTGAATTTGGAGTATTACATTGAGTTGCTGGAGGAAGCAGTGCCTGGTAGCATCTTGAAGTGGAAGAATATACAGAGAATTCCACCAAGGGATAAATTGATCTCTCAGCAAGACAATGCCTGCCCTCACACTGGCAAAGTTGCCAAGGAGTACATGGAGGAGGTCAAACTCAATGTATTGCCCTGGCCTGCAATGTCTCCAGACCTGAATCCTATAGAACATATGTGGCAGCAGCTGAAAAAGCAGCTATATCAACAAAGACATACTATCAACAACAAAGCTCAACTCATTGCAGCTATCAACAGGTTTTGGGCAACTTTTCCCAAGGAATCAGTCCAGGCACTCATAAAGTTGATGCCCAAGTGGTTACAGGCTGTATGGGTTGCAAAAGGGGGTCATACAAAATACTAAAGTATAGTATATAGTAATTTAGGAGCAGCTTTACACTCAAAAAAAGTCATGGCACTTTCACTGTGCACAAATGTGGTCCAATCACAACAAAACTTATATGTACTTGTAGCTCTCAATCTCAGCTTTCCAACAATATGCAAGTTACACTTCATTGAGGATACCAGCTCTTGAGAAGCAAAGTTGATGTATGGTGATGAGCATTTAATTATCCTAAAAGATGCCAGGCAATTTTGGACATGACTGTATGTTTGTTGAGGGATCAGGCAGTATCTATCTGAGAATGATTGAGTTGATGATTTCGAGAAGAGTAAATACATGAAATAGAATGTGTATATATAAATGATAAGTCTGATGAGCATGTGTGTGAATATGGCTAAGTCAAGTGAATCTGTTGTGTATGGTCGGAAGGGGAGGTCTGGGAAACAAAGAGGGAATGATGGGTACAAAGGGGTCTGGTTGTGTGAGAGTGCCACAACTGTAAATGGAGATTCTGATCAAAGGGTAGTTGTTGTCTGGGAGAATAAGGCAAAAGGGTGGAACAAAGGTTGTTGGGAAAAAGGGAAATCAAAGGGAATTGTGGGAATGGAAAAGTAAAATAGACTTCCGAGGCTGATGGCGCATAAGCTCTGTAAAATGCATGCCTCGTATCTTAACTATGTTGCGCCCGGGTTAGTCTTGTCATTTTTCGGTAGCTGTCACGCCTGGGTACTCTATCGTGCGAATACTAGCCGCACGAGAACGCTCGATCGATATCATGGCGCAAATCTTTGCTTGTACGGAAGCTAGTACTTAATCTAGCTTCTCCTTAGATCTCCTCCTTCCTTTCTGCAATCCATCTAGTTACACCATTACACAGCGCATACAGCTTGCGCACGTAATAACGTAACAGTAGCACTGTGTTCTCAGAATCAATGCAAGTTGGTTTTAATGATCACTAGCTGTGCTGCAAGCAAGACATTGCTGGTGAAGATTGAACGACGTGCGAGAGAAGATGACTATCGAGCACATGTTGGAATTGATTGCTGGCAGCCGGCGGTATCAACTGCAGCTTGGAGAATGTCGTATCAACAAAAGGGTTCGTCAGGTTTTTAGGCTGGATCTGCATGGTGAATACAGTAGAAAGGAATTTCGCATGCAGCTTGTGTCCCAACACGACTCGAGCTGCTCCTCCTGATCCTTTCGCGCAGACGGTCAGCAGGAGGCAAGAGTCACATGATCATTGTCTTGACGAAGCCTGTCCGTGCTTACTTAAAAGGAACTTGGCGCACAACCCCGGATCGGCTCTGTGCGGCTCAGAATCAAAAGTTGCTCAAAGTGTCTGCTGCGCATCTCATTACAGGCTACGCTTAAGCACAAGCGACCACATCCTACACCCGCATTCACACTACCACCTCTCGTCCCCATGGGTACTTTTTTCATCTCGACGAGCATAGCAGCTCTCTTGTAAACGTTTCCTCGGCCCTCTTGTGTTGCCCGCGCTAGACGACAAGGCCCCGCGAGAAACCATGGCTCTCCATCAGCTGTTTACTCTGGCCTTTGCGCTGCATCTGGAGCCTCTGCCAACTCTCGACTACGCAACGGTACCCTATGTCAGAGATTCGCAACGAAGCACCGACTCACTCGAAGAGCCAGAAGAGCTTCGAGTTGGCGCAAACACAAAGCTGGAACCCATTCACAGCCACCACCTCCCACATTCAGTAAATACCCTATCCTTCCTCCTCAATCATACTCGGGCAATCGATGCCATCGAGCCCTTCTCCAAGCTCATCGGTCTGCTCGACGAAGCCGATGACGACCCAGAGTTCCGCAACCTGCGAGAGTTCTTCGACGCTCGCTATGCCGAAGATGGCACGCTAGTGGGAGCTGAAAAGGAGCCTCGTCGACGAATGCGCAGCATTTCTCGTGCCGCATCCACCAAACAGCAAGGTCGACGATCGAGTCAGGCTACCGAGGGCCGCAAGCCCTCTTTTGCTGCTAGCCTTGGCGGAGCCAGCGCCCTCAAGCTCAACTGGCTTCGTCGTAATAACAACTCTGAAAATCAACCGCACGAAGGCTCGGACGATGAAGACTCGCATTCCAGGGTCTCCAGCAGCGGTCAAACTGCCAATCCAGCACCACCTTCCGCTCCATACATTCGACTATCAAAGCGAGCACTGTCTTCCTCACCCTCCAGCACGCATTCCTCATCCTCCCATCATCGGTACGCCGATCACGAATGTACAACACTGGTCACCTTCCGAGTCCGCCTTGATCTGCACACAATCGGACTCGCATCTCCACCTCCTAAACTGCGCATCCATCGTCAGCAGGACACCTTTGGAACAAGCTTGCATCGTACTGGCTCAGGCAGATCGGCAACTTCATCCGACTGGAGGAGAAGACGGCCACGCAACTCGAGCCTTTCCAGTGGCGGTGCTGCTCTGAGACCCGTGGCAAGCCCTGATAGCATGGTTTCGTTTGGTGCCATGTCTGCTATTGCCAACGGGGATCCTGAACATCCCGCAGGGCCAGGAAAGCTAACCATCGACACAAGCGCCGTCAATGGTGCATCGACCTACAATGCTGTCTCAAACTCGAGAATGACGCCATCAGGAGAAACACCGAGTCTCACTACTAGCGGCGAAACGCATCTGCCAAGCATCACTGAAGGAGCAATCAGCGTTCCTAGTCAGCCATCTTCCCCGAATTCGATTGGTGGCAAAGCCAGTCGACGTCCTTCGATGATGTCCAAGTTGCTCGACTTTGGGAGGAAAAAATCGTTCCTCGACCGACCTGCAAGCGAAGCACAAGATAGTCGATCTGCTTTACCTGGTCCAGCTCATGGCGAAGTGACTACTCCCTCTGCATCCACCCATAGAGCGAGCTTCCTCTCAGGCGTTCGTCATCACCTTGGCAATGGCACTGCTTGCAATGAAGAGGCTCTCGATCTTGACGAAGACGATGATGACGGTGCTCTACATGCTCGGATGATGCGACAGTTGCAGAAAGGAGGCAGCAAGCACGGTCGACGTCGTAGTTCTGCTGGCAGCTCTGGTAAGAATCATGCCAGTTCACGCTCAGCAAATCATGATCTGCGGCCTGTGCAAGAGGATGGACAGCTGGACCTGACTATGATCTCCTCGCGGTCAAGTGTTGGTACCACCTTTTCAGAGCAGGGCATCCCGGAAGGATCTATGGGGGGCAAAGTTTGGTCGGCGCAAGGCGCAAGTGCGGCTGCATCAGCTGTGATGGATGGCCAAGATTTCTTGACGCTCTTCCGTGCCGCTTCCAGCCTTGGTCTGCAGGCGATTCAGGATTGTCTCGGTGGTGATGAGAAAAATGCGAGCCTGAATGGCAACGGCGATGGCGGCGACGTGACGACGCCAGGCCAGGGGAGCGTGCGCTCAGCCAAAGAATCACCCGCTTACGACACTGTAGGCGCTGACACACCTTCGGTGAGAACACCCAAGGTAGAGGCAAAGACAAGCTCCTTACCTGCGACGCCTGGAAGATCGATTGGCTCGCTGGACCTTGATCGGTCACCGAATTCTCGATGCTCCACAAGCAATGCGATTGATGCTAGCTTCCAGCACGGTGCTTCTCTTGCGAAGAAGAAGGGTGGAGAGGATGACGAAGCGTGGTGGCCATGTGGTGATGTCGATCCACTTCCAGTGAGCATTGCAAGTGCACTAGGTCAGGCTCTGGGATGGGAAGGCATCATGCACCTTTGCTACGGTAAAGGCAGCCGAGCTGCGTCGGAAGGCAACTTCCTGGCTCTCGGCAAGGCTGCGGCGCTTGACCAAGCCAACAAAGTGCAGGAGAGGAGCGTTCTAGCCTGGAGAACAGGTGTCGCCAGCGCCGGTACTTGTCCACCCAAAGGGGATGCAATGCCGTCCCTTGACGAGCTGACAGCATCTGACGCTGCCAATCTGGCCGGCTCTGTGACTCAGAAGCTCAATTTGCACCCTGCCAACTGCAACGTGAACACGGCAAGCAACGCTTCCATCTTGGAGCCTCTTGACCAAAAGGCACCACAGCGGTCAGCAACAGTGCCGCAAGATCTGCCGTGGCCTCCTGGCGACTCAAATGGCAACGGCCAAACCGCTGGATACAATGGCGCAAGTACAGCTTGGGATCAAGCATCGCTCCTCTTCGGGAGCAAAGTCAATCACGCACGGACTTGGCAACATTGGCACGCGCTGTTCAAGAGCATCAAGGCTTGGATCGATGAGTACGAAAAGACGAGAGTGCGCAACGCTCTGGCTCGTGAGATCGGCCTTGACCGGCCCGTAGAGACTGCAGCCAACGTCGGAGAGGCCGATCAGGATGAGGCCTCAAGTATCCCTCTTTCTGCGCCGGTCAGCATGGATGTCGGAAGTGCCGATGGGCAGGTTCCGCTCACTTTCGGCTCACCTCCGACAGCGTCTACTGAAGTGTTCAAGGTTGCTTCTGATAAGCTTGACGCCTCGACACTGTCTAGAGTCTTGGCCACTTCGCTGAGCATCTCGCCATGTGTGCTTGTCGATGCCACCAATCGAGCCCACGGTTTCCGTCGCAGAGTCGGCGTACCAGAAGGTCTCTCCTTGGGACCAGAAGACGAAGAGGCAATCGATTACACCTGGTCTCGCAAGAAGCTTTCAGTCGAGCACTTTGCAACCGCTCTCACCATTGCCTGCGACAGCGCCTTGCACTTTTTCAGCCAGCTCAGCACCAGCAACTGGCCACACCGCTCAGCTTGGGAGCTCGATTACCTGGAGATGTGTGTTTTCAAGTCACCGCTTGTCGCTGACCGTTTCCCTCCGCCAGGTGAAGCGGTGGTGCCAGCTTCACAGTCCTATCGACCAGCACAAAATGCCAGAGACCGCTCCCGCGTATGTCCCAACCCGGACCAAGCAGGCGCTTGGAACCCGGACGTGTGGAAGAGATGGCTCATCTCGATTCAAGAAGGAGACATTATCGTACCAGCTGTGGCCTGGCAGGCTTGGTGGACTCTCATTTCCGTTCTCAATGGCGCTGATCGGACGGGAAGAAGTTATGACCTGCAGCTCAAAGCGTTGGAGGAGCCGTTTGATGCGCTTACTGATCTTAATGCTGTCTATCTCTGATGTGTTTGCATTTATACCCTAACTAGCATTCGCAATCTCATTCCTTCATCTCTCTGATCCTGACGGCAGCCTGTGTTGAAGAAATATCAGAAAGCTCAGCAGGCATGAGCACCAATTCCTCGCCGATAAGTTTTGTTGAATTGAGCAAAACATGACTGCTTGCTTATAACAAGTATGGGCTCATGACACTAGTCTTCCGTCGGAGCAGCAGCAGCAGCCTTCTTAGCGATCTTCTTATCCTCCTCAATAGCCACGTTCTTCTCCGAAGGACCACCGTCAGCTTCCGATGGCAGCTCGTGGAACGGCTTTTGGCGAGAGAGAATAAGCTCGCGCACATCATCCGCTACATCACCCTGCACAACAATCTCATCGATCCCCGGGTGTTGAACGCTCTTACTAACCGACGCACCAGTTGCAAACCTGGACGAAAGCGCCTTCGCCACCACCTTCAACGCAGGCAGCGGCGGCGAGAACAAATGTAGCCCAACAATACTCGTTGTAACTTTCCTTTTCGTCCTTGCCTCCTTCTTAAGGATGATGCGGGAAGCGGCCATTTCTTGACGTGCTCTTTCTTCTTTTGCGATCGTCTTGCGTTCCTTTTTGGCAGCTTCTTTTTCAAGATCTTCTGCTTGTTTGGTGGTGAGTTTGGCAAGGTTGGAGGTGATAGCTTCTTCAGACCAGAGTTTGGAGTACAGCGCCGGTTGGTTGTCGTGAAGCCATGTTCGACATTTGGAAGGGGAGGGGCCGAATTCGCAGTATTCGGGGGGGAAGGTGCAAATCGCGCAGTAGATTCCTTGGCGTGGTTGGGGGCCGGCGGGGACGGAGGGGCCTGCCTCGGGGGTTTCGGTGTCTGCCATTGTTGATGATTTGAGCTTTGGTTGGTGGAGTTGGGTTGGAAGAAGGGAGAGGAAAGTGTCGCGGGTCAGACAGGTTGATACGAGTCTGAATCTCAAAAGTGGAAGAAGCAAAAAAGTGTCTCGCACGACACTCGTTCCTCCACACAAAATCGGGCAGAGAAATTGCCCCCGATGCACATCTGGCAGTTCTTAACGAACGGCTTCACCTGTGGTGTACAGACTTGGAGCGTGGACTGTGAAAATTGAGTGTCCGCTGCAGCTGAAAAGAAGGTCTCGCCCGTTGCCTTCTTTTTGGAAGGCGGTTTCAAGCTTTGGTGCGGCTCACCGACAGCTTTTGCCAAAAGTTGCTTTCTTCCCCACGGACAGAAGAGGTGCCTCGATCCATTCGTCAGGACCAGCATCCTCCATCCTCTTCTCTTCCCACCATCATCAAGCAGACATGCAAGTCTAGCAACAACACACCCTAGGGTTCAATCAGACTAAGGATTTACAAACGCTCCGTCTTCCTCTCGCAGATAGACACTCGATAGATACCCACTTCCGCGGGTCACACAGACACAAGCTCGCAAACATGGATGAGTTCATTCGCTTCGTCAAGCAGCATCGACGTCAGATCACCCGTCTCGCCAAGAAGGCGTTCACTTTTTGGAAGAAGAGCCAGGGTGGTGGAGAACATCAACAAGGCGGTGGTGCCTCTTACGGTCAAGCAGCCTCTTATGGCCCACAAGCATCACACCCTCCTCAGCAAGGCGGATATGGAGGCGACAGTGGAGGTTATGCAGCAGAAGCCGGATCAGGCGGCTACGACCATCCCCCACCACAAGGTGCCTACAGTGCTCCTCAGCCACACTACGGCGCATCCACTCAAGGACCTCACTACAAATACTCAGCAGACAACCAGGTAAACCAACACGATGCAAACTACATCAACCTCCGCAATCAGGCTCGTTCCGAAGGGGACAAGATGGCCCAATGCTTCGATCAATCCCACAAGGCTTTCGCTCAAGGCGACGGCGCCCGTGCTAAACAACTCAGCAACGAAGGACACGAACACAAGATGAACATGGAACGTCTCAACAAACAAGCGGCTGATTGGATCTTTATGGCTAACAACGAGGATTCACCCCAGGGTACAGTGGATCTGCACGGTCTGTACACTTCGGAAGCGCTGGAGAGGACCGAGCAGGCGGTGAGACAGGGTCAGAGTCACGGTTGTTCCCAGATGAGGATTATTGTCGGTAAAGGTTTGCACAGTAAGGATCACCGTCAGCATATTGCTCCGGCTGTGGAGAAGATGGTGCGTGATTATAGCTTGGAGGCTCATCTGGATCCAAGAAATGCTGGTGTGTTGGTAGTGAATTTGAGGGGAAGCGGACAGGGTGGAGCGGCTTTTACTCGTGATTTGGCAAAGCAGACGACTGGGAATGAGGACGAGTGCGTTATAATGTAGAGCACCTGCTTCTCAGGACCCAGAATACGGACTCACTTGGAGTAAGAACGGTGTTTGCTTTTGCTTCAATGTAGCCGCTTCCGGACGGAAATACGTTAATGAGATACCCTGCAACATGACACGATGGCTCAGTCCAACTGATCTGAATCCACTTTGGGCCAGAAATTGTCTTGTGCCTGGCTGTGTGAGTATCAGGGGGACCGTTTGTGGACGGAATATGTGAAGAAAGGAAGAACCATGACCTCACCTCGTCTTTCCTGCCGCACTTTTTTTTTTTTTTTTCGTCGGTCTGTGTGTGTGTGGTCGCGTTAACACGGCAGGCGGATTTCGCGCACGGACCAAGAGTAGCAATTGCTGCGTTGATGAGAGAGCAACAGAACACTCTGTAGAACAGCTTCCTCCCCGCTTCGGATGATGCCTGTATGAATGACATTCTGACAGAGCAACATCGCCAGCTTCCCCTGTCGGGTGTTACATCGTCTTGACTCGCATCTTGAGCTCTTCCCTTCCGCTCCACTAACATCACCAAAGCTTCTGCCGTCTGGACTACACTCGAACCTGCAGATGCTTCCAAGTCCGCTACCTCTAATCAGCTCGGGCCATCGTTGCCTGTGGCGAACCGTTTGCTCTCTCACTCGGACGATCCCACACTCACCGACTTTCCGCAGCGATGACCGCTGAGAACGCAGCAGAGGCAGGCCATCCAAGTGCGCCTTTCAGCGTGGCCACTGCCATTGCGCTCGGTCTGGTCGCCAGTTTCATCCAGAGTCTTGGTCTCACAATCCAACGCAAGTCACATCTCATCAACGAGACCCTCCCTGCCGCACGACGAAAGACCGAGTGGAAGCGACCACTATGGCTTGTTGGCTTCGCCGTCTTCCTTGTCGCCAATATCGGCGGCACAGTCTTCCAGATCGGAGCCCTACCCATCGTCATGCTGGCACCACTAGGGGCTGTCAGTCTTCTCTACAACGCCCTTCTTGCTCGATTCTTGCTCAATGACCTGCTCTCAAAGTACATGGTCATCGGCACAGCGCTCATTGCATCAGGAGCTGTCCTTATTGGGTACTTTGGCGTCGTACCATCACCCCCACACAGCCTTGACGAGCTGCTGGACCTCTATGCACGTCCAACCTTCGTTGCCTTTGCTACAATCTTCACCTTTCTCTTCGTAGGCCTGCTCACGGTCTCACATCTGGCAGAATGGCAGCTTCATACTCGTGTCTATCGCAACTCTTTACCTGCTCGTCCTCAGAAGCAGAAGCATCGCAGTGCTCATGGTTTGCGTGGAAGATTGCGGAGGCGGTGGTCGGCTCCTACTCTTGCACCAGTGGTCGAGGTGAACGAGAGCAGCTCTGGAATCGCAACCCCCGTTCTCGCAGTACGGGACGAGGCAAATCGACATTCGACGCTGGCATTCAGTCCGGCGCAGAACCTACTCTACCGTCGGAGCATCGTCGCAACACCCATGCCACCGCTCGCTGCCGGTGTCGCTGATCTACAGACATCACCTAGCGATGCTCGATCTGCCTCGTCCCGCTCCAAGACAACCGAAACCTCGAAACGCGACTACGGATCCCTCGGTCGCAGCGAACTGAAGTCACGCAAACGCAAAAAGTCTCTCAATGTGCCACGGCTGGAACTCAGAGAGGCAGAACAACGCATTGATGCAGAGACGATCAAACAGACCAAATTAGGTCTGGCTGTAGCGTATGGTGGAGCGAGCGGTACTCTCTCGGGTGCATGTCTGCTCCTAGCTAAGTCTGCAATCGAGCTTCTCATGCTGACTTTCTCAGGACAGAACCAATTCGGACATTGGCAGAGTTGGCTTTTAATCGGCATACTTTTGGCTGCAGCTCTGCTTCAGCTTTGGTATCTGAACAAGGCGCTGAAGCTTGCTGATCCGACACTTGTGTGTCCTTTGGCATTCTGTTTCTACAACACATCGAGTATCGCTCTTGGTCTGGTGTACTTTGATCAGCTCGGTGCGTTGGCGTGGTACGATGTTGTGTTGGTGGCGGTGGGTACGGCGGTGCTGTTGGGCGGTGTGTGGATGGTCAGCTTGCATGGGAATCAGGAATGTGATGAAGGACTGATTTGTGATGAACGCGAGACTCAGCCTCTGCTTTCGTCGCCAGGGCTCTCGGAGCGATCAAGGACGTCGTCAGATGCCCATTCTGAAGTATTGGTGGCAGCGAACGGGGCTGGCATTGCAGGACCGCACCTTGCACCAGTGACCAGCTCGCCCCACTCATCTTCCTTCGTAGATCACAACGTTGCTCCGCTCACCAGTCCAGAAGAAGCCGCTCTGACCATTCACCACGACCACACAGCACAACACCCGGACAGCAGCACCACCAGAACGGTCCCCCACCTGGGTGCTGCTCCACCCACCAAACGCCGTCCGAGCAACACTCAACATCGACCGACAATCACACTCGAGTTCCCACTCCGAGACGACCTCTTTTCGCCTAAACACGATGATGATCTGGAATCTTTTGCCGCCGTCACCGCCTCGCCGTCTGCTCATCATTCACCCAAAACCTCGCAATCGGATCACGACGGTATTACATCCAGCAGAAGAAAGCATTCTCTCTACAACACAATCTTGGAACACGGTCTATCGATCGGCATCAGCCCGAGCTCTCCCGGCTTTCACCTGCAGCCTCGTTCGCCATCACTGTCGATAGTCAACTCGAACTGGCAAAGCCCAGCAAGACATCCTCAGAGAAGTATGTCGGAGGCTGATGCGCCGTCCACTGTGACAGGGTATAGACAGAGGAGGCATCGGCAGGAGGCAAGTGAAGATTCTACAGAACAGGCTGCTGTGGGTGGGGAGAATGTTGAGGGGGAAGAGAATGCGAGTAGTTCTGGGCTCGGTATTATGTTGGATCAGATGGATCTCAGTAGAAGACTGGAGGCTGTGGGGATCAGTAAGGAGACTGGGAAGAAGTGGTGGAGTAGGCTCAGGCCGAAATGGGGGAGGGGAAGGGCAGAAGCGGAGCCCTTGTTAGACGAGACAGAGGGTGGACGTGGAGATTTCATTGTGACGAGTAACAGTAATGGGAGTTTGATGGCTGCCCCGCGTCCAGCTGGAGGGCAGGCGGCCGGCCCAGGGCAAGTCGGTCTCGGCATAGAGGCGAATGTGAGTGCTGACCCTCCGTCGACAAACGGAAGGCGCTAGACTCACTTCGTTTGGCATGGCGGCTCAGATGTACAAGTCTTATTGATACCCACACGAAATACACATCTCGGCCCTTTAACGTAACACAAGCACTGCACAGATCCAGTCAAGCGGCTGGTGACTTGGTATCGAGATTGCAACAAGTGCTGTATGTGTGATTAGAAGCTCCCAGCATTGATCAAGAACAAATCCCTCTCGTTCGTTTTGATCCACTTTGTCAACCCATTGGCGATGGCCACAATCGCCAACTTTGACACCTGCGGATTAACACACAAATACAGTTCGAATGGCGACGTGATCCAACCCAGCACCTGCTCATGCTCTGTCTTTACCAGTTGCATCTTCAACCTCCTATCCGCATTCAATAACGGTCTGGCCGCTTGACTGCTCCACATTCCTCCGGCCCCACCGAAACCGAAAGCGGATGCTAGTTGGGAGCTTCCTCCTTCCAGCACCCCTGCTCCCGCACCGGCGGCTGGAGTGGTCGGATTAGAGGGAACCATGTTTTCCGCCCCCACGGCAGCAGTTGTGGAAGGTGGGACGGGATGGTGGATGTTGTGATGGACCAGAGAGTAGAGTGTGAATAGCCGTTTGCGGTCGGTTGCGGATGTGCTGTATGGTTCAGGTAGGGTGGGAGAGGTCAGTTGGATTGTGCTGTTGCTTCGATATACGAAGTGGCGCAGGCCTGCGAGACCAAGCTCGGCACAGGTGTAGGCGGAAACTCGTGGAGCCCCTTCTTCGATGTTGGTTGGGTCAGAGAGATGGCGACAGAGGGTGAGAATGTGGCGTTGGAAGTTTGTAAGCCATGCTTCGCCCTCGTCTGCTGGATCAGACTTGAGGGTCTTGGACGTCAAGCAAGTCTTCTTGGCTTTGGTGTTCGAGATGATCGATGCCGTCTCTGATCGGTCTGATGCTTCTATTGGTGGTTTGGCGACAAGTGAAGAGATCCAGCTTGAGACTGTTGGGAAAGCGTCTTTGTCTGCTGTGACGACGATCACTGCGAGCTCGGACGATGTCATCTTGCTGTCATGGGTCCCTGCTTGCGATGCTGGTTGGGCGATCCAGCTCTCTGAATCCAGGAACTTGACATATGCATGTACAAAACCCTGCGGTGCGAACTTTGGCATACTGAAGGGTAGCCAGATCTCTGCATCTTCCGACCCTCCAGAGCGCTTGATCGATCGACTGCCCACCACCGTATTTGTGAGCAGAAGCAGATCGATTGGATGTACCGAATGCTTTCTTGGCCTCAGCAGCGTCACAATACGCCCATTTGCGATCAATAGCACGTACAGAAGATCCTTCGGCCGTTGCGGCTGTGTAGATGAGCTCGACTCGGCTGCAGGTGGCTGCAACGCTGCAGTGAGCTGATCTCGCAGACTCGGCACTGTGATACGGATAGGCTGCAGGGCTTGCAACCACCACTGATGACATGAGGCCCAATCTGTGATCAGTCGCTTCACCTTGCTCCTTCCCACCGCATCTCCTTCGGCAACAGCTTGACCGTTTCCGTCTCCGCCATCATCGTCATCGGTCTCATTAGCATTGAGCTGATTCACCAAATAGTCAAAGATTCCTTCCGTCCCCTCGAGAAGCCTCCTAAGATCAAAGTTCGGCATTCGCGAAAATAACCGAGTTAGCTGACTTGCAGAGACCAAGCTGATAACCTGCAGGTACAGATACTCCAGGTGCTGCCGCAGCGTCGATGGCTCTTCGTTCCAGTTGGACACGCATACGAGGTAAAGCGGTGCGCGAAGGAGAAATGTGATGAGAAGATCGCCTTGTCGAATGAAGCGAAGTTTATCAGACTCTTCATCGGCAAAGATGGATATGAGTGCCTGCATGACTCCGACTTGAGTGGTGCTGCTTTCGTCTTCTTCGTCGCTCTCATCGCCGGTATCCTTTGGCGCTGCATTGGCGGTGGTGGAGTCTGAGTCGGCGGATTGGGGTGATGACCTTTCCTGCTCTCGTCGTCGTCGTTGATCTCTCCTCCTTTTGCGTCGCGACAGAGATGCATGTGAGATGTAGATAGGTTTGCCTGCTGATGAGAGAATGTAGTACTTTCGATCGGCGTACTGCTCCGGCTCTTCTGGTGTAGATACTGAGGCCTCCTCGATCTGCCCAGCTTCGATGCCTGTGCTGGATTCCGGCTTCTCTTCTGCGACACTATCAGCAGCTCCGTCTTGCCTGTCAACGAACTGCGGCGAGATTGCCCTCGTGCTGGTGGACGGATCTCTGCTGTTGCTACGACTTCTATTCTTGTTCGATGCTCGACTGGTAGACAGTTGCGAGAGACGAGACCGCAAATTCTGACCTTGAGACGCTCGATCTGCAGCTGCCTTGTCGCTGACCCGATACAAAAGATCAAGCGCATGTATGCTGGAGCTGGTGGTAATGCCTATCGCTTCTGGCTCATCTTCAGCAGCGTCGTTGAACGCACCATCGCTGCTCTGATCGCTGTCATGTGAGCCTTGCCGAGAGGGTATATGCACCGGAGCGCCATCATTTGAGCTTGAGGCCTGTCCTGATGCTTGGGCAGCACGAGTTGGAGCGCTTGACAGCTCATCACTTGCCACAGCTTGTGGTGTAGACGGGCTGAAGGAGAGATCTGGTATTGGTGTCGAAGCTCTGGTTGAGTCGGAACTGATATTCGAGACCGGCAAGGAGCATGAAGAGGAGGCGTCAGCAGCAGTGCTGGTGTTCGATCCGACTGTGACGTTCGAGGATGTTGTCGAGGGTGAGACGGTCGCTGAGGTCCATGACTTGGTCCACAGGACTGTTGGGCGAGCAGATGGAGCTCTCGAGTTCCTAGGAGCAGATGTCGATGCCACATTTGCTGGCTCATCGGCGCTAGCTTCCGCATTACGGCTCGACGACGCCGCCGACGGTGGCATGGCTGTGTCTGATAGATGATCGTGAAAAGGTGAGAAGAAGGTCAAAGTGAAACAGGGCTTGCGGAAACATTAGAGTCGCGACCCTTCCTCCACACCAACACTTTTCCCGTCTGGACTCACTCGCACGTAACTAAAACTGACTATAAATAACACGCCAAAAACTAGGTGGATTGCAGGCAAAGACTCCTGAGGTCCTCGAAGCTCGACAAGGAGCGGCCGAGCGCAGAAACGAGCGGCAAGGGAGGGTGTTACAGGGAGGGCAAATAACGACAAACCAGGTTATGGTATGCCTGGCTTTGGAGAAGATGATGGTAGTGAAGAGAGAAGCGGAGAGCGGAATGATGTTGTGAAGAGCGGGGCGGAGAAGCGGAACAATTCGATTGTTAAGTCCAGCCCAGACGCGCAGGCCTTTCTTTTGAAAATCACGTGATGCAGACATGCACATCTCGACTCGCACGTGCCCGCACCTAAAATTGGCTGCTCGATAGTCAATCTTCTTCTCGACCGACCATTCCGTCAGCAACCGGGGGCTCAGCAACATGTCGACATCTCCTCCACTCTACGCTGTGGCCGACTTTTGCCGTAGGTATGGGTTGCCTCCGAATCCAAGATCTGGTCATGCGTCCACTGACCGAAATCATCACCTTCTTTGACGCAGTCATTCCTGTGGGCACACCGACAACCTCGGTCGGCGAATATATCACAGAATGCCAGCGAGTACTTGAAAGCATGAAGGATCAGGGCATCCGCTACGAAGTTCAGTAAGTAGAAGACCTATGTGTCGTTTGCTTGGAACGCCAAGCACCGCCAGGCTGACCAATGTCCATATCCACACCTCCTTCAACAGCGGCTACGGTACCAACCTCGAAGGAACCTTTCCTGTCGTTTGCAAGGCAATCGAGCTCTGTCACGAAGCTGTGCATCGTCTAGGCGCTCAGAGGATTGCCACCGACATCCGTATCGGCACAAGAACGGACAAGCCTGCTCCCACACAGCACGGTCAAACCGAGAACCAACGCAAGAAGCAGAGCGTTATCCAGCGTCTTTCTCAGCACTGACTTGCCACACCATCGCAACTTGAATCATTCTGCAGTTCTTCCTGACGCGTGTCTCTGTGGTCTGACCCTGGAGTATGGGCGCAAAGGTCGTGTGATGTGAAGAGCACATCTCTGGTTAGTGTCATTGTGGGACATGGTCTCTTTGTTAGACCGCACTTTTTGTTCTCATGAGCGAAAAAGGCCTCCACCTCAGCGTTCACGCGTCGCGTAAAACAGGGTCTACTGTTGAGCGCGCTTCTTCTTGGCTGAGCAGCTTCTTGACAGGTGTGCCTTTGATACCTTTCAAACCTCTCATCATCATCACCGCCCGGCAGCTTTCCCACGTTACGAACGACTGATCACACAAGATGTCAGGCCTCATGTATCACGGACCTTCGACGTCCGAGAAGCCTGATCTTGGACTCGACAATGCCGCCGAGAGCTCCTTCTGTCAGTTCTTCAAGTCTATGCCCAAATCCTCAGCGGGTACCTTGCGTCTCTTTGACCGTTCCGAGTTCTACTCTGCGCACGGCGACGATGCTATCCTCATCGCCAACCTCGTCTTCAAGACCCACTCTGCGCTCAAATATCTTGGCAGTGGCGGGAAGGACAAAGGACTGCCTTCCATCACTCTCAGTGTCGCAGCAACAAAGAACTTTCTCCGCGAAGCGCTCACCACTCGTCAGATGCGAGTCGAGATCTATGGCAACACGGGTGGCAAGCGCAACAACTCATGGACAGTCATCAAGCAGGCATCTCCAGGCAACCTGCAGCAGATGGAGGACATGATCTTTGTCAATGCCGACATTGTCAGCTCGCCCATTGTGATGGCGCTCAAGATGACTACCCGCGACGGCGTCAAGACCGTTGGAGCTGCCTTTGCGGACGCAACCAACCGCGAGCTCTGCGTGGCCGAGTACGCAGAGAATGACCTATTCAGCAACACTGAATCGCTTATCATTCAGCTCGGTGTCAAGGAGTGCATACTGCCGAAAGATGACAAAGGTGCTGATCTAGACCTCAAGAAGCTTCGCGAAGTCGTCAACCGTTGCGGTGTCGTCATGTTCGACAACCGACGTGCAGACTTCTCCGGCAAGAACATCGAGCAAGACTTGCGACGCTTGCTCAGAGAGGAAGCAGCAGGTATCACTGTTCCAGAGCTCGATCTCAAGGTTGCAATGGGCGCTGCATCTGCCCTCATCTCCTATCTGGCCTTGCTCACGGATGAGCTCAACTTTGGCCAATATACCATCCATACACACGACCTCTCACAATACCTTCGTCTCGACAACTCGGCATTGCGCGCACTCAATCTCTTCCCTGAGCCGGGTCAGACGGGCTCTAGCAAAAATACCAGCGTGTACGGCTTACTGAATCGCTGCCGCACCGGTCAGGGTCAGCGATTGCTGGGACAGTGGCTCAAGCAGCCCCTAGTCAACGTACATGCAATCAAGGAGAGGCAAAACTTGGTCGAAATTTTTGTGAACGACAACAATACACGCGAACTTCTTCAATTGGACTACCTCAAGCTAATGCCAGACATGCATCGCATCAGCAAGCGATTCCAGAAGGGTGTTGCGACGCTAGAGGATGTTGTGCGTGTCTACCAGGCTGTCTTGCGGCTGTCAGGGCTGATCCAAATGCTCGTCGACATGGAGACGCCATCAGACACACACCAGCAGCTGCTCGAGACCACATACATTGAGCCTCTCAAGCAGCACGATGCCGCACTGGCAAAGTACGCCGAGTTGGTCGAAGCCACCATCGACCTGAACGAGCTCACACACCACAACTTTGTCATCAAGCCCGACTTCGACGATGACTTGCGCCAGATCAAGGAGGCTTTGGACGACACCCGTGACAAGCTCGACGAACAGCATCGTTTGGCGGGCAAGGAACTGAAGATGGACACGGAGAAGAAACTGCATCTCGAGAACCACCACGTGTACGGTTACTGCCTTCGTGTCACACGTACGGACGCTGGCTTGGTTCGCAACAAAAAGGGCTACTCGGACATCGCCACTGTCAAAGGTGGTCTATACTTCACCAACGAAGCACTGCGCGACCTTGCCAACGGCTTCAAGGACTTATCAGAGCGCTACAGCCGATCGCAGAGTGGGTTGGTTAAGGAGGTCATTCAGATTGCGTCTTCCTACTGCTCGCCATTGGAGAAGCTCAACGTAGTGCTGGCACACCTTGACGTGATTGTCAGCTTTGCTCACGTTTCGGAGAACGCACCAGTACCCTATACCAAGCCCATTGTCAGCGAGAAAGGCACCAATGCGGATCTTGAACTTCGTGATGCCCGCCACCCATGTCTCGAAGTTATGGACGACGTCAACTTTATTCCCAACGACACCGAAATGGTGCGTGGCTCTTCCGAGTTCCTCGTCATTACAGGTCCTAACATGGGAGGCAAGTCGACCTACATTCGACAAGTTGGTATCATTGCGCTCATGGCTCAAGTTGGATGCTTCGTTCCGGCCGAAGCGGGTGCTAAGCTTCCTGTATTCGACTGTATTCTCGCGCGAGTCGGAGCAGGTGACAGCCAGCTCAAAGGTGTCTCCACTTTCATGGCCGAAATGCTCGAAACAGCAACAATTCTCAAGACGGCCACTAAGGACTCGCTCATCATCATCGATGAGCTGGGACGAGGCACGTCCACATATGATGGCTTCGGTTTGGCCTGGGCCATCTCTGAATGGATCGCTACTAACATCCGGTGCAAGTGTTTCTTCGCTACACACTTCCATGAGCTCACGAACTTGGCTAGCCAACAAACGCACGTGCGCAACCTCCATGTCGTGGCACACGTCAAACAGCGCCAAGGTGGTTCGCGACAGGATCGCGATATCACGCTGCTGTACAAGGTAGAGCCGGGGATCAGCGACCAGAGTCTTGGTATCAATGTAGCTGAGCTCGCCAATTTCCCTGCCTCGGTCATTGCGTTGGCGAAGAGAAAGGCGGAGGAGCTGGAGGATTATGATGAAGACGACCCCAAGAGTGGCAAGACGGTGCTGGATAGCTTGCCGGAAGATGTGACAAAGGAAGGAGCAGCACTGATAGATGAGTTCCTGAAGACGTGGGCTTCGCGGACGCAGCAAGAAGATGCGGGGACAGCTAAGCGTGCGCGTCATGCGGATCCTGAGGAGGAGCTGCAGGAACTCAGGAAGATGGTGGACGAGTTTAGACCTCGCATCGAGGCGAATGCTTGGGCTGCCAAGGTGTTGGAGAGCTTCTGACATAGCATCAACGTTTAAGCAATGATAATAGAAGCATACTTTCCTCTTAGCAACTTCTTGCAACAAGTCTGATCAGGTTCGCTGCACGACCATGAGCGTTTCTAGCCGCGTGAACATGTCTCCAAGGTCACGGAAGCTTCACATAGAAAGTAGCCAAAAGGAGAACGTGGACAGCGGCCTGCAGGCCTTTCTGTAAGAATGTGAAGAAGTTTTGTCCCGATAACTGGCGATCGGGGAGAGTTTGAGTACGATGTCACTGCTGTTTTAGACAAAACCATATATACTCAATTGACTAAGTGAACGTGGTGAGAACCTAGTGTTCTCAGCTTAATATATATATATACATCTATGAGGTACATGCCGAATGTGGGAGTATCCTTCTTCATGATCTAGCTTGACAACGAGCGGGAATGTGTTGTACCCGATCTCTGGACAGATCGGTTCCAACCGATCCCCGATTAGGTTTATGTCAGCATATATCATCCTATTGGATCGCTTCCTTCGGCACTTTCATCTAGCTCTCAGTTCATCCGCAGGCCGGCCCTTTACCGTCTTCTCCGACGCTGAATACTGTGATTTCGATTTTGGAATCCGACGGCAGAAGCGAGGTTAATCTTTTCGAGGATTGTGTGAGAGCTGAGACCGAAATCAAGCCTGTCCAGTTCGGCAGACTTTCTTCCGGTTGGCTTTCCTTTGTGCTCGAGCAATGATGAGAGCACCTTGTCGTGCATACAAGCTGAGCTCAAGCAGTTGGCGATTCTGCTTGATCTTACCCCGCCAAATGAAAGAGCTATCTTTGATACTGTATCATTCGACCTCATGCACGATAGCAGGAACGTGTCGATACTTTTTTGTCGAGTGTCGCTTGGAGGAGGACCTTGCTATCTGGTGCAACTTGACTTCAGGGCAGGAACACGAAATCATAGCCGAGCAAGGAGGACGCTGTTCCTGCTCTTGTGGTCGTACCGGCATAGTAAGACCCTGGCCCGCGAAAGAACGCTAATGTCGCTTGACAGATCCTTGCGAAGAAGTAATCGAGCCTCGTCTTTGAGAACATATAAGCACCTCTGTTCCTGCCATTTGGAAAGATGATCCCCACCCGCCTCTCATCTCACATCACGCAACGATGAAATTCACCGCCGCCACCTCTCTCGTCCTCCTCGCCGCCGCTGGCTCCGTCGCTGCCGACTCCATCCTCGGTGAGCTCGGCCAGCTCGGCAACACCATCAGGAACAAGGGTCAGGAGATCGCTGCCTGTGCCAAGGCCAGCTCCCAGCTCTCGTGCCAGGCCAAGTACGACATCCCTGCCAGCTCTTCTGCCAACTGCTGCTTCAACGGTGCCCTCGTCAAGGGTGGCAAGCAAAGCGGTCTTATTCTCAGCACCCAATTCTGGACCACCAATGCTAAGGACACCGACAACAACGGTCCCAAGGACTCCACAACCATCCACGGTCTCTGGCCCGACTACTGCGATGGAACCTACCCTCAGTTCTGCTCCAACGTCAGTGGTATCCCCGAGTACACCGGCGAGCAAATTGAAGCTGTCATGCAGAAGTACGATCCTGCTCTCTTTGCATATTACCAGAAGTACTTCAAAGACCTCGACGGTGACACCACCGACTTCCTCGCTCACGAATACAACAAGCACGGGACTTGCTTCACCACCATGCGTCCCAAGTGCCAGCCCACCCTTCCTTGGATCAGCCAGGAAGACTTTGCTGTGCTCAACTACTTCCGTCAGATCGCACACAAGTTCCAGAAGCACCCCGCTTACAACTACCTCGCGGCTGCTGGTATCCTTCCGTCCGCCACTCAGAACTACACTCTGGCTGAAATTCAGTCGACTTTGAAGCAGGCTCATGGTGCTACCCCTTATGTAGGCTGCAATAAGAAGGGCGAGATCAGCGAGTTCTGGTTCTTCTGGCATACCCGCGGGACAGTTAACTTTGGTCAGTATGCACCTGTCGAGTCAACTACCAAGTCATCTTGCCCTGCTAGCCTTAGGTACCTTCCAAAGCCTTGAGATGGTGTAGTACTTTGGTTGCTCTTTTCGTACGCGCTTTTCAAAATTGGTTCTTTGAATCCAAGAAACGGTTGTTTTGGCTCTTATTCGCGTGTGTGTGTGTGTGTAACTCTCCCTCCGGAACAGCCCATGTCAGAGCCCGCTGCTAGCAACCTTGACCAAAGATCAAGCGGCTCATGAACACATGGAAGCAAACCCTTCCAGAGAGCCAAGACAAACAACTCCTGTCCCTCAACATCGTCAGTAAGCGTCTTGACGAAGCCTTACACCGACCAACGTGGCGCGTCACCTCTACACGACGTGTCCGCAAGAGTTCAGTCCGTGATGAAGCGGACTGGCACTGCGCGTGCTCGAAGCCACGTAAGGTCGAGTCTGGCTCGATCAACACCCTCTACATTGCTGGTCTGGTAACGTGCTGCATTCAGACATACTTGATACTCGACCTCGAGCGACTTTTCGCCTACACCGGCTCATTCCGCTTCGTTCAATGACTCAAGCACTTTTCGAGCTCAGGAATTACGACGAGACAGCACCACCCGACACAATCGGCATAGCGATGGTAAACCATTTTGATTCTGAGCAAGTACAGAGCAGCTTCCAAAAGCTGTGTTAATAGGTGAGCGGGGGCCGCAGAGCGAGTCGCTGAAGGAGAAGGTGAAAGAAAGGAAACGAGTCACTGCTTGGTCGCTAGATACGATCAGGCAGTGATGGTAAAGGCGTGCGAGAGGTACGACTCGTAGTCGCTCTCGAGCTTTCCTTCGGTGAGAACACGCTGAGCACGAAGGAGAACCTTGTAAGTACCGGGGGTGAGCGTGGTGCTTCCGTTCTGGGGCATAGCCAGCTTGGGAGTGATAAGCTGAACATTGTACGAGTAGTCGGCAAGCTGACCGGTATCACTGTTCCTTCCGCTGTAATAGCCGTTGGCGAGCATTCCGACGGCCTTGACGTCGGCGAACTGAGAGCCAGCACCACCAGTAGGTGGGTGGACAGGCTTGGGACCGGGACCCTTGGGATCGCCGGGGTTATCGGGACCACCAGGACCGGGCTTGGGCTTGGGAGCACCAGGAATAGGTTCGGGCTGGGTGGATTTCTGACCGTTGAGCTGGCGACGGTGGTGAACAAAGCGTCTGTGGTTGGCAGCGGCGGAAGTCTTGGTGTTGAAGGAACCGTCAACGTTGTAAGTGGGCTGGAATTCAGTGGTGGCGTTGACAACATCGATCTGGAGGTAAGGGGTACCGTAGTTGAGGCGGTAGACGAGCTGAGGCCATGCGTTAACGTTGCTCAAGCTGTAGGTGGTGTTGTCGTTGTCAATGAAGGTGTCGCCATCAGCGGAGGTGAGGACGGGAAGAGCAACATCGAATAGCTCAGAAGTGTTGTCCAAGATCTGAGTCTTGGAAGTGTCAGCCTTGAAACCACCGTAAGCAATGTTGGCAGCACTGTAATGAGACGACTGAGGCTCGAGGTGGATGAAACCAGAGTAGAAGGGAAGCTTGTCGGTGCGGACATTCTCAGGAGGAGTGAAGGTAGCAGTGAACTTGGCAGTGCCCTTCGGAGGAACGACAATGTTGGCCTTGCTGAATCGGACGCTGGCGTAGTTGGCGCTGAGGGGGACAGGGCCCGGGTTGAAGAAGATCGAGTCATCCTCCTGCGACTGAGCAGTACCGACAGGGATGTGGGAGAGGGTGTAGCCAAGAGGCTTGTTGCCAAGGTTCTTGACAGTGATGGTCTGAGATCCCTTGAAGAACTTGGTGTCGTTGAGCTCGATGACCGAGGGGCTGAGGGCGATCTGTTGGTAGAGAGCCTTGTTGATGTCAACGAGACCAGTACCCTGCTTGGCGACAGTCTCGTAGAGAGTGTTGTTACCAGTGGCGTTCTTTAGCGGGCTAGCAGTGTTGGAGAAGATGCTGTTGAGCGTCTCGGGAGACATCCTACCACGAGCAGACTGGAAGACGGCGATGGAACCAGACATGAAGGGAGTAGCCATCGAAGTACCAGAGAGAATGGCGTAAGCACCCTTGGAAATAGGGTAGGTACTAAGGATGTTACCTCCGGGAGCAGAGGTAGTGGGCGAGTCAAGTCGGTTCTCGTAGGTAGGGCCGTAGGTGGAGAAGGAGCTCATGAGACCACCGGTGTCAGAGTCAGGAATGGTAGCGAGCTGCGTGTTGCTGAAGTCGAGAGAAAGCTTGACACCGTTGTTGAACTGCTGTTTGAGAAAGAGACCGTCGTCACGAGTCATGGAAGCAGCCTGCTGGCCCTCAACATCGGTCTCGACGTAGGTGATCGAGGAAAGCGAGTTGTAGACGAGGACGTACTTGCCACCCTTAGCGTTGATGTTGGCAAACTTGGTGGCGAAAAGGCAGGTACCTCGGCCAACAAGGACAACCTTGTTTGAGAGGTCGGGTGTTGAGTCAGGGAGAGGCGAGCAGGCATCGTCGGTGACAGTAAGGTTGTTCGAGGTGGGGTAGACCTCGAGCGTCTTGGACTGACCATCAGCGAAGGTGAAGGGAGAACCTTTGAGGTAGGTGACCTGCTTGCGGCTAAGGTTGTTGGGGACAATGTCGGCGCTGATCCCAGTGAGCACGGCGTTCTGAACGGAACCAACGCTCATGACGTTGTCACCAGAAGCAGGCGAGGAGGCGTACGACATTCCGTAGGAACCAGAGTTGGACTGAGCAATAGCAAGAGGAGTACCGAGACTAGCGATTCGGGCAGCGACAGCAGACGAGGGAGCCTCGCTCCAGCCACCAGGTCCACCGAGCGAGAGACTGAGAACGTCACAGCCGTCAAAATATGCCCTTTGAAGAGCAGCAATGATGATGTCGTCAGGAGTGCTACCAGTGCAACCAAAGACCCTGTAGGCGCGAATCTTGGCGTGAGGAGCAACACCGGTGAAGCCGAGAGCAGTGTCGTTAGCAGCAACGGTACCAGCAACGTGAGTGCCGTGACCGTTGCAGTCGAAGGGATCAGGAGAGGCAACAGGAGTGTTGGTGCCATTGAAAGCATCGTCAACAAAGGCGTAACCACCCTCAACGAGGCAGCCAGGGCCGAAGCAAGGCTTGTTGCCAGGCTTACCACCGAGACCAGGGTGAGTGTAGTCGACACCAGTGTCGATGATGCCAACGACTTGACCCTTACCGAGGAAGCCCTTGGCATGGATCTTGTCGACACCAGTCATAAGGTGAGGCGAAAATTTGTCGACGTAGCCAGTGCCAGGCTCGGCGTTCTTGGGCTCATGACGACGTCTCTTGCTACCGGCGGCAGGGCTGGCGGCAGCAGCATCCTTGCCGGTGGCAGCCTTGACAAAATCAGCCGAGACCTTGATAGGCTCGTAAGCGGGAACGGTGTGAAGGGTGGTGCGGAAGACCCTTATGACACCAGGAGCGGAAGCGAGCGACTCGTAGTCATCCTCGCTGTCGAGGACGACCGACATACCCACGAAGGTCTCGGGGTCGTTGTACTCGTAACGAGTCTTGTAAGAGCCCTTGGCACGCTTGGCCAGGTGGTTGTGGATCTCGGCATGGGGGTTGTCACGCTTGCCGGACTTGGCGGAAGAGGCCCCAAGCTCGACAATGTAACCACGGGGAAGGTAGTTGACCTTCTCGAACTTGGCAACCTTCTCACGGCTGTTCTTGAGGGTTGGGGGAGCGTTGGGGGGAGTGGCAGGGCCCTGGAGGGGCCTGGGACCAGCAGCGACGGCTAGGGTGTTGGCGGCTCCAACGTCGCCGCTCAGCAGCAGCATACCTGCGCTGGCTGCTGCCGCAGCGATAGAGAGGAACTTCATACTGAAGAGAGGAGGGGGGGGTTATTGTCTAGAGAGTGCAAAGTCTTACTTGGGAGTGGAAAAAGAATGTATCAGAGGGAATAGGGAAGGTAATCAAGCTCGGCTTGAAAAACTCGCCAGGAACCACGGCAGGGGAAGGGGGTTGGGAATAGGAAGAGGGTGAAGAGGGGGAGGGGGATGGCGACGTAGGGATGAGGGAAAGGGAACAAGATGACGAAGTGCACCTCAACAACCACGTCTTATATCAACATCTGACGCTGAAGGAGGGACCAGTCTACTCATACCATACCTTGGGGAGCAGCTAGATCAAAAGGGCTGCTGCTGGAGACAAAAGGCTGTTGAAACAATCGCGACGCAGGGAAATGCAGCTAAGAGAGGCGAGAGGTACTAGCGAGCTAAGAGCCTGATGCATTCAGGTCATGACTAGTTGCTGCAGAAGATCAAGCTTTGTGAGCAGACTTGGTGAAGCTTGGGCCCTGGGTTCGGATTGGACTATCAGGTAGCACGAGTAGTGGAGTGTAAAGAACAACCACATGGCGGAAGGCGGGAGTTGGCTGGCAAGGAAGGGGGTCTTCCGAGCCAAGCGAGGGTTCGATGGAATAAGGAGCAGCGGAGCTCAACTGCGGGCAATAGCGACGGATGTCAACCGGAAGAAGCGGGAAAGAGAAAGGTAGGCAAGTGCGCACCAAGATGATCTGCTACTCACAGCTCTGTCGCAGGAAGATCGACAGCTGTCCGGGCGAAAGCGAGACCAACACCTTTCTCGCTGCCTTTTCGGAGCGCGCAATCTTCTGGTTGTTCATTCCTTCCCGAAGCTTTCAATGAGAATCAAACTTTGAGCGAGTATGTACCTTTTGCAGGAACCGAGAGGATGCGTGCAAACCCAATACGGACAGGACGAGGAGCTTCTTGGGAAAGGGAAGGCAGTTGCGCAATTTGATGCTGCTTTGACGGATCACCTGCTGATTAAGGCGCATAATTAAGGTTCAATAGCTATCAAGCAACCTTCTGGTTGCTTCCTGGGAAACAGAAGCTACTTGATACCCGGAAGAGCGACTCTCGTGGCCACAACAGCCTACAACAATTGTCGCTACTCAGTAGCAATCAGCAGAGTAGCAGAGTGCAATGGTGATGGTGATGGTGATGGTGATGGCAATGGGGTAGGTGCATCAGAATCAGCGTATAGAGCGAGGCAAAAGAGTCCGAGTAAAGCTTGTGCGCCTAGTATACCGAGGAAACCGACGGTCGCTGCTGCAAGTGGTAGTGCGGGTGGGGTTGTGGGGAAGCCTACTCCTCCGCCTCGACCGACTAAACCAACGTCGGGTTGAGAGGGTAATGCTGGAGGGTCTAAGTTTGGTTCCACCCCCACCAACACTGCTTCTCCAACACTGCTTCTCCAACACTGCTTCTCCAACACTGCTTCTGCCGGTACAAACAGCGATAGAGGTGCAGTACCACCCCAGCGACACACGCGAAACCCAAGCACAGGTCCCCCAACCACCGCAGCCACAGCACATAGAAAGACGGGAAGCAATGTCTTCACCAGCATCTCTCTCACATGATGCTGGTTCCGAACTCAAACGCAGTCTTGAATCCGACCTTTACTCCGACCACTGCCAGAGGATGCCCCCTCCTAGACCTCCCCGCAATACCACCCCTTTTCGATCCCCGAATAAGACTCTTAGTGATCAGACTGGAGTTGTGGGCGTAGCAAGTTCTCTCATCGGCGCCGCAGCTTCCGCTTTACCCCTCTTTAAGCCAGGAGGAGCAGGAATGGGGGGAGGAACTAGGTCATTGGCTGATGGAGCACCAAGTAAACAGTTCGGCGGGGTAGGATTGGGTAGATCTGCAAGTACTCATTCCGATCTTAGCGTCCCTCCTGGTGACGGGAGTGGTGCCAGGACCTCGATCCCTCTGAGTAGGGGAAAAGGGGCGTTGGAAGAGCCAAGAGACGCGGTTGCTAGAGCAAGATATGAAAATTTATTCTCTTCACTTGTCTCTCAGCAACGAATGCAGCGGAGACGAACCAAAGCCAAAGAGGGAGAAGGTGATAGTTCGAATGCCTCCACCGTCCGCGGTGGCTCCTCATCTAAGTTTGAGGAAGGGTCTGGGGCCGTTTCGGCGCTTAGGGGATGGTTCGAGTCCGATTCGCACCCCAGCTCCAACCCTACTACCAATGGTAATGGGGGCGCAGCAGTGTTAAGCGCAAAAATGGTTCAAAAGGTATGGTCGAAGTGCAAACTTCCAGAGTCTTTCCTTGCAGGGGTATACGATCAAGCCTCATCCTCATCCTCAACTCCCGCAGGCTTGGATAAAGAGGACTTCGCTCGAGCAATGGCAACTATAGATGCCGAACTAGAGCGACGTAAAGCAAAGCGAGAGAGAAGAAAGGAGGCGAAAGCTAAAAGAGCATCCACAATGTGTTTGGGGCTAGGGAGGAGGGTTCCCCCACCCCCACCTTCTGCGGCGTCTGGAGCTATAGTTTGATCGAGTTGAAGTCTGTCATAGTCTCGCCGCTTCAGGGTCCTATTGCGGCCAGGAATGGTGGTGCACAAAACTGGCAACAATTGAATTCGAACAGGTACGAGGATGAGATTGGGATACAATACTGCAAACCAGTCGCAGTAGTAAGAAGAGATGAAAGCGAGTCACTTGCCGAGCATGACAGCACTGGAGAAAGTATGGTGTATACAATTTTCCGTCGGCGCGCAAAACGGATGAGAGTATAGGACAGGTAGAGGCATAAATGCATCATGCTCAAGCCCTAGCCAGCCGAAACAAGCCCCTTTGCAGGATCCAGCTTTCTTGTCACATCGTCATACCTTCTCCTGCTAAAGATTACGATCCAGTGAAATGCTAAAGGATGACATAGAGCCGAAGTGATAGGGAATCGGGCAGAGCCGATCTGACCAGAGATCGGGCAGAGCCGATACAGTAAAGCATCGGGTACCGCTTAGTCCCGCTCGTTGACACACTTCGTCATTAAGTGGAATGCTCCCACCTTTGGCATATGCCGACACTTTGTATATATATATCAAGCGGGGAGCTCGAGGCTCCCGCCACATTCTCTCCTAAGGTCAATATAGTATAGTGTTTTTGCTCAATAGCTTGAACACTGTGCTTAGACTGTTGTCGACCGCTGAGTGTCGACACCCGTATTTTTATTATTATTTCCACATCTCCAACCAAAGATCAACATAACGATCGCAAACAGTTGAAATTAGATACACCGCTCTAGAGGCCACAGTCAGGCGCTCTTTATAGTCGAGTATGTCTAAGTGAGAAGACTTATTATTTCGAGATGTGAGAAGCTACAGAACATAAGTAAATATACCCGAACAGCTGACCGTGCTCGCCCATCGAGTCACTCCTTGAGCCGTCATCCAGTGGGTCTCCTTCATAATCGTTACCTTGTCAACACCACGTTGTCATGACAACACTTCATACCTCCTTCATTGGTGTCAAACCCCGAGGGTAGGCTGCATATTCTCCCACGAGCTTTGCATCCACCTCATCTCTGTTTGCACTTTGCATCACACCGGCCTCCCTGCACTTAATACTCCGATATAACATGTCGACCTTTGGAAATACCGAAGTATCTTCAACTCAAACCTGGACACTCACATCATCGTGGCGCCTCTCAAAGGGCACATCCTTCACGCAGACTTTCTCGCTTCGCAATACAGCAGTATCCACACATCACGGCATATAAGATGCATCGCCAAGTCGACAGTCCCACCGTGGGCCTTTAGCCACCTTTCATCTGAGCCACCAGTGGGCTGAATCTCTACTGTATCAAATTGATACAATACGCTGTGAGGACTGTTTCACAGCCACCAATGGCAACCCATCTGACTTCTTCGCGAGATTCGAGGGTCAAAGAGGTGCACGCATCAAGCTTCAGGCTCGGCAGGGAAGTGTGCAAGCCCGACACATGTTTGCGAACAAGAGCTGAGGGCTGGGCCCATAAATACAGATCTCCCAAAACTTATTTCGAAAGTTCTCCCGCACTTTCTACAAGACTCAGACAACCTTCAAGACCTTCAAGATTCAGACAACCTTCGATCAAGATGACTCGAGCTTCTACTTCCGCTGCCAACTTTGGCCTCCTTCTGGTAGCTTTGGTTCTGATGCTTCACTCCGTTGTGGGCGAGCTCACCCCTAGACATGTCCGTCACCATCTCTTTGCTCGCGACTTCGGCTATGATAAATGTCACACCGATCTTGTTGCTAATAATATTGAGTACAAGACTCTCTGTGAAGACAATGATGACCCCCGGAAGACTTGCTTCAGTCACTGGGCTGGCAATCTTAAAGGCGCAAAAGCGTGCTTCCGCGAAGACGGTAGCGTCAAAGAGAAGCTCATGATCAAGGACGATACCATGAATGGTAAGTTGTTCCACCTTCAGCCGTAAAATTAAGAGCAGATGCTGACCTTTTGTCTTCAATACCCCTGCAGATTTCACAATGGCGCACCCTACTGATTCCTTCGAGATAATCTATCCCAACCTCGGTGGAGTTAAACTCATTTACGACAACTTCGATAATAACACCGGATGCAAGGACATCGTTCTCCAAAGGCATCAGTTCTCTCCCTGGAGGATCTGGGTCTCGGACGAGGATGGCGATGGCAAGGACATTGATACTCTGAATTATAAAATGACGTTCAAGAGACTCTGCTCCAAGTGGATCCACATTCACATCAGCCGCTCTATCTTGAACGTTTAAAGTTTGAAGTGCAAGACATCGCCTCGTCCGGGCTACGTTCTAGCTGCTTTCGCACAGGTGTATGATGACAACAATGCTTATCTTATTACTTTGTGGATGCGTAGCTACATGTGTGTATATATGTCCTGTGATCACTCCTAGCGACGTTGAGCTGTATCATACGAATCGAGTGTTCCCTGTCGAACCCCTGTGTTGTCTTCCATGTAGGGCTCCTGAGTCGTTACCATACCAACCAACATGCATTCCACATGCATGTTGCTTATTCACGACCCTCGCTTCATCGGTAAACCACATTGCAATTCCGACGTATCTTCAGCTGATTGTTATGGGATGTAATCTTCTTCTGTACTTCACAGTATTGATAATAGAGTTGATGGAAGATGTAATTGCCTGCGCTGTATAGTGTACAAAGTGGTATATTGAGTTGATCGAGATTGGTCAAGCGTCGTTGTTGTTCCCTGTAGCTGTTACTGGGGAGGGTGTGCCATGGATCAAATCTACACCACCAGACATCAATCGTTCAGCTTCTTATTTCCCATCTTATACCCTAAGAGCGTGTTAGTGGTGAGTACTCACCCTGTATAGAACTCTCCAAAGCATCGATCCGACTACTCATCTCATTCACTACACCACCAACCAATGCAAATATCAGCATTTCTAAACCCTCAAAATCTGGAAGCCAAGATGCGGCACTTACTCCGTGAGGTGACTTGACCATTCATATCATCGAACCTAGACTCAAGTTGACCTAGAACCGTGTCTACCCAAACGATCAACTGGTGTGGGGAAGAGATGTCGGGTGGTTGCACTGCGTTTTTTGGTTTTGTTGATGCGGCGGATGGGTCGGTGTTGGATTGGGTTGAAGCGGAGGCGGAGGCGGAGGCGAAGTCGGAGGCAGAGGTAGACGTGGAGGTTGAGGGAACGGTTGTGGCCGGCTGTGTTATTGTGGCGGACATGTTTGTGTGTGAGGGATGGTGGTTGGGGTTGTTGGGAGATGGGAAAGTGTTGTTCTCGACGACGAGTAATGACAATGGCAATGGCGAATGATACCATCAACCAAGATGCATGAACCTATCGGAAGCAGTTCAACCGACGGAGCCGCGTCCGAACGATAACCTCACTTATCCAACCGAACGATTGACCGACTCGATAGTCTTTCTTTTTGTGGAGACTCCGACAGTGCCGAATCGAGGAACACCACGTAGCGGGACTGTTGACAGTCAGACTGCAGCCATGTCAAGTAAGGCCATCCAACTCAGCTGAGCTGCAAGGGGAGCAAGGGAGCGAGAGGGCCAAGTCCAGCAAAATCAAGTCGGCCTGCTATCTTCCGAGCTCACTATCAGAAGGCGCTAACTAACTGCAGTACTCCATGCCCGATGTGGGTATGGCAGCATTCAGTGTTCGCACACGAGATAAGGAGAAGGTGACAAAGGGTGCGCAAAGCGCCTCTTCCCAACCAACACCTTCCCAATCTCTCGCGGTTCCTCGCTGCTCTGGTGCCCATATTTTTCTCTGATATTGACCGCGGTCGGTCACAAAGAAGCTACTGCACCCTCCTGCAGTTCGCTTAATCGTATGCAGACCCTTAGCTTCAATGCATAGAAGATCTTGTCTCGGACACCTTTCTTTGCTGGCACTTGTTCCTCTCACATTTGTCATCTTTGTTCGCTTTCTTCCGCGCCACAACCATCAAGCGAGGCTCTATCGTCTTCTTGGCACTCCGGGTCCTCTTTGCATTCAATTACCCCCTTTAAGCTCATCGTCTATCTTCCCGCTTCGCTTGTGGATATCTTCGGCTTTGCACGATCGGTGCAACAAACCTTCTGATTGGCTGAGCTGGCAAGAAGTCCATTTGCAATGCTGTTGGGATAGAACGACGACGCGGAAGCCGTCGCGTGACCAGCACAACTTGACGTCTGACGAGAGATCGAGTATTCTGCTCAAAGCTTGGCACGTCGCGTGAACGACTCGAGATGAGCATCGGCTTTGCACCTTGTCTGGATCGGCGATCTCATCGGTTAGGCGGAATAAAGCTACCTCAATTTCATTCTCGAATTTGGCCTTACTGTGTACCAAAGTCACATTATTGGCATCAGTAGCGATAGCTCAGCACATGTGTCTGCCGCGCCAACCAGCTTTGAAGGATAAGTATGACTCGCTGTCTCATCTGCCCGCTCAAGAATTCCGTATGATCATCAAGGTCGGTCCTCACTCAAATCATCCTGGTCACAAGTATTGAATGCAAGTGAGAAACCGTGTCCATCACGTTTCGCATTCTATTACTGTGGCATAGGTGCAGACAGATCGGCTTCGATCTGTTGCAAAAGCGAGTCCATCTTTTCAGCAGGTACAAGAGCAATGCGACCGAAAAGCGGAGCCTCGAAGCTGTCCGAAGCATCTGGAGGTGGTGGGAATCGGTAGGTCAAGGAATGACTCGCCGCCTTGGAAATAGCAATATCTTCAGGGTGGAAGAGACCCAACTCCTCATCAGCTGAAGGGCCACCGAGAGCCATACCATCCGAAATACCGCGTGCCTTGGGAGCATCCTTCTTAGCTCCCGCCTTCTTAGCCTCCCTACGAGCAAGCTTAGCTTTCCTCTTCCTTGCGCCTGCCAAACCTGAGGGCTCGTCATCGTCGTCCTCATCCATCGCTTCCTCCTCCGAGAATGCATCCGCAGAGAACACGCGCGAGAAGAACAGGTAGTGCCAAGGCGTCGCTGAAGAGATGGAAGAAATCGAAGCGCGGACCTCTTCGAGCAGCATCTTGTACAGAGGTGGTGCGACCTGAGGAGGCATGTTGACCATACGTTCGTGCAGCACTGCGATGATGGGTGCATTTGTCGATGTGCTTGATGCTGCACTCTTGATCACGTCGTGTAGAGACTTGCTTGAAGGCTTGGAAGAAACTTCAAGCAGGTACTTGGTCAAGCTGTTGGCCGCTTCCGATCCTTCTTTCTTCTCGCTTGAGAGCGTGATGGCAGAGACGAAAGCGTAAGGATCCTGGTCCTCATCATCAACGACCTTAATCGTAGTACCCACGCCTTGCGAGGTGGAAGAATTTACGATATGATCCGCTAATGACGACAGGTCGAGCTTGGTATTGTGTGTATAGTAGAGCTGTTGCAAGAGTCGCTTTAGCGCGAGGAAGTCGATCTCTTCAGGCGCCCGGAAGTCAAAGTCGACATTGATGAAGTCAGGCTCTTCCGAGCGATCGCTGTCGTAGTCAGAGCCGTCAGCTCGAGGCTCTTCGTTTTCGGCTTTGCGTTTTGTGTCGATTGGCATCGTGTAGTTGTTGAGTCTGGAGTGTTGCGTATCGTGACAGGAAGAATAGAGCTCACAACATTGCAGAAGAAGCACAGACTCGAGCCAAAAAATTCCAGCATAATTTTCGGAACTCGGCCAACTCATTGTGGAGTGGAAATTTCACCCGGCCGAAAAGGTAACATTCGGATACGCTCAACGCTTCAGAACGCAGATTGTACGTGCTTCGCAAAGGCCAGCAAGAGTGTTGGTTTGGCCACGACTGAGCATCCTCGACATGCATAGCTATGAGCAGGCAAGACATTGATGCGAGATTTGAAGTGCAGATGTGCGTAAGGACGAGGTGAATGCAACACATCGAAGCACCGTGCACAGTGACGTGCGTAGAGTGACAAGTAAAGTGTTGGAAAACCCTGCATCACGTGATTTGATTTTCTGCGCTGAAAGAAACGCGCACGGCCAACGCACTCAACAGAGCTTTACACAGAGATTGCGGAAAGATTAGAGTCTCTCTAATTGGATTCATGTGTGCGTTTCAGATTTCCTCCAACAACCCCCCGCTCGACCTGTCCGCAAGCTACTCCACAGACGGTGACGATCATCGAACCCCATCATCACTCGCAACCATCACTCGCAAGTATCACCATCTCTTCAAGTACCACCTACCCTTCGCGAGAATCAAGTTCCGTCCTGTTCCCTCCGTATCTACGTTTGACATCACGAAGTTGTTAGCCCTGCAACCGCAACGATCTCTTCGGATAGCCACACCCTCATTCTCGAGTCGCGTTCACCTTCGGTCTCTTGCAAGCAATCATGTCGCATCGACAACCATCTGAAGGGCTTCCAGACACCGCCATGGCTCAGGACGAAGCTATGCGTGACGATTCGTCGGCTCGCAAGTACAACAAGACCTCGTATCTTCAGAAGCGTACCCCACCAGAAGGCTACCCTGTCGAACCGGCAGGCTCTTCATCTGCAGCGCAGTTCACATCTAACAACGCTGATGCTGGCCAACCCTACGACCCTGTCGCAGAATACCGACGCGGACGAGCCCTGACTGCTGACAACCTGGAACGCATCCCGAACGCAGACCAGCTTGCTCCCGGCATTCGTCTCCCAGGCAGAGTGATCGACCCGCACGGAGCTGATACCGACATGCAGACCTCTTCCGACGCAGATGAGGGCGCGCAGAGCTTGGAAACCGGCCATACCAGCGTCGGCGCCTTTGGCGAAGGCGGAGCTCCTGTACCTGGCGTCCCGCCTGAGCTCGACCCCAGAACGCCCGCTTTCCGACCTCACAGCCCCGGTGAAGCCTCCGTGTTCTCCGTCGCAGTCCAGCCTCCAGCCTCGCCAAAAGCGAGCATTATAGAACCATGCGAGCCAGCAAGCCCCTATGTCGAGACTACACCATCCCGAAGCTCCACCGTCGACCGCCATGGTGTTCCCGTCAGCAGTGCTTCTGCTACAGCAGGCTCTTCTTCTTACTCTGCATCTGCACGTGGTTCGTCCCCACCCCTGTCAGCAGGCTATGCACCGTCAGAAGCCTTCATTACAGCCATGCGACTCGGTCCTGGCCCAAGCTCGCTCGGCCGCAACGTGGCTAGTGTAGCACCTTCAGAAGCAGGCAGTGTCTCCTCCACAGGCACTGGAGGACGAGGAAGCACAGGTACAGCCGATGACCAGGAAGTCGCCCTCCGCGCAGCATACATCGAACGACAACGTATGCGAGAACGAGAGCTTATGGGAGGAGAAGCCGGTGTCGGAGGCACAACTATTCCCACTTTCGCCCTTCCCGCAAGAGATAGCACTCCGCTGGCATTCGCACCAGGCCTATCGGCTCGTTTGGGCGGCGGCGGCGGCGGCGGCGGATCTTCAAGCACCGCATTCGAAAATGGCAGTCGAGCAGGCAGTACAGCTGCTACTACGGGTACTAGTACTCCTCCACTCAGTCCTACTGGAAGCGAGATCCCAGATGCCGTTGCTTCGCCTTCCCGCCGCGGAAGCGTGGACAGTACAGAGACGCTGGGAAGCATACGTGCACCGCCCAGCGTGCAGGGCTTTGAACTGGGAAGCGAGATCGAATCTCGTCGTATGAGTCGTGGTGGCAGCTCGGCTGGGTTCGGCGAAGGTGGTGCGGGGAATGACTATGCGCGGCGAGGAAGTGAAGGAGGGATAATTACGAGTGCGATGGAGGAAGATGAACAGCCGGTTTTACGGGGCGAGCCTGGGGGTCTTTGAAGTGCCACAATGAGAGATGAGCACAGGGGCTTCCGTTGATCGGAAAGCAATACAGCAGACAGAAGCAGAAATACAAAGCAGTCACGCAAAGCAGTCACGCAAAGCACAAGATCGTATGTGGGGAATGTGTGAGAATCAGTTGAAGTTATGCGATACACCTCTTCGTTCGGGCCACGTTCTAGCTCCTTTCGTAATGGTGTATGGTAGATGCAACACTTAGATTCAAATAGACTAAGGCTACAGTAATGTGAGGTTATATATACCTTTGCTTCATTCATGAGATTGGCTATTCACACCCTGTGAACTAGGTGTGTTGTGACAAGCCTCAGCATTTTCCTCCTTAGTCTCAGCATTCCTCTCTCTAAACATGTCCTGATTGGTTGCCACTGAATTTACTATGCATGCATGATCCTTGGCCTGTTGGTGGTTCAGCTCTCCTGCATGTTTGTCATTCCAGTGCAACTTCAACTCCCCCCCCCTTGCCAGTATGACCAAACCCATTGCTTGAGCTAATTGAGTGGTCTCCCCTCCTTTCAGTGGCTTCATGAGGATGTCCACCACATTGTTTGTCATTCCAACATACTTGATTGTGATGTCACCTTCTTGCATGTGGTCCCTAATGAAATAGTATTGCATGTCAATATGTTTGAGCTTCCAGTGTTTAGCTGGGTCCTTACTTACTTGTATGCATCCTTCACTGTCAGTGTGGAGCACCAGTTTGATGTTGTCAAATCCTAAGTCTCATAGTAGGTATGAGAAGAATAGGGCTTCCTGTGCTGCTTCCGATCTGGCAACAAACTCCACTTCTACAGCTGAGAGAGCTACACATTTTTGCACATGAGATCACCAACTCACTGGACATCTGTATAAGTACATAATTGCTCCTGATGTGCTCCTCTGACCATTCATGGGATCTGATGCCCAATTTGCATTGGTGTATGTTACCACTGCTCTCTTTTCCTCATTTGCCCCCTTTCCTAATCACAGGCAGTACTCACTCATCTGGTTTAGGTATTTTAGCATGTGGATCACTGCACACCAGGCTCCTTTGACTGGAGTCAACATGTGTCATGCTAAAGTCCCCACTGTGAATGATATGTCTGGTCACACTGTGTTCAATATCCATAAAAGTTGTCCCATGAGCTCCTGGTATTCCTTGCTTTGCGATGGTGAACATATGTTTCCTCTGGTGCTCGCAGCAATGTGTCATGGGCCTAAATGCTCAGGAAGCAGGAGGGTCACTGGTTCATATGAGAAGGGCACAGGTAGAGATCTAGTCGATACCAGTAGAGAGCATGGTCGTAGTGCAGTCTCCATGGAGACCATGGACTCCTATGGACTCACATGCAAAGGAGCACTGAGCCATATGCGAGGAAGGAGCAGGCACAGCCACGAAGGGGACCAAGCTCAAGGAGCATGCAGATGGTTACCACTCAGGGGCTCGAGAGACAAGAGTCAAAGGAACCAACACCAGGTCATGAGGAGGAGGAGCAGTGTCGAAGGAGTCGACACCACTCAGGAGGCACAGGGGTGCCAAACAAGCAGCAGGATAGCAAGGAGGAGGAGCAGTGTCGAAGGAGTCGACACAGCTCAAGAGGCACAGGGGTGCCAAGCAGGAGAGGCCCCTGAACAGTACTTGATGAAGAAGGTACTCTCTGGAGAGAGAGCAGGAGCAGCATCACTGGTGATGCTGTGAAGAGGTATATAACCATGCTTTCTCATCATCAAAGGTCGAGTGGATCCTCATCCACTCTACTCACCATACAACTAGTCAATACTTTAGAAACATAAGTACTCATTAGTTTTCAGTCAGCATAGCAGCAATCTACCAAGGTTGCTCCTCATTGTAGTGTGTGTGTTGTATCACCACTACCTGACATCCGAAGGTGCCCCATAGCAGGTTAGCGGTCCAGATATAGATAGAACCAAAGGCAGTAGTCCACTGTGGTCTGGGGATCACCTCAAGCATCAGTCAACACACTGGACACTTGTGTCGATGCCACCAACCCCATCACCAACACCATCGACTTCATCATCATCAACACTCACACCAGACCTTGGTGTCATCACAACCTACATATTGATATTGATCGTGCCAAGCTACCCCTGAACGGAGTGTCCACAGAGGTCAGCTGAAACCTACGATAGTATATACAATGAATGCCACCCACTGTCACTGCACAACTTGATAGTTGCCAAATGACTAGCCCATCAAGACAGATACTGAGACAATAGCTGTCGCACAGTTTGATAGTCACCAAGTATCTCGACAGACCGACCTGGGTTTCAGGCACGAGACCCCTGACATTAGAGTGGATCATTCAAGCAGCTCCTCATGATCACCATGACAGACCCAGACCTCAACAATAAGCTCGATAGACTACTCACTCTATTGGAAGCCCAGCTAGAGCTTACCAGGCAGGGTCAATGAGAGGAATGATTACAACGAGCTCATCTGAGCAGAGAGGAGATGATTGACCTCTCTCACTCAGAAGACCAAGCAGGAGGAGGAGATGAGTCTATGATAGGAGACCCACATACTCCTACCCCAGCTCCATGACCAAGATGATCAGTCTCATTCATCAACCTGGATGAGCAGGACAACATCAACTATGAGAAGTATGCTTCACCTACCAGACCGAGATATGTCAAGACTAAGGTGGACCCCTACAGCAGGACCAGGACAGACCCTTACTCCCTGGACCAAGAGGAGGACACCAGTGTCATGATGGAGAGATTGAAGCCCATTGCCACCCCATTTCCAAAGTTCAATCCCTGAGACATGGAGATCTTCATTCTAGAAGCCGAAGCATGGTTTAAGTTCAACCAGGTGTTTGAGCAGTCTAGGATGATCAACCACATGGGTGCTCAACTGGAAGGGACTGCACAAGAGTGGTGAACCTCAAAGCTCCATATTGATAGAGCTAGAGAAGGAAGGTTGTTCAATGATTGGCACTACTTCACAGAGCGACTGTCAGAGCAGTTCAACCCATGCAATGCTAGGATGGAGGCATACAACAAGCTGCTAGCTCTCAGGCTCACAAGTGATGCTCCTGGTGCCACCACATGTCATGTAGAGTGGTTCAGAGACTTGGAGGGACAGGTCAACCTAGATGACAACGAGCTAATGATTGATCTCTTCAGAGGAAGTCTCACTCGCAGCATACAGGAGAAGTTCGAGAGGAACCCACCTGGGAAGAGATGGGAGTGGTATCGAGAGGTTGAGGAGATCGATTGACAGAGGATGCTACTACAGCAGTCCTCGGCTAGACACTCACTCCCAAATGCCATGTCACCTCCACTAAGAACTGGGTCTCGGCCAATTCAAAGTTCAATCCCCATATGTCAACCCACTCAACCTTATCCAGCTCGATCACCAGCACAAGCAACTACACAAGCAACTACACAAAACCGACCAACTAACTGACCCCTTCCTCATCAACCCACCCAAACCTCGAAGCAAGGAAGCCCTGCTCCATCAGGTATCAACACCTGTCATGTATGCAAGGGTATCGGCCACTGGGCCAGAGACTGCCCTAGCAGGAGGATAGACCCTCTTAGCTCTCGACCCATGGGACCAAAGGTCATGGTCACCACAGCAGACCCCTTTGAGGAGGCCACCGATTCAGGAGATGGCAACACAGGCAGCACTGAGACAGGTGACCCTGAGGCCATGGACCTCAGCTCATACCAGCAATCCATGGACCCCGATCATGAAGAGGAGGAGCACAATGATGGTGACGACAAGGGAAATGTCAGTGGGGTGATGCACTGATGGCATGCATTGCTCTACAAACCTCCTCGCCATCACTCTGTATATATCAAGATTGTCAAGTATGTTTCTCTACCAGTGGAGGCAAAGCAGTACTGGAGCTCTCTGGAATGGTTCAAGACCATCCTGCTTGGATACTAGCTGATACTGGTGCTGGTTTGTCCATAGTCTCAGATTCTTTCATTAGTAAGTACCAAATACCCACAAAACCCATAAAAACAAGATCAATCCATGGTGTCACCAGACACCAACTCTCCATCAATAGTTCTGCAAGCATGCAGGTATCTATTGGTACACACAATCTGGGTGTGGTCGAAGCTTCAGTGGCTGACACTGCTGACTATGACCTCATCCTGGGGTTCACTGAGCTACGGAGGCTCAAACCCACCATACAATGGGATACAGGCCAGCTGGAGTTCAAGACTCAGGAGCAGGACTGACCCCCAAGGAGACCCCCTGAAGCAGCAAGAGCAGGGGACCTAACCATGAGGAGACCAACCCTTCATGGTAACGAGTTTGTCTCAGCAGAGCACATACTACAAGCAGCTCTGGAAGATGGACCCATAGGGTTCATGCTGTTGGAGGAGCCACCATCATCACTCCTGGCCTTTGGTTTTGTACCTACAGGTGCAGACAAAGGAGTAGAGATGGAGGTAGAGGTGGACAAGGTGGTGATGGCTGCAGACATACCAAAGCCATACCAACACCTGTGAGATGTGTTCGATGAGGTGGAAGCAGACAAGCTGCCCCATCATACCAAGCATGATCTCCACCTCGAGTTGATAGAAGGAGGTAAGCCACCTCAAGGGCCCCTATACCTTAAGGGACCCAAGGAGATGTCCGAGTTGAGGAGGTACTTGGATGAGAACCTCGAGAAGGGGTTCATAAGACCATCGAAGAGCCTGGCACAATCACCAGTGCTCTTCGTACCAAAGAAGGATGGAGGTCTCAGACTCTGTGTGGACTACCGAGGTCTCAATGAGATCACTGTCAAGAACAGGGCACCACTGCCCCTCATCGAGGAGCAGCTGTTCTTACTCAGGAAGGCAAGGATCTATACCAAGCTAGACCTTAGAGCAGCATACAACCTCATCTGGATTGCTAAAGGAGATGAATGGAAGACAGCTTTTGGCACTCAGTTGGGACTCTATGAGTACCTAGTGATGCCTTTTGGCCTAGCCAATGCTCCAGCTCACTTCCAGTTGTTCATCAATGACATCTTCCAAGACATCATCAGAGTATATGTGGTAGTATACCTAGATGACTTCCTGATCTTCAGTGACACTGAAGAGGCACATGTGAAGCATGTCACTGAGGTCCTCACTCGTTTAAGGAACAACAGGCTCTTTGCTAAGCTGTCGAAGTGTGAGTTTCACACCAAGATAGTCGAGTTCCTGGGATACATCATCAAGCCAATGGGCATAGAGATGGACCCAGAAAAGGTGTGCACTGTCAAGGAGTGGCCAATGCTGGAGTCAATCCATGACATCCAAAGGTTCCTGGGTTTTGCCAACTTCTATTGAAGGTTCATAGCCCACTTTGCTCACATAGCCAAGCCCTTGACATCACTGGTAAAGCCTACAGAACGGTTCAAGAAGTTTGAGCTACCAGAGGAGGCCCAGCAGGCCTTCCACAAGCTCATCCAGGCATTCACATCAGCAGGAGTGCTTCAGCACTTCAACTACCACCTTTCAACAAGGTTGGAGACCAATGCAAGTGACTTTGCTATAGCAGGGGTACTCAAGCAGGAGCATGAAGGATGATGGCATCCAGTGGCCTTCTACTCTAGGAAGATGTCTTCTGCTGAGAAGAACTATGAGATCCATGACAAGGAGCTCCTAGCTGTGGTTGCTTGCCTTACTCAGTGGCAACACATGCTAGCTGGACTACCAAGTCAACTGGTCATCCTCACCAACCATGAAGCCCTCAAGTACTTCAAGTCACAGAGACACATCACAGGTTGACAGGCTCGATGGGCAATACTACTAGCAGACTTCGACTTCATATTGCAGTATCGACCAGGAGACAAAGGTGGTGAACCTGATGCTCTCACCAGAAGGACAGACATGCAACCAGCTGGTGAAGAGCAGGATCACAATGTGAGGCAACTACTGCCTCCTCGAGTGTTCAAGGAGACAGCAGACCATGACTTGACCCTAGTGGCCCCTATGCTCTCGATGGAGTCCATAGCATCGAAAGGTCTCAGAGACCTGGTCAAGATCTTCCAGCCCTTAGACCAAGAGCTACAGGAGATACATAGGAAGAAGCCCTTCAAGGTCAAGGACAACCTATGGTACAGTGGAGGAAGGTTGGTTATCCCCAAAGTGATCATGCCAGGGAGGACCAACAACTGACACTCAAGGAGTGCCAAAGAGGTAGATGGACAGTCTCTCTCTGTAGAGCATCTGCGATTCATGGTGATGACTCAATGCCATGATGGCATCACTGCTGGACACATGGGAAGAGATGCTACCATCAAGGCAGCCCAACAACATTACTGGTGGCCAAACATGACAGCTTGGATTGCAGACTATGTAGCAAGTTGTCCTGTATGTGCTAGATACAAAGCTCCTCATCACCATCCATATGGTTTGCTACAGCCACTAGCAACACCAGACAGGCCCTGGGGCTCCATATCCCTCGACTTCATCGAAGGATTACCACCATCAAGGAACTATGACTCCATCCTTGTCATTGTTGACAGGCTGACCAAGTTTGCCATACTAGCTCCAACCCATAAGACAGTCATGGCCAAACAGACTGCAGTGTTGCTATACGGACACCTGGTTAGACTCTTCGGATACCCAGATCACATGGTCTTGGACCAAGGCAGGCAGTTCATATCAGGAGCATGGAAGGCATTTGCAGAACAAATGGGTGTGAAGCACTCACTTAGCACAGCTTACCATCCTCAAACTGATGGTCAGACAGAGAGGGTCAATCAGGTCATCAAGCAGTACCTAAGGATGTACTGCAACTATGAGCAGAATGACTGGGCCAACCTGCTGGACACTGCAGCCTTTGTATACAACAACATGGTCCACAACAGCATTGGTGTCTCACCATTCTTTGCATGCTATGGATGGAACCCCAAAGCTCATCCTGACATCCCTCAACGACTAGGAGTCAATGATCCAGGTCGCTTCGAGTACCTCATGGATGGAAAGGAGCATTGCAAGTACCTCCAGGAGCAGATCAGATAGGCACAATGCAGATCAGTAGACCAGTATAACAGGAAGCACAAGAACATTGAGTTCAATGTGGGGGATATGGTCTATATCAACCATTGAAACTGGAAGACAAGGAGACCCACACCCAAGTTAGATACCCAGTTTGCAGGACCCTACCCAGTTCAGGAATGAGTAGGATGCCAAGCTTATTGGATCACATTGCCAGCAAACCTTAGGGTGCATGATGTGTTCCATGTCTCCATGCTCAAACCTGCAAGAACAAGTTCTCTTCCTCAACATGCTGAACAGCCCACCATACCATCACTTCCAGATGAGGACCTCAATTTCGAAGTTGAAGCACTCATCGACAAGCGTTCACACAATGGGACTACAGAGTACAAAGTGTTGTGGAGAGGGTACTCAGAAGAAGCTGCTTCATGGGAACCAGTAGAGAACCTCAACTGCCCCGACCTCATCCAGGAGTATGAGGTGTCGGAGGGGGGATGAGCGAGTAGACAGAGTAGAGAGAGGAGGAGAGAACAGGAGGAATAGAGAGAGAAGGAGGAAGGAGAATGATGTTGAGAGAAGGAGGAAGGATGATGTTGGCGATGTTGTCGAGGAGGAGGAGGAGGAGGAGTCAGCATGAACCAGACCAGAGCATGCCTCGATGGAGCTCGGCTCTTAAGAGGGGGGTAGTGTCATGGGCCTGGATGCTCAAGAAGCAGGAGGGTCACTGGTTCATATGGAAGGAACACAAGTATCGAAGATCTAGTTGATACCATTAGAGAGCATGTGCAGTCTCCATGGAGACCATGGACTCCTACGGATTCACATGCAAAGGAGGACCGAGCCATATGCAAGGAGGGCCAGGCACAGCCATGAGGAGGACCAAGCTCAAGGAGCAGGCACAGCCACGAAGAGGACCAAGCTCAAGGAGCATGCAGATGGTTACCACTCAGGGGCTCGAGAGACAAGAGTCAAAGGAACTGTCACCAGTCAAAGGAGAAGGAGCAGTGTATAGGACACTGGCAAGCAGGTCCTGAGGAGGAGGAGCAGTGTCGAAGGAGTTGACACCAGGTCATGAGGAGGAGGAGCAGTGTCGAAGGAGTCAACACAGCTCAAGAGGCACAGGGGTGCCAAGCAGGAGAGGCCCCTGAACAGTACTTGATGAAGAAGGTACTCTCTGGAGAGAGAGCAGGAGCAGCATTGCTGGTGATGCTGTGAAGAGGTATATAACCATGCTTTCTCATCATCAAAGGTCGAGTGGATCCTCATCCACTCTACACATCATCATAACTAGTTATCACTTCAGCATAAGTATATATTAGTTTCAGTCAGCATAGCAGCAATCTATCAAGGTTGCTCCTCATTGTAGTGCATGTGTTGTATCACCACTACCTGATGTCCGAAGGCACCCATAGCAGGTTAGCGGTCTGGATATAGATAGAACCGAAGGCAGTAGTCCACTGCAGCCCGGGGATCACCTCAAGCATCAGTCAACACACTGGACACTCGTGTTGATGCCACCAACCTTATCACCAACACCATCAACCTTATCACCAACACCATCAACCTCATCATCATCAACACTCACACCAGACCTTGGTGTCATCATAACCTATGCATCAATATTGATTGTGCCAAGCTACCCCTGAATGGAGTGTCCACAGAGGTCAGCCGAAACCTATGATAGTATATACAACAAATGCCACCTGCTGTCACTGTGCAACTTGATAGTTGCCGAACGACTAGCTCGAGACAGATACCGAGACAATAGCTGTCGCGCAGTTTGATAGTCACCAAGTATCTCGACAGACCGACCTGGGTTTCAGGCGCGAGACCCCTGACAGTCGCCACTGAATTTACTATGCATGCACGATCCTCGGCCTGTCGGTGGTTCGGCTCTCCTGCATGTTTGTCATTCCGGTGCAACTTCAACTGAATCGCTTGTTTTGAAGAATGCCTCTCGAGATTGTGATGTGCAAAAAGAGAGACAAGAATGCTGAAAGATTACGACTTTGGAGTAGAAGGTGTGCTGAGCTGCATGGCCTGCTTCTCTGTGAGACCTGACGCCTCTTTTGGCCGTGTTGATTGGGAAAGAAGCGAGAGGCCGATAGTCCAGAAGATGCCGACAGTCGACACGAAAGGAACACGGTACCTGCAATCAAGTCAACCGAATAGAGGTGAGCGTGGGTTAGCTGCGTGTCTCATCACCCTTGCAAGACAAAACAGGTGTACTTACTTGAGCGGCAAGTATCGGAAGTTGACCAACTGGACAAGAGGCCACAGCTGCCAATTTGCCAAGAGTGCTGGAATATACAACTCGCGAAACTTGGCTTTGACGCCATCAACACTTCCTCGCTCCATGTATCCCATACTACCAGTAAACACTGCTAGACCAAACGGCGCGCTGTTGTTTCACCGCACCAATGAGCAAAGTATCCTCGTTTGTCAGTACATCTCCCACACCCTATTTCCGCCGACACTGGTTTGAGTACTTACAGAAGGAGCTGGTCCATAGCCACCCTACTTCCTAACGCTCTCAAGCTCACCTTACCCAAAGTCCCCGCCGCACCAGCCGCTGCAGTTGCTGGAGAGCGTAGAGGAAATCTAAACTCCAAAAACTTATTCCACTCGGCCAACAAAGGTGCCATTCCAACGTTAAAGGCTAAGAATCGACCCGATCTTGACCAGTCCCATGAACTTTGCTCTGTAATCTGTGATACTGTGGCGGTGATCTTGTCTGATGCGGACTCGGAGAATTCGGCAGCTTGCTGACGCGATTGAGCCTCACTGATCCGTTCAAGTGATTGGGCGGCTCCGTCGGCTAGGACTCCGAAGATACCGTTGGTCACTGCGAGAGTCATCCATGGTCGACGGTCGAAGTTGCGGGTGTAGAATGAGGAAAATGCTTGACGGTAGGACATGATTGCTTCAAGTCCCTGTCCTTGGGTCTAAGCAGGCGGAGTTCAGGAGAAAGACTTGGTTGAGACGCTTAACGGTGATGGTGCCTTGCTGGTTTGTAGTGAGCTCGACAGTGCAGCAGTGATTGAGCGATGGTGTGGCACTGGGATTGAATGCTAGAAACAATGAAGGAAGAAAGGCTTCTTTTTGAGAGTGAAGCTTTTGCAAAAGGTCTTGTCGGTGTTTCCAGCTGGAGGGTTAAGATAGGTGTGTGGAGGCATGACTGTGCATTTTTTTTTGACGTCGAGGATCTTCTCGCTGTGACGCGCGCTGAGGCCATCTTTTCTTTGACCTTTCTCATACACAACAAGCCGTCCACAACTCGCTGATTCACTCAGTCTACACCTCGCCTTCGCCTCACTCACTTCCTCAGCGTCGCTTATTGCTCTCTGTCGCTTGTCTATCACCTGCTTCGCCCATAGCTGAGCTGCTCCGATTCTGTCGCTTAAACGCAGCGTCCGTCAGATCCTTCGCGAGCATGCCGTCGAAATGCAAAGCCATTGACCCTCGCTCGTCCTCAATATCCAATGGCGACCCCTCTCCCGCACGTCACTGGCTAATGAAAGCCGAACCAGACACCCGTCTCGAAAAGGGCATCGACGTTGCGTTCTCCATTGACCATTTCGCCTCTTGCAAAATCACCAAATGGGACGGCGTCCGCAATCCAGAAGCCAAAACCATCATGAAGGAGAGAATGAAATACAACGATCCAGTCCTGTTCTACCACTCCAACACCAAAATACCTGGTGTCGCAGGTCTAGCTCGGATATGCAGTAAAGAGAGCTACCCGGATCCGTCAGCGTTTGATCCCAAACATCCGTATTACCATCCAAAGAGCGATCCAGAGACTCCGAAGTGGTTTCTGGTCGATGTTGAGTTCGTGGAGAAGCTCGAGAGACTAGTGCCGTTAGGGTTGCTACAGAAGCTAGCGGGGAAACAAGGCAAGTTGAGTAAGGAGGAGAGGGAGAATGTGGGGTATTTGACAGATGAGCAGGTCGGGGCGATAGCAGAAATGGCTTTGCTGAATAGGGCAAGGTTGAGCGTTCAACCTGTGACAAAGGAGGCGTTTGAGGCTGTGGTGCAGTTGAGTAGGAAGGGTGGATGGGATGGGTGGGTCGAGAAGTGGAATCCGAAGACGGCGGGTTCGAAGTCTGCCGCTCAAGCGAAGGCGAAGAAGGAAGCACCCAAGACAGAGGCAGATGAGCACGGGGACAAGGATGTCAAATCAAAGGCAACAAAGAAGAAGGCACCGGCATCGAGCAAGACAAGCCAGGCATCAACGAACAAGAAGACAAAGGTGGAGAAGGAGGCTGCATCAGTATCAAGCTCTGATGGTGTGCGTCGTTCATCACGTCGTCGAAGCGGAGCTTAGCACTGCCTGGCTGTTGGTCCTGATGTCAGCCCTCGCTGTCTTTCACTGCTCTATCCACAACCAGCGCTCCGTCTCAATGCTTCACCAGATCAGATCCCTCTGTCACGGAGAGCATAATGTGTAAAGTAGTGCAACAGCGTTCATTGTATAGCGATAGATTCCTTACAGCAACATGTCATAGAATCATTGCGAAACCGAGTTTGCACAAAGCATTTCTGCTCAAAAACCACAGAATCAACCAGAATGGTCGCTCAATTGCTTCCCAGAGAACAGGTCGAGGAAGAAAGAGAAACATGTGCGATCGCCAACGAACCCATTCCTCCACTGAAGAAGGAGGAGGGGTTGATACGGGACCGCTGATATGCCGTGTCGTTTGTCTTCCCCAATTCTCCGTCCCATTTCTCTCTCACCTCGAAAGGTGGGAAAGAATGGGGGCATCAAGGAAACCGAACACCTTTGACCAGACCTTCCGTGAGGAAGATCGCAAAGAGCAGTCTCTGCCGAAGAGGGGTTGCATGAATGCGTGAGGGAGGAGGGCGATGCGAAGGAGGAGTAAAACAAGGGGAAGGGAGAAGGAGACGGTTACGGTTACGGTGTCGTAGTCGGAGCTCAAAGGAAAAAAGTTGCGTTGCGATGCTGGGTGATAGAGAGGCTGATAGAAGCGTTGCTGTACATAAGGAGGTTGTCGACAAGCTGAAGAGAGTCTTGCGAATTGTTGTATGATGAAAAGTGTTCGGTGGTTGAGAAGAGAACGAAACGTTGGTTTGGGTGGGAGGTTGGCATTCTTCGCTTCTCGCTTCGTGACTTTTTCTGCTGCGGACAGTTCTTCCGATGCGGCAAAAGTAGCGCTCGCCGATGGTCAGATCTCGTCCCGATCCGAATCACAGCGCCGTCAGTCTGAGCAGACTGTTGCCTAGGGTTTTCAAGTACGTTAGAAGGGAAGCTTGAATTAAGACGTGAAGGGGGGGTGCGAATCCCCTCTATATGTCTTACATGTCTGGCTGTGTTCTAGCTGTGTTCTGCTGAGCGCCCGAGGGGCGCTCCTAAATACAAAGGGGAGGCGATGATGATCAAAGGGAGGCGATGGTGATCCAAGGGTGATAACGAACAAAAGGTAGTGAGGATTCGTGCGAGAGAATCAAAGGGTCCGTTTAGGGGGCTTCCGACACGTGCTCAGACAGGCCGTCTGGAACAAGACTTACAGTACCTTTGTTCCACTCGATACTCGTTGATAGAACTTCTGAGTATGATGGTCAATACATGTTTCACAACAATACAATCAAACAAGCAGAGGACACTGTGGATACGATTCGTTTCATTGCTGTCCCTTAGCAGGTCAAAGTTGTAAGTGCAAGAGGGGAAACAGAATATAGTTTTGTGTTACTCGGCGAGAAGCAATGAGGAGTTTGAGCTCAGCATGATTGCCTGTTCGAGCCGCCGCTGTTGAGCTGCGACCCATATATGTGTGTGGATGTTGTGTGGGAAAGAAAGAAGTGTGCTATTAATATGCATACAAAGCCGCTAGGGAGTAGCCACACGGCTTGGCCCGACGACTTGTTACCAAGCCATCAGACGAAAAAGGGGTTGGAATGAAAGAAAAAACATGAGAGAGATTGGCCATGTTGCGATAGAGCCTGCAGCAGTCGATGATGAAATGCAACATGCAAATCAGAGACGACGACCACGGCGACCACCCTTTCTGCGGGTAGAGTCGGTGGGGACGGGAGTGACGTCCTCGATGCGGCCAATGCGCATACCGGCACGGGCAAGGGCACGGAGAGCGGCCTGGGCACCAGGACCGGGGGTCTTGGTACCGGTACCACCGGTAGCACGGAGCTTGATGTGGAGAGCGGTGATGCCAACCTCCTTGCATCGGACGGCGCAGTCCTGAGCGGCCAACATGGCAGCGTAGGGGGAGGACTCGTCACGGTCAGCCTTGACCTTCATGCCACCTATTGAATGAGGACCAAGAAGAGAGTTGTGAATGCACTGGTCAGTAATTTGTTGCCTGGGGACAGGCTGGTGATCTCAGCGGTGTCCAACGTCAATCCTGAGGTCATCGTCATGGAGGCAATTTCGTGAATGAAACATCGTCTTTACGCTAACGCTGATGGATCTTCTGGAAATAGGCTATGCTGTATGCGCCTGTTACGTGCCCGAATAGGATCTCTGGCGGCGCTTCTGGTGAGGATTGTTCTTTTTGTGTGCTTCTCCAGTCTGATCCACTTCCATGCTTGTAAGTCCCTTCGCTGCTTGCCGATGCGTGCAAAATTGGAAATGCTCCAGGCGACGGGATGCCCTCCAAGTTGACGTTGTGTGTGCTGAGATTGCTTGTATGCGTGATACTTACCAGTGACACGGACAACGGTTTCCTTGCCGGACATATCGGTGACGTGGACGAAGGTGTCGTTGAAAGAGGCGAAGATGCTGTTGAGTTGAAGAGTGCAGGTGGTGTTGATGATATGGTCAGCTCTTTGTTCATGTTGGGCAACCCTTCAGCACGTCGCATTGATCATGTCCATTGATACTTCCGCCCCAAATACAGCAGATGGCCGAATCTGTGCTCGTCGCCAACCTACAACCTCCCTTGTTGTACCCGGACAATGTGAACCAAGCAACCGATCGATTCCGAACGATATTTTCTCCCTCAGCTATCTGTCCGATACGGAAAGTTAGGCTGATCTACTTCGAATGATCGATGAGGCTTTCAACTTTCATGTTGTCCTGGTGTTCCCTCGCAATTCAATTGCTGCAATCTTGCCTTATTACGACTACGTTTTCCCGATACTGATCTGTGCTCCGATCATGTGCCTGCGAGACCTCATCCATATGCTGAGAGGTCGGCCTCGTCCCATTGCCAATTTCCAAGGATCTGATAATGCGGCGTGCTGTTGGAGAATGCATTTGAGTCTGCCTTTGAATGGTACTTACTGAGCAACGCCAAAGACGAGCTCGCCCTCACCGACGTTGGGGCCGAGGGAAACCTCGTTGTTAGCAGCAGCACGGACCTTAGGAGCCATCTGTGCGATACGAGTCGATAGTGATATAGAGAAGAAGGTTTCGTGATGTATTAGGATCGTAGGTTCCAATAGTGCGAATGCGTGCGTGCGTAGTGGTCGAGACTGCGAACTGTGTTGTTCTGATATTGTCGGTAATTGTTGAAAGTGCAGCTGCTGTAGAAAGCCAATAGGATGGGATGCTTACCTTGATGTATGTATTGGGTGGTGTTCGAAAATGATGATGAACAGTGCTGCGCGATGGTGAAGGCCACTCACTCACAGCTCTCAGTTTACAGGCTTCGTTGCGCTGGACCTTCTCGCGGATCTCGATTCAGGCTGCCAGTCCTAAACAGAGAGTGTGTTAGCTTTGCGACCCTGAGGCTCTAAAGGCACAATTTCGACCTTTTCGAGCCAAGGACGCGCTGTGCTGCCAAGTTTTGTCAACTGCAAAAATTCCCCATGTTCGCCGACTGCGATACTCGCTCTGCTGCCTACAATTTTTTTGGCAGTTGTGGCACGTGCTTTGAATTGACTCGGCCGATGTCAGTCAGTTTTTGCCTCTGAAAGAAATTCTGAGAAGGCAGCAGCGAAGGCAAAAAGTCTAAATAAAGTAGACCTACGAAGAAAGTCGAGGCAGCAACAGCAGTCACAGTTGCTGTACGGCAAGGCGTGGACTTTGACGGCAGCGCAAGGGTGATATGGGCCAGTCCGTCGAGTGAAACGGCGGGTGCAGTCAGTAGAGCTTGGTCAACGTCAACCTCTCCTTCGTCTCTACAGGAACCCCTCATCATACACAGAGATCCGTCAAGATGGTAAGCATCAAGATCGGCATCGATATCAACACTATACATACCACCTACCATTACAGCCGACATGACGAGCAGAGAGGTTGCAAACGCCCAGCCATATCAGTATCGGAAGTTGGAAAGTGGAGGAATGGTTTTGCAGGATGCAAGGCGGGCAGCGATCCTACTTCGAAGGTTTTTGACGAATGGAACAGCTTCATAATGAATCCACGATGAAGCGCGGCAGATCACCATTCCGGACGGTTCAGCATCATCGGGCGTTGAATTGATGTTGGTGGCGGTTCACAATTGGGCACAGACAAAAGTATCGCAACACCCAGCGGATCGAGAAACCTCTGCACATCTGCATCCTGAATGGATCATGCTCGATACAAACCTCATGCTACAATCGGACTTCACGCATCAACATTGGCGTCATACACGGGATGTGGACTCCCGATTCGACGTTCTCAATGGGATTGCACTTTTATCAGTTCAGCTGTACGAGGTGGATATTGACAATGGATAAGATACGGACTCCGATAAGAGCACGGCGCATCCAGAAGTATACGGCGTTGCCATGCACATTGCAAGGAGATGCGACATGATCAACAATGCGACAGAACACAACAGTAGTAGGCAGGACTAGGACCTGAACAACAACACTCTCTGCTCGGTCTTCCAACGGCTTCAACACCGGTGCATCGTGTATAGAAGTGTCGATTCAGCACAAATCAGCAACAGCATTTCTGACCCTTTCTTCCACACCATTGACTGCTCCAATCGCCCACCACACAGCCTCAGCAAATCACCGACATCAAGAAATTCCTCGAGATTGCTCGCAGAAAGGACGCTTCGGCCGCCCGCGTCAAGAGCACTATCCGTGCCGATGGCAAGCAGGTGACCAAGTTCAAGATCCGATGCTCTCGTTTCCTCTACACCTTGTCCGTTGATGACAAGCAGAAGGCTGAGAAGCTTAAGCAGTCTCTTCCTCCTGGTCTTAACGTTGTTGAGATTGGCAAGCCTGTCAAGGGTCGCAAGTAAACCTTCCTAGCTCCTTTTTCAACACCATTGACATCCTCAGCATATTCCCCTCTCTGTAGCGTTTTGTCTGAAACGTGATCAAGGCATTAGTCTTCCATTCAAGACATCATCACCAACTTCGATCGGCAATCTCTTCAGCACATACTTCGCAGTAGTAGCAAAGCCTCGATTTCAGTTCGCAATCTTACCCACATCCACACACCCAAAATAAATTCAGCACGGCGTTTTGTCATGAAACGAATCGATGGACCCGTTGTATTCTTCTCCGACGTTCGATATTAGATGGCGAGGGAATTGGTCTTTCTCTTGCATAGCATACAGTGCGCATCGGTAGTCAGGACGTCAGAACCTCACACACACACTTTCATGCACCGTTTAGACCGCGGTCAAAAACATCATTTCCTTAAGCAGTACACAAATCTTGGTGTGATATCGTGACACAGTTTGACGAAGGAACTGTCAGAAGTACACAGCTTGTTGGAGGACGCAAAAGATGACGAAAGCGACTGTATTGAGAATCGGGAACATGCTGAGATGCAAAATGAGAGTTAGAAGATGCTGAAGGTGAAGACGAATGGTGATGTCGAGAGCTTTTAACAACGATGAATGAGACAGAACCGAATGGCAATGAGAACAAAGGAGCAACAGACGGTAGCATGAGATGTTGCAGCATAGCTCACTCCATCCTATTAACCTCATGTCTCTTCCCCTTCTTACTCATCTTAATAACCACAGTATCCGTATAACCCACCACCTCAGGCCTACTCAAACTCGTCACCACCACTTCATACTTGCCCTCTTTCACTCCCTTGGGCACAGTCCAATCGAATCTGCCGCACTTCTCCCCAGTTCCCATATCCTCACACCTTTTATCCTTGAACCCATGAATGCTTCCAACTTTGTTTGTGATCGTGTAGGTTTTGAGACCTGTTGTGCCTTCTTGGGGGACAAGCTGAATTTTGAGACCTCCAGCGGGAGCGTTAAGCCAGTTGACGTAGACTGATTGGTTGGGTCGCCAGATTACTTGACATTTGTAGTGATCGCAAGACGGGTAGTTGACATAAAGGAGCTTTCCTCGGGGGTCGTCGTTCGATGCTTGAGCCCAGGAGAGGGCGACGAGGGAGAGAAGGGATGTGAGGTACGTGAGACGGACCATTGTGTTGGATTGGCGGGAAAGGGGAAAGGAGGTGGTAAGAAAGATTACGCTGTGTGCTGTGGGTGTTAAGAAAATGTGAGAAGCGGAGAAAGACCTGATGGATCTGAAGAGATATAGGCAAGGCGGAAAGAGTGAGAGGTCTGCTGGAGGTGTACAAGAAAGGTCAGAAGTACAGTAAGGGAAGGTGAAGAAGTCTAAACGGTGCTCAAAAGGAAACCGACCTCGAAGAAGGGTCATTAGTGGGTCAGGACTTCACCACAGCACTGATCGCTTACAACCCACACTCCCATGCTTCGGCAGAACCTCGTCACAAAGCAAAACTGAAACAATGCTTCATGCAACCGAATGCAAGGCGGAAAGGGGAATCGTATTGTCCCTTCGGAACACCGCTGTCGATGCCAACACACTCTCCTCTCATTGATCTCTACCACATCCTATCACACTCATTCAGTCTCGTCTTGACACTGCGCTCTTGTTCCAAGCTCTCAAATTACAGTGAGGGAGAGGAAGGTCGTTCTGCACACCACAACCGAACCCCGCTACTTTGCATCAGAAGAGAAGAGCGTAACACAAGTGTTGATCTACACACACACACACCTGCCGGCGGAATTTGCCAAAGGGGATGATCGACACTCGGCTAGCTTTAATTCGCCGCTTCTGTTCTTGCACTCGAGAAAGAGGTGTCATTTTTTTCTTGGTCGAGTCGCCGTCCCTTCGTTGTTCGTTGACCAACAGGCAAACTAACGCCGCAGCTATGGTGTGACTGCCATGGAATCAATAGCATGAGTGGATTTGAGTAGGGATGAGCAAGATGGTGCAGGCCCGAGCTTGTGAAACCGGCCCCCGCGGAACCCTTGATCTCATTGTTTCGAAAGCTTTTGGACCGACCCGCATGCTTTAGAGCAAGACTTGGCTCGAGGACGCTCTGAACCACACGCTCTCTCGCAATCTCATCACACAAACCCCATCGTTTGCCTTCACACGCACACAGTCCAGTTTCTTGTGTGGAATGGCCAATTTGATCATGTTTCATGCTCCCGGCTTTGCGTTTACAACTCAGTCTCAACCCCCTGCACCCGCCTATCCGTCAAATCGAACTTCCCTTTTACATCCGCACCAGCACTCCTAGCCGTCTGTCCTAACCAACTCATCGTACGTACAGGTTTAAACTGTTTGATCCCCTTATGCTGTCTGTGCAACTCGTCCTTGTCCGCCTTCCAATCTGTAAACTTCTCTTTGAGTGAGCGAGACCGTTTCACCCCGCCTTGCTCCATTTCTTCATCCTCACCTGAATCAGAAGAAGATCCATCTCTATCAGCTTGAGGCTGAGACTGCTCTTCATCCTCGCTATCTGAATTGTATACCTCGCCCGGCACCTCATCTTTGCTATCAGCATCCTCCAAATACCCGCTAGTATTAATCCTAGCATTAGCAAAATCACCACTCACACTCCTCAACCCCAAACTGACACAGCACCTCCAAGCGTCCATCACCGCCTTTGCTCCCGGATTGCTATCGAACTTTGTATGCATTTTGTCCAACCCAGACTTGAACTGCATTTTCACTTCCAAATACCCGATTCTTTCCACGCCTAGCTTTTCTGCTTCCCCTTCGTTTTGGTAGAAGTGATAGTTTTGTCGTAGACGATGGAAGTCAGATCCAGCTTTGGGACGGTAGATGGGAAGACGGATATCGAAGACGTCGTCATCGGGAAGATCTTGTAGCCATACAATGGACATGTGGGCTGTTTTGCGTCTGCCCAGTGGAGTTAACGAGCGGAACTCGATAACGTAGGGTGATGCGTAACGACGACGAGCAGGGACTTTGAACGGGAGCTCCTGGTCGTAGAGCTTCCATTCCACTGCAGACTTAGAGTTTCGGTCCCCGTAACGGGCTCGGTTGGCTGAGATCTTTGCACTGCCGGCCAGTGACGAAGCTCGCAAGCTAACGTGATGCACATCGTGAGCACTTGCGCCCTTGCTCTCCTCAAAGTCGGTGGCCACAGGTGACGACAAAAGCCTGACAGTGCCAATGTTCCATCCTAATCTCGTCTTTTCTCGACTTGTCCGCTCGATGGGACGGAACAACAAAGACAGTCGAATCCTGCCATGGCCAACACCACCGGCCAACGGGAAAAATTGCGTCACCTGAGAACTTTCTTTAAACAGATCGGATAACTTGATCGGAACCACACCCAGAATTGCATCCGCCTCCCGCACCCTATAGTCGTATACCACGACCATGATGAGCGTCCTTCTCCAATCCCGGATTAATCGCTCCGTACCAGCGTTGTAGAACGGATTCGAGTTGAGTGCTTTAGTGCGGGTCTGGAAGACAATCTCGTCGTTGAGAATGATGCGACAGTACGCAGAAGGTGCACGCTCGGGATCATCCTCGGTCTCAACGTTGTCGACATCTTGGCCAGGCTCGTCCTTCTTGCGTGGCCGCATCGACTTGTGCCCATCAGCGACTTCTAAGTTGGCGATCTGATGGATCTGCATCGATAAGATGCCGGATGGTAAGCTCGGGTCAGGTGGTTGAAAGTCAACGTCCGTAGGTTGGTTTCGCGTTTGAGTGAGATTCTCTTTGTTGATAGCTTCTTCCGAGAGCGGACTTCCAGATTCGATCGAGTCTCTTTCCAGCTCGTGCCCGTCATGCTCAGATTCGTCGTCATGTGTCGCGCCATCGTGAGCTCTTGCTTTCTCGTCAGTTTGCTTGCTCTTCGCGGTGTCGGTCTTTTGCTTTCGACCCTCAACCTCCTTCCGCATAGACGGCGCCTTACCAAAGAATCCCAAACTCCAATGTATGACCCCTTGCTTCGTCTTCTCCCTGTCCAGCCCCCTCAACGTATCCGCACGCTTGAATAGCCTATTTGAATGCTTGACCAGATCCCTCAAATTGACATTTGTCCTACCCAGCATATCATCCTGCGAGAACCGATCTGAATCCCACAGTGCAATGGACACTTTGTCATCCGAGTCGAGATTCTCCCTCGAGACCAAAATCACATGTCTCTCCTCCCATCGCGGCGACAACTCATTCAGCACCACGCGAGTGCTGTACAAGATCTTACCAACCTTTGCCAGGCTCAGCGTGCAGTAAGGATCGGATGACCCGCGAACATCTTGCTTCTCCAGATCAGTCGCCGAATGGATGTAGACGACTATGACACCCAGCGCGGTGACTTCGCGCTTGATATTGTCTCCCATCAGAATCTCACCCACGTCCATGGTGAGCGAAGATGGCATGATAAACTCTCCGACTGCTGCATCGATCGAACTTTCGATAAAGCTCGAGATGAATGGGATGTGCGAAGTGTTGATGTGCAGTGGAACGACTTCGATTCCAACACGTGGCAAGCCGCAAAAGGTGAAAGTGACGTTCTTGATGAATGGTGGATCGGGCGTCAATTGAGCCCGCAGCCGGATCCTACCAACAAAACCCTTGATCTCGACCCAAACAGGCAAAGGTAGCATGAGTAGCTTCCTCGCACCAATCCAGAACTTGATCAGAAGATGCGCGTTGCGGCTCTTTCCACCGACGCTGTTCGAAGTAGGTCTCGCTCGGTAGACGAAACCAAGCTCAAGATTGACATAGTGTTCGCTCTTTTCTTGATCCTCGTCCATCTCTTGTTGGTGCTCGACAGCTTCACCTGACTCGCCGTTGGCCCTCTTCTGAGGTTCTTTGTCGTGAACTGACAAGTTGACCTTCTTCTCTTGCTGTCTTCGCTCCATACGCTCTCTACGCATGTCCTTCCTGAGACTGTCAACGCGATCATCAGGAAGGATCCGAATTCCAGTAATACGAATCGGCGTAGAGCCCTGAGCAAGATCCTCCACCTTGACAGAGTGAATGAAACCAGGAATCGAAGCCTGCATGACATCTTCCAACGTCCCTCCAAACGAAGAGAACAGCTCAGGGTTCATGACAGACCAGAGTGACTCCAAAATCCCATTGAGCCACTCGGCACCTTCTGCAATGCCTTGTCCATGTCCATTCTGCCTTTCATCTTCTTCGAGCTCTTCAAGCGACCTCGCCTGTTCACCTCGACGACGTTCTCGATGCCATCGATGATCCTCTGCACCTGAAAGGAAGCATCGCCAGCCCCACCAAAGCAGCCAGGCATTGAGCGTAACACTGACCAGGGGCGGTATCAGTCGGAAGGCTGTGATGAGAGCCCAGGTCCCGAACAAAGGAACCAAACGAGAATCAATGCTGGCAATGTTGGAAGGCAAAGGATCTGAGGGCGGGAAGGATCTCGATGTGAGATTGCCTTCCAAGTTGGAGCGAAGAACCTCCTCTTTTCCAAGCTTGTCGCCTGCATCTGCTCGAGCCAATGTACTGCGATACTCTCGCTTGCCTACATCATGAATCCAAGTGTCGCGACTTGTGACGGGATCTCTGACCTTGCGTGGCTTTCGGCTTCGCTTATAAGCCCTGTCAGCTTGGTCAGGGCTTTGGTGTGCTTCCTTTCCGGTGTCTGCATCGTAAGGCGTCTCGGTCGAGTCCGACTTTCGCACTTGGTCACTGTCCTTATCGCTGTCGTGCGAGCCTCTGAAGCTTGAGAGTAGACTTGATTGTCGCTTATGCCGTTCCAGAGCAACATCTTCGTCCGGCGCTACTGCATGGTCCTGAGTGGTTGACGGGTCTACAAACTGCGACGAAGCACCGCCGACACCGTCTGCTAAAGCAGGATCGGCTTCACCATCAGAGTCCGAATCGGAATCGGGCGAATTGCGTTTGGCGATAACTTCAGAGATTCCTTTCTGGAAGAATCGTTGTATGGAAGGGACTGGAGAGTTTTCCGAATAGTAATCACGATGCCTGTGTTGAATGCCGTCTGGAATGTCGGGCATCGTGGCTGCTTGTTGTGATCAAAGCAGCTTCATGTGCTACCAAAGGGTGATTGTCTGCTTCTTCGCATGGATGCTCGTGCTGAAGTGGGATGGCGGTGGTGGGTAAAAGCTCAGGTGGTATGGTGATGGAGAAGAAGACTGGACGCTCAGTAGCTTCTGCTCCAGTCCAACACTTTGGAGTCAACCCAGCCATCCACTAGAGGAGTAACACATTCCGTCGTAGCCTTTTTAGTGTCACAGTCATGGTGACATTCGCCAAGGCCAAAACGCCCACTTGTTGCCGTTCTAGCGCCGATCCGGATCAGCCTTCCGAAGAGCAACGTCTTTCCAAGAATCTATGATTGTGCCAAGAAGCTTGCTTATCCACGGCGTCATTCTTGCTGCAAGCCATCAAGTGACTCCGCCTTGGACCCTAAACTGAAAGTTGATCCGGTTCGTGGAACAAAGTCGCCTTTGCGTATAAGTTATCCGAGTGCTTACTCCCCCGTTCCTGTTCGAAGGACTCCGCCATTCTTTCTTCTCCCCCACACTCTTGACATACTCACTCCTAAAAGGATCTCAGCGATGGCCGAATTGTCGCAGCGTTGCAACGAGTCTAATGCCAAGCCAAAGAAGAAGTGATGTCATGAAGCGCTTAGATTGCTTGCTCTTACACCATTTCCGACTTCCGAACGTCTTCCTCCACACTTTGTGCTGAGCAGCGCAGAGACCAACACTTTCACTCGCCAACACCACTTTCACCCCATCTTCTTCGCCCCCCCCTTCCAACCGCTCATCACAATGTCGCACCATCACTCGCACTCAGGTCCATGCGGACACGATCATAAGCACGACGATGACTCGCACGTAAAACCCGATGTGGGAGATCAAGACCTTCTTTACTCCTCCATCGATCGAGATCACATCATCACCCTCAACGAATCTATCCTCGGTTCAGGCGCAGCCATCATCAAACCTTGGGATCAACGACTCAATCCTGAACCAGAATGTATCTCGGACGCTGACGATCAACTCATTATTCACATTCCCTTCACTTCCTCCGTAAAACTTTCCACACTTCTGCTTCGTCCATCTTCAAACACCGATTTTACACCAACCACGATCAAGCTCCACAAAAATTTGCCCGATTCCTCGATCAACTTTGACGACATCTCCTGCTTAGCAGACTCGAAAGCCACAACTAAATTGGACAGCATTCCAACAGTGTCAGATACAACAGAGGTCATAAGTTTCCCTCTGCAACCGGTCAAATGGGCAAATACGGATAGCATCACCCTCTTTGTAGAGTCTAGTTTGGGCGGAGACCAATCAGGTATCCAATTCCTAGGCTTCAAGGGTAAGAGTTCCGCAATCACAAGAGCAGCACCGCAGAATATCGTATATGAAAGCGCACCACAGGTCAAAGATCACAGCAAAGTCGGCGCTGATCCTCTCAAGTCTGCGCATGGTTTCGGACACTAGTCTCCACCCGCTCACGATGAAACACACGAAGGGAGAAGGTGATGAATGAATAGTTCTTCTTGCAAGTATACAGATGAAGCTTGTGTACATATATGTGTGTTGTGATAAGATATTTACATGAATTTGTGTGCACGCTTATTGCGCGATTCGACCAGTGCTATCTGATGCTGGGATGGACAAGTTGGCCATCAACGACATTGTTCTTGTTCCTGTCGGTGAGCCTTGATTTGACTGTCCGACTGGCGGAGCAACGAGTGGGGTCATGGAAGCGGCAAAGTGCTTAGGTGTTTCCGGTCGTGGCAGAGGAGTCATGGTGCCTGGTGTAGATGGTACGGAACGGTTGTGCTTCATGTGAGCCTGGATCAGATGTCCAGCACACAAAGCACCCATGAGCGAAAGTTCACCCGCCATGACTGAAGCAGCGATGATACGCGCCAGTCTCTGTGCATTAGCGCCTGGAGTTGAGGCGTGAGCACCAGCGATGCCCATCATCTCCAACATGGATCGCTGTGGTGGCAGAACAGTTCCGCCTCCAACCGTACCTACTTCGATGCTGGGCATCGAAACAGTGATCAACAGATCCTGGTCGTCGTTGATGGCTTCCATGAGGGTGATGCAGTTCGAAGACTCAACGTTCTGTGCAGGGTCTTGTCCAGTAGCGAGGTAGATCGCAGTCAAGATGTTGGCTGCGTGTGCGTTGAAGCCGCCGACCGAACCAGCCATGGCGGAACCAATGAGGTTCTTCTTCGTGTTAAGGTTGACTAGGTCGCGGACGTTGCACTTGAGAACCGTCTTGACGACGTTACCAGGCACAATGGCTTCAGCGACGACACTCTTGCCTCGACCTTCGATCCAGTTGATAGCAGCAGGCTTCTTATCCGTGCAGTAGTTACCAGAGAGAGATAGTACCCTCATTTCGGGGAAGTACTCTTCAGTCATCATACCAAGAGCCTTCTCCACGCCCTTCGAAATCATGTTCATACCCATAGCGTCACCAGTGGAAGTAGCGAATCGGACGTAGAGTGTTCGACCAGCAAGAACGCAACGCAGCGACGAGAGACGAGCGAAGCGCGAAGTCGAGTCGAAAGCAGCCTTGATGATTGAAGCACCCTCTTGAGAGTCGATCCAGCGCTTCGCCTTGGCTGCCTGGACAACAGAGGGGAACTCGAGGGCGGGGCCACGGGTCATAGCATCCTGAGTCAAAACAGTTGTAACACCTCCACCAGCGTTGAGAGCCTTGCAACCTCGCGAAGTGGACGCGACCAAAGTACCTTCGGTAGTGGCCATGGGGATGGGCATCACCTGATCATCAATGTTGAGCGGACCAGCAATACCAACAGGGATGGGCATGTAACCAACAACGTTCTCACAGCAGGCACCCATGACCTTGCCGTAGTCATAGTCGCGGTGGGGCAAGAGCGAGCTCTCGAGCGTCTTGGTGTGCGAAGCACGCGAGACGAGGGCGCGTCGAACGCGAACAGCACGCTCGTGATCCTGCAGAACCTTCTCCAAAGCGTAAGCGGCAATCTTTCCGTGCTGACTGAGGGTGATGATCTCCTCGTCAGTAAGGAAGAAGATACCTGCACCACCAGCGTAGATTTCAATAAGCTCCTCGAGAGGTCGAACAACAGCCTCACCATCGGGTCCAACGTAAGTAGCATCCTGGAGACGAATCTGCTGACCACGCTGGCCGGGAGTAGCAACCGCACCGTTACCCTCGGAACTGGGCTGGACATCCGACTTCTTGACAGCCTCCATGGCATCAGGCTTGACAGCTTTGGCAGGGACGACGTTGACACCAGCGCCGGTATCGGAAGCCTTCTTGGAGGCGAGCTTGTCGTTCTCGTGAGCCAGCTTGGAGAGCGGCGAAGAAGCGTGAGCGGCAGACATCTGAGCAAGCTTGTTGTGGTACTCGTTGAGACTGTCGGTGCTCTTGCCGCGTGTAGCTGCGGGCTGCTCGCCACGAGAGCTCCATCGTCGACGACGTTCGCTGTGTTCGTCGATAGCTCTGGCCTCGCTGTCCAAATGGGCGCCAATGAAGCGAGCGGCGGCGTACGCAGCTGCACCAGCAGCGTTGCCCTCCGACAAAACGGCATTGCCAGTAGCAATACCCTTGAGCAAATAAGCGTTGAGGAAGATGCTGATTCCGAGAGCGAGAGACATCCACTTGCTGATAACAGGGTCACCAACGATAACAGTCCATCCGCTCATCAAGCTGTCAAGAACAGCAAGAGAAGAGCTGGCGCGGCCGACGGGGACGGGGCGAACACCAGACGACGTGATCTGGGCGTAAACACTGGAAGCGTTGAGAGCGGCACTGGCAAGAGCGCTGCGAGAAGCAGAGATGGAATCGTTGGCCTCGAGCAAGACAAGGATGGTAGGCTCGCAAACGCGGGCGATAAGGTCGACGTCAGCAGGTTGAGATTGAGAAAGCTGGGCAAGCAGTGGTGCGATAGTGGAAGTGGCAGCGGAACCAAAGATGGGAGACTGCTCCGCAACAACCTGGTAAGGAGATGGCTCATAGGTGGCGTGGTGGCGAGTGATAGCTGACTGCCTCGTCAAAGTCGAGATCAAGTTGAACGAGTGTAGGATCAAGAAGGAGGCGACGAGAAGCAGCTTGAGGCGACTAAGTGGGTTCTCGGACTTGCGGCCTCTGTCGTTACGTGAATTGCCAAAGACGGAGTGGAAGACCTTCTTCCAGAGGGATCGACTAGAAGGCGTCGGACTGGGTTCGCGAGATGCTGAGCTGTCAGAGGCAGGGCTGGTAGGTGGGGAGTCAGAGTCGAGACTAAGTTCAGCGCTGAGCTTGGGCTTCTTGAGGCCACGCTTGACCTTGATGCGGTGGACTTCGACCATGATAGTAAGGATCGAGACGTAGAAAGCGAAGAGGAAGATGCAGTCGAATAGCAAGATGAGAGCAGCAAGCTGACAGAACTCGCGAAGGCCGCTTACACCGCTAGTGGCACCGACGGCCATTACGGCAATCTCGATAAGGTAGTCACGGATGATGGGAACACCGACGCGGTTGACAGCGGAAACGACGATCTCGTGAGCAGGCATGGGAGTGGGCTCAGCCCATCGAAGGCTGTCCTCGTTTTTAAGACGCTCGGTCAAGGCACGGACGAAAGACTCTTCACGCGATATGGCAGCACCGCCGTTGGTGGCACCAGTAGGTGTCTTACCAAGGGTACCGATCTCGGGCATCGCAGCCTGGTCGAGCTCGCTCAGAATGAGCTCGGATCGTTGCTTGGAGCTGAACACGTTGGCGGAAGGAGTGATCTCGGGATGCGTGAAGATGGCGCGTGTCAAGAGGTAGGGCTTTTCGAAACCGACAAGGATGACCAAGAAGGGCAACGCCTCGGAAAGGCAGATAGGGTCGACGGTAACGCCAAGAAGCGAGGCGAAAGTGATGGCCAGGAGGAAGGCAAAGATGGACGACATGAGGACGGAAGCGCCGAGCCAGAAGTTGCTGCCAAACTTGCGCATGGAGAGGAAGAGGTTGACAAAAGTGCCGTGCATCAAGATGTAGGCGGAGAGCATGACAAAGATGTCAGCAGAGTCAGCCTTCTTGAGGAGAGCCCAGAATCGGACGACGAGTGCCTTGACAGCGTAAGCCATCCAACGGATGCGCTGGATCTCCTCGTTGTGGCCCAGACCGGTACGTTTGCCCTTGAGGTTGTTCGGAGCGAAAGGATTGAACTCGCCGTCTGGCACAAGAGGGACGACTCGGAGACCGTCGTAGAGCTGGTCGACCTCGGCAACGGATGCTTGAGCAACAGCACTAGCAGGTCGGGCAGCAGAGCGAGTCGCCTTTTCGAGCGAGACGGAGAGAAGCGATGGGTCAACAACATTGCCGAGAAACTCGTGACGGAGGACAGCCAGGTCAGCAGCTGCGTTGTTGCTAGCAGAAGAGTCGGCAAAAGTCTTGCCAAAGACGTAGGCCGAGTGTTGCGAATTCTGGTCCTTGACGAAAGTGGCGGTGTATTGCGAGCCAACAAGGCTTTTTGCAAGGTTGTCCGAAAGCGATGGGAGAAGGGCCTCTTGGATCTGGGAAGCCATGTAAGACTCTCTTGCGCTGGTCAAGAGGACAGGCTCGACGAAGAAAGTCTGGGCAGAAGGGTCAAAGAGGGAGGCAGCATCGTCAGGGCCTGCAAGGACCTGACTGAGTGGTTGCCAGACGTTGGCACCACCACCCTTGCGAACGTAGACAGTGTCGGCATCGCTCTGAGCTGGGCTGAGAATAGAAGAGACTGTGTCCTTTGGTGCTGCTGCGGCATCCTTCTTGCCGGCGCCGGCCCACTTGAAGAGGCCGGATGAGGAGGTGGTGGAAGCCAGGCTGGTTGCCTCGATCGAGATAGGCTCGAAGAAGTTGGAGTGGCTGACGGCATGCAAGAGCTGGAAGTAGGCGAGGGTGACAATGATAAAGATTGTAACGATGACCTCGATCGGGTTTTGGGAAGCGGCTCTCGCTAACCGTCTAAGCATGACCTTGGGAAGCGACAACGGCTGGGCGGAGATGCCGATGGATGAGGTGGCACTGCTGTATGACGATGCAGATGCGGTCGACATGGTGGTGAGTGATCAGATCGAGGCAAGATTGGGCAACTTGCTAGCCAGAGAAGAGGGACGATAAAGACAAGTTGCTGTGTGACGCTGCTTCGTTTAGAGCGTAGACGATGTCAATGTCAATGTCGAGGTAAAGAGATCTACAAGATGTGCAAGGTCGTAATGAGCGCCAAAGGTTCCGAGATTAGCAGGTCGGTTGAGTCCTGATCTGCGATTCCAATAGAGATATCGGGGAAGGTGTCGGGTCGAGAAAAGAGAGTAGCGAGTGCAGATGCAACCAATGGCGTCCGAATCGCACGTAGCTACAAGCCAAGTTGAGAAGGCTTGATAGAAGGCAAAGTAACCAGCAAGCGAATGCGGTTTGATAAGGGAAAGATGGACGGGGTTGAGCCGGCCCTTTTGGAATGAGCTTGAAGTGATTAGAGCGGTGTCGAAATAGCCGTTCGCTGACGGTAAGAACGGGAGCGATGCAAGTCCAGGGCGGTTGTGGTGGGAGTCAACGATCCTTCAACGATCAGCAAGAATGTTAGAAGGGACGACTATGCTCTCCTGTTGAGGGACTGGTGATGTCAAGGCAGAGAAAGAGGCGAGGGAGGCGAGGAGGAGAGTGATACTTGCGTGTTGGACTATGTCGGTAGAGTGTGTGCCACCAATGACAAAGCGCGAGATTTGGCAGAGGAGAATCGCGGCGAAGAAGGCCAAGGCAGTAACAGCAGTAGAAGCAGGGGCACAAAGGACGTGGGCGTGTGTGACAGCCAGAAATTCATAAAACTGAACAGGCACAGAGAGAGAGAGAGAGAGCCAGTGACCCAGAAGGACAAGGAGAGAGATCGTCGAGCGGCAGCTGGTAATTGGAATTGCTTAACTTAACAAAGGGGGGGCAAAACCAAGAATTTTGAGAAGAAACTTGAATTTGCAAAAGAGCAAGAAGAGAGGCTTCAGTGGCCGCAGTGTGCAATCTCAATTACGGCCGACACGCACAGACAAATCGCTTCAATCAATCAATTCAAGGACAATGAAATCATTTCGATTTTCGATTTTTCGTCTTCTGTTTCAAGGGAGCGCGTATCGTTTGCATCACGTGGCCAGTTTATGCTGCGTGTCTACAGGAGGGGCAAGAAGTGCGGCCACTTTCCATCCAATTGACAAGAAGCAATTAAAGTGTCGACACCACTTCGATGGGGCTACGATCAAGCTCCCTACAGACAGGTGTATGGTAACTGAAAATGCTTGATCTTATTCAAGTGGACTAGAGCTACAAATGCAAGTATATATAGCTTCACATCATCCATGAGAACGTCAGGTTGCCTTGAACAAGTATAGTGCTTGTTCTGCAGAGCTCCTCAATCATCTCTCCTGTAGAGTCTCCAAACCATTCCTCCTGCAATACTCCTAAGCTATCTCTTCCACTATGTCATGCTTCTTGTGTCTCTGAGTCATTTCGTGAATAAGCATGGTCTGGCAATTGCTATTACCGGCGATTGCTATTCTTGAAAATCACTAGATTTGGTTATTGTGAGTTCCAGCAATTGTGAGCTTCAGCAATTAGAAAACCTTAGAGATTTTCCGTCGTATCTTCAACTGAAGCGCATTCCAAAAAACTCACAGCACAGCACAGCATGTTGAAAGATTTGACGATGATCGGGCAATGTCAATCTAAGCACAGTGTTCAAGCTATTGGGCTAAACACTATACTATATTGATGTGAAAGAAGAACATAGCGGTAGCCTTGAGCTCTCCACTAGGTGTCTATATACAGTAGTGATACATGAACTCATGTGGGAGCATACCATCTAATGTCAAAGTGTGTCAACAAGCGGGATCCAGTTGTCCCCAATTCATGCTATATCGGCTCAGTCTGATCTATGATCAGATCTGCTTTCCCTGATAGCATTCCAGATCGATTTTGCCCGATCCTTCGTCACTTTAGCTTCCTGCCGGATCGTTATCTTTAGCACAGCACAGCACAGTTGCTCGTTCTTGTTGCCGGACACAGCCGCCTACATTCTCAAATTGACTAATTCCTCTCTCTCTCTCTCTCTCTCTCTCTCTCTCTCTCTCTCTCTTGCCTTGAGGATTCGGTTATCGGTCTTGGTCAGCTTTTCCTCAATGTCCGCGTCGGCGATTGCATCGCCGACAAGACTGCAGAGATCGGGTTTGTCAGGCTTTCAATCAGGATGATGTCCCGGATTGCCTGCCATTTTGGCCCGATAAGCGATCCGCAAACTCGGCCCTTGTGGTGTGTCCATTGCGCATCCTCAACCTTGTCAGGCCACTTTGAATGTCATTCACCCCACAATACGGCCGCAACACTAGCACTGACATCCACCCTGTTCTATATTAGAGCAATCCTCTCTCAGCACCGCCACTACATCCGGTCACACTCTGCTTCAGCGCCATCTTCCAGGTCACACCAGGGGTTGAAAAGCTGTAAAGAGGTGGTGCGTTTCATTTTTTCGTGGGCGGGACCAAGAGCGTACTAATCGTACAAGACATTTTTCATGTGTTCAGATGATGCATTTTTTGTGATATTTTTCTTCCTTCCTTCCTTCCTTCCTTCATCCATCCATCTATCCTCTGCTTGATGATGGTCATGAGACTCCGTGATAATTCAACCACTTTGCTACGCTTTACTTGCGACCAGCCTTGCTCTTTCCCTTTGCCTTGGCAGGCGAACCGCTCGAACCACCCTGAATGAACTTGACCATCTCGTCCAGCGACTTGTTGCAAGTGTTGGCCGCACCATTTGCACTGCCTGCAATGGCGCTCGATGGCCTAGCAGCGCCGTTACCAACACGACGAGCACCCGCAAGACCAACACGAGCACTTGCCTCCTTCTCCAACTTGGCAACTCGGACTGCCGAGGCAGCAAGACTAATGCAGAACTGCTCGCTCTCCTTGGTCTGAGCATCGTCCTTGCCCAATCGTGCCTCAAAGACGCGCCATGCCTCCTTCTCCACCGTCAATGCTGTCTTGAGGTCTCCTGCGAGCGTGAGTGCCTGGCTCAACTCGTGTGCAAGGTTGGCGGTGTGAATGCTGTCCGGACCGAACAGTGTGAGAGCCAACTCGTGGGCAGATCGGTAAACGCCAAGACTTGCCTCGAATAACCTGGCATTCTGAAGCGTCAATGCAACGTTCGAAAGAGCATTGATGCAGTCAGGGTGCTCCTTGCCGTACAGCAGGCTCCAAAGCTCGAGCACTCGGCGCTGGCAGAGCAACGACTCGCGAGTGTTGCCAGCAGATCGCTCGAGCACAGCCAAGTTCATGTACTGGTTCAGTGTCTCGGGGTGGTCCAGGCCAAGTGTGCGCTCCGAGACAGTGACGGCTTGACGTTGGTATCGAACGGCATTGGCCATGTTCAAGTGCTCGTTGACAGGTGGCAAGTCGGCTTCAGTCAGCTCCTTGTTCTCCGCCTTGGCCTGATTCATCAGCTCGGCACGCTCCATGGCGACCATGCTGGCCAAGTGGTGCACCATCGAGGCCAACAGTGCGTAACATCGAGCAACCTCGGGGTGAACAAGGCCGTACACTTGCTCGTGGAAGCTGACACCTTCCAACAGCAGCTCCAGTCCAATGTCACGGTCACCACGGCTTATCGAGATTCGGCCAGCCTCGAAGGCCTCTTCAGCCAGCGTGCTCTTGGGTGTTGAGTCCTTGACGATGGGCACCAAGTTGACAATGTCCTCTGGCTCGAAGCTGGTAGTGCGAGCAGCCTGGGTAGCCTTCTTCTCGACCACAGCGGGGCCGGCCGACTTCTTGGTACCGTTCTGCTGCTCCTTGCCACCCTTCTTCTTGCCCTTGTTCTTCTTTCCACTGCCAGCGGCCGTTCCGTTCTCCTTGACGTGGCCGTTAGGCTGCGACGACTCACCCTGCGAGTCCTCCGAGAGAGTAACCTCAGCATCAGCAAGCTTGCCCCCAAGAACGTATTCTTGCAGTTTGAGCTGGATACCTGTGCGCAGAGCAACCTCTCGCAACAATTGAGCACGGCGCAGCTCCTGATCGAAGAATGACGCTGGCAACTCGAACCGGAAGCGCTTGCGAATCTCAGCAACAAGCTGCTCCTTGAGTGACGCAGGCGTAAGCTTGGTCCACTCTGCTTCAGCGTCGTCCGACAAGGGCGAAGAGACAGGGTTAGCCTCAGGTTTAGCGTTGACCTTGTCACCAACAAGGCAGTTGAGGAAGTGCGAGACGCAAGGAGCAACGTTGACCTGCTCGACGTCGCGGATGAGACTGTGAAGGATACGCTTGCTTGCACGTAGCACCATCTCCTGCACCACTGTCAGCCTGAATGTGTTCAGGAAGCCCTCGTGACCCGGGCCTGCCTTCTTGATGAGCTCCTGGTCGAGTTCGTCCTTGGCCTCGGGAGTGCAAAGACGGGCGACCTGACCAAGGTAGCGGATGTTGATACCGCGAGCGTGCATCTGTCGGCTCAAAGCACCACCGTCAGCGGCGGTGAAGAGACCAGCAGCGACATCAGTCACAAAGCGAGGGATGGCAGTCTTGCGAAGGAAGTCTGAAGCCTGTCGCACGGCGGCAACACTGGCATTCGACTCGTCCGTGATAGGTGTTATGACCTTGGAGCCGTCCTCGACCTCGGTGTCAGCCACCTTGAACTCCACGAAAGCATCTGGATTGAAGGTGAGCTTGAACTCGGAAGAGTCGATGCCCTCGGGTTCTTCCTCAACCTCAGCCTCAGCCGTCTCAGTCTTGGCCTCACCATCTTTGTTCTCGCCTTCCTTGGTCTCGCCCTCCTTGGTCTCACCTTCCTTGGTCTCACCTTCCTTGGTCTCACCTTCCTTGGTCTCACCTTCCTTGGTCTCACCTTCCTTGCCCTCAACATCCGTCTTTGGCTCAGCATCCTTGGCAGCCTTGGCCTCCTGACGAGCGGCAAGCTTGCCGCGTGCCCACTTGCGGAACTCGTTGTCCCAGTAGATCTCGAGCAGCTCGGGACGGAGCAAAGTCATGCGGTGAGGGTAGCGAGCCTCTTCGCTCGAAGCCTCGATGTCGTTCTCGAGCCAATTGATGTCGACCGGGTTGAGACGAGCGAGATCGAGCACATATCGGCGACCATCTGCACCTCGAAGACCCTTGGAGTCGACACTGAGCCAGAGAGGGTGCTTGTTGCCCTTGGCATCCTCGACCTCGTGCTCGTTGAGATGGAGCGTCTGAGCAACCTGGTTCAAGAGCTTGTGGAAAGCAGCATTGTCGCGAATGACCTCTGGGCCCTCTACACCACCGTACACGACCTGAGTGTCATCGTTGAGGTCAGCCTTGTCTGACTTGGCCTGCTTGGACTCAGCAGCGGTCTTGGCCTCGGCTTCCTCCTTTGCGCCCTCTGCCTTGGTCTCGCCAGCCTCGAACCGTTCGTCGGTGTCGTCACGTCGTCGAAAGAGACCGGGCACAACACTCTGAGCAACCCATCGCTCGCCCTTCCAGTCAACGACAATGGTGCCGAGAAGGCAAAGACCGCTGACATCGAGGCTGTTGAGCGTCTTGACACCCTGGATGTCCTTGCCGACTGCAACGTGAGCAGCCTCATCACCACCCATGTGCGGGTAGAGATCGACACTATCAGCACCCTTGGAGATGAAGAGGTTGTTGACGATGAACATCTGAGCATCGCGCTTGTCCATCGGGTTCATGGCCTGCACTTCACCAGCAGCAACCTTAGGAATGGCACGAGCAGCAGCCTGGGTGAACTCGGAGTAGATGCGATTCAGCACACGGTCTCGCATGAGGCGCTCGGGGAGAGTAGTGCGGGGCAGCTCGCGAGCCGACTGGAGCTCGTCATTCCAGTCCCTGGTGCCCTCGAGTGTGTCGGCGGAGGTAGCGCCTGTGAGGAGGAATGCAGCCTGCGAACGAAGTGGGTCTGCATTGTGGTTGTGGTTGCGAACGAGCCAGGGGAAGGCAGGGAGGGAGTTGGTGACGGGAACAGCCGAGAAGTAGTCGCGCGACGAAAGAGGGTCGTTGAAAAGCTTGGAGAAGGTAGACAGGAAGAGGGGAGAGAAGCCGCAGAGGAGGTCAAAGAGGGAACAAGAGGCGAAATCCTGGCCAGCGGCACGGGGAGAGGGGTCAAATCGAGCACCAGAAGAGCGGTTGATGTAGAAGCCGTGAGTGGAAGCAGTGATGAAAATGATCTCGCCCTCGAGCGTGCCAACCTGAAGGTAGAGGAGATGACCGTTGAGCTTCCAGTGCTGAGGAGGTGGGTTCCACGTTGCGAGCTGGAGCTGACGCAGGCAGACGGGCAGCGGGCGAGGTCGACGGGCTACTTGAGGGATGAGGTCAACAGCTGTCACAGACGGCCAGCCTTGCCAGTCAGAGAGAGGGAGCTGCGATCCTTGCGATTGCTCGACGGCATCGTTGGCGCCCTTTTTGGTGGCACGGCCGTTGCCATTCTGTCGGACGCTGTCCTGCTGCCATTCCTGTGGATTCCTGACGGCATCCTGAACACTGAAGGCAGCATCAACACCGAGAGCGCTGGGGTCAGTGGCACTACCGCTAAGCAGATCACGGAGACGTTGCACATGTGCGCGGGCATCAGCCTCGTTCCAGGGGACGTGGGTCACATGGAGCTCGCGCTTCTCCTTGGGAACTTGCTGGAAGATCTCGCGAAGCTCGGTCCACTCGGGGACGCGCTCACCCAGCTGAACCTTGGCACCTTTGCCTGTCGAGTTGGCAGCGTCGGCGGGCTTACGGAAGCAGAAGGCGCCGAGCCAGTAGCCTTCTGGGCTGTCTGTGATGGTGAGACGGAGGTCGTTGAGGGTCTCTTGCGGTGTCACGACAACCTTGAGGGGCGAAGGAGTCTCAGGAAGTCCATTGGCAGAAGCGGCAGCGGAAGGGACCAAGGGACGCTTGGGTAGATAGAGGTTGATCTCGAAAGGCTGGAGCGACTCGTCAATCTCGGCAGCCTCGACGGCCTCAGGGACGGGCGCATGAATAGCTGCCTCGGGTTGCTCCTGTGCCATTTTGTGTGGTGGAAACGAAGGTGGAGAGGCCTATGATCGAAGCTTGACCAACTGGATCCTTCCTATCGTTGTGAAAAAAAAAAAGAGTGAAGAAGCCTTTGACAAGACCGATGCACCTACACCAAGTGTTTGCTGGTAGATGCTGGCCTTTGCTTTGGGGCTGAGGAATGTGGTGGTGTAACGAGGAGAGAAGGGGTAAGCAAAGTCGAACAAGCCATCGACCAACCAACTCTCTTGAGTCTCTTCAGTCGGGCCGGTCAAAAGATCGGGAAGATGCTCTCAGGTAGGACAAGAGCTTCGAGCTTCTTCCTTTCTTCTCAAATTAGTCAGTCAAGCAGTCGCACAGAGTCACAAGTCACACACAAAAAGTGGAGCTCGCATTTCGATCTTCTGCCTTCTTCTTGGCCTTAGGAGAGCAACATTTTTTTTTCTTTTTCTTTTTTTTTCTTTTTCTTTTTTTTTCTTTTTCTTTTTTTTCTTTTTTTTTCTTTCTGTTTTCCGTGCTTATGAAAGCCAATTTTTGCCGCAATCCTTTTTTCCTTTTTCTTTTTCTTTTTCTTTTTCTTTTTCTTTTTCTTTTTCCTTTTTCGTGAAGGACATGAAAGGAACAACAAGCCAACCAGATATGTATTAGGTCAATTGGCAAAAGACTGTGTGATATCCAGGCTTCCCGTGCATATCTCAAGATTATCTGCGTTGTTGGCAGATGCGACACCTGAGATCTTCAAGCCGGACGGGCAATGGACGTCCATGAACGTTAATGACGGTGGCGTTCGTGGTGTACAGTAGCAGGCGTCTTCCGAATATGGCTTCCCTAATTGGCCACGAGGACTTCCGGAAAAGAAGCGGAAAAGAAACCTTTTCTAGTCGGACCCGCGTGACGACAACTTGTTCAGCTTTTGCTTGTTAGACCTACAGAATTGTTTTCTATCTTTTCTTTTTCTTTTGCCGTGCGAACCATCGATGTCGGCTCGGAGGCGACTGTGTATGAGAGTGGAGGAAGGCATGCTTCGTACCAACATCAAACAATAGTATCTCAACGCGCGCTGGTCGCCTTCCGTAGCTCGCCTCCTTGCCGTCGCCGTCGGGCAACTCACTGCATGGCATGGACCGCTTCAAGCAGATCGATGCCAGCAACTCGTCCATCGGCGCACTCCTCTTCCACGATGAAGAGGTAGTCAGCTTGCAAGACAGCATCGGGCTGTACGACGGCAAAGAGAAGACCCTTCATCAAAACAATGGCACTGTCTATCTCACCTCACATCGTCTTCTCTATGTCGATGACCTCGAACCACATCGCTATTCGTGCAGCTTGGATCTTTCGCTCGTCAAGCAGAGCGAGTACTACGCTGGATTCCTCAAAAGCAGTCCCAAGATCACCCTCACCCTAGCCAAGCCAGAGACGAGCGGCGATGGTTCCAGCGAGAATCCACAAACTCGGCCAAATGCTTCCTCTCCACAAACGGATTCGCCTCGACTAAGTGCGACATCGAGCAGGGACTGGAGAATCAACGCTTCAGCTGCCGACTCCTCGGCTTCGGACGCAGCAGGGTCCAATTGGGTCTGTGCTATCTGTGGCTTCAGCAATGCTGCGAGCAGAGGCTCATGCGAGCTGTGCGGCGTCACCAAGGAACCTGCTCGACCTATGGCAACGCGGTCGCCTCTCCCACCAAAATCACTACTGCCCGAGGCAACAAGACCAGATCCCTTCACCAGCCCAGCCAAGGCGCCTCCAACGGATACAACCGACTCTACATCCCAATTAGCAGATTCAAAAAGCAAAAACGGCCTAGCTTGCGACGTCTGCACGTTTTTCAACCATCCCTCGATGAACAAGTGCGAAATGTGTGGCTCCGACCTCGGTCGCGAATGGCGCAAAAGCTCATCTCCTGCGGCTTCCACAACTTCACTCACAACGCCGAGCACCCCAGCACGCAAAAGCACAGAGGCAGATGCACTGTCAATACGCAACAGCACTGCAACCAGCAGATCTTCCACACCAGCTTCAGCCAATGTACTCACCCCAACCGATTCTGTGAAGCTTAGCTTCCGCAAAGGAGGCGACAAAGCTTTCTACAACCTGCTCAAATCCACATTACAAGCAAAAGCATGGGCGACCGGTGCCAAGAACGTGAACTCAGGCGGGTCTGGTGGATCATCGGCCAACGAGGGCCGTGCCCTCCGTGTTGCAGCAGGCATGGTTGATCTCGATGGTCGATCAGCAGCGCTCAAGCGAGTCGGCATTGATGGCATCCTTTCGTCTGTCGACTCGACCAGTCGCGCTCAGAATGATGACATGCAAGGAGCGCTCAAAGATCTCGAAGCGCTTATGCGAAAAGCCAAGCAGATGGTCGACTTCGCCGAATCACTCAATGCCAAGCTCACCAAGCAAGAACAGGCCGCGGCTGCAGCTCGTCAAGCAGGCTTTCCCGACACTGCGCCACAACCGGATCAGGAAGCAGCTACACTCATTCGATCTTCTCTTGTACAGCTGGGTCTTCCAGCGCCTGCTGTGACAGCTGACATGGCTAGAGATCAGGAAGAATATCATCGCGAGCTTGCTCGTGAGCTCGCAGGTTTACTTCTCGGCAATCCTTCTGGCGGTCAGCGGTCAGGCTTAATGGGCTCAGGAAAGATCGCCGCAAAGGGAAAAGGTAAGGATTCACTGCCACGAGTCTCTGATGACGGAATGAAGGGGAGAGGCCTGATAGGCTTGGATGAAGTATGGTGTGTTTGGAACAGAGCACGTGGTGTTGCTCTCATTCCACCACAAGCATTGCGCTCGGCAGCTGCATTCTTGCCCGATATCACATCGCCCTCAGTGCGCATCAAGACATTCAAGTCCGGTCTGTCGGTATTACATACACCGAGGTACAGTGACGACGCATTTGCTTCACGTATCTTGCACTTCCTCGACACACTAGAGTGGGAGCACAAGATGAAACGCATCGAACAGGCACAATCACTTCGAATTTCGGACAAGAGTAACGGAACAACAGCGAACCAAGAGTCGGCTTCGCCGGAAGAGGCGAGCTATGGCGACAATCTGTCACCTTGGGGTTCGGGAGCATCGATACTGGAGATTGCGGAGAAGGAAGACGTGCCCATCTTGTTGATTAACGAGATGATGGACATGATCGAGGCTACGACTGGAATGGTTGTGCGTGATGACGGAGGTCCTAATGGTACAAGGTGGTTCGTGAACTACTTCTCGAGGGTGTAAGCATATGATCAAGCAGGAGCGGTGCTTAGCTTCAGCTGTAAATTGATGTGGACATGTGCTTCACTACGCATCTGCGCGCCAACCTGCATCTATACTTCCAGCTGCGCCTGTGTCCCAGGTTTTGGCTGTTCCCCAGATCGACCCTGCTCTTCGGTCTGCACCTGCTGATCCGCTTGCACTTTCTGCTCGGTCTGCGTTGGTGGGTCTGTCTGCACTTGTTTATCGATCTTCACACGTGGTCGTGTTTCCGCCTGAAGTCCAGCTTTCATCTGTCAAGGACACATTGAACAAAGTAAGCAAGGTCAGTCAAGGCTCGTTGCAGACCACATCAGGATGCTACTCACCCTTGCAAACACGCGATCGACGCACACGTCGATGATTTTTTTTTTTCGGGATCTTCCTCAAGAAATTCGGAAGGATTGAGGCGGGAGGTTTCACCGGACTGACTCCAGTGTCCTGTCCAGTAAACGATATCTCGGCGGAGGATGCCATAGAATTCACCCTCTCTATCGTTGAAAACAGGGTTCCTCATTGTACGGAAAACGTTTTTCTGGGTCTGCCGGCTGGGCTTGTCTTTCCAGCCCCAGTCAGCGAGCCAAATTGCAAAGTAGTGGACCGTATGATATCATTGAACCACTTGACTGTTAGTGGACGCCTGTCAATCGCGGTCGAAGTTTCCTCCCTCATGTCATCGTGCCTTTGCCTCTTGCCGCCAATGGCTCGACTGTCGGTTGAGTCGCCTGCGTCACCCTCAGGGCTTTCACCGTTCTGATGCATGCCCGTAGTAGCATTGAGGACAGCATCAGCCCCCATGCTCATGGCCGAGAACTGCTGGTGAGCTTCTACCCCCTCGTTATCTCCCTCAACATCCTGTTTCGAGCTGCCAATAATCTCACGCTTGACCATGGCTGAAGAAGTGGGCCATACGTCTGCTGAAGAACTGGCTCAACGAGAGCTGATATTTCTTCGTAGGAGCAACTCGGCTGAGGTTAGCCTCTGTAAACGGTGGCTTTAATTGATTGTTACAGTCGGGAGAAGGTAGAGGCCGCTTGAGAAAGTGGCGGAAGCGCCAAGATCGTGGAAAGAAGGCGAACAGGTACGTTCTGTTAGGAGGTAACGGGCATATCGGCTCGTTGAGACCGGTGACCCGACAATGCACCGACATACCGGCTAAGTAGATGTTCAAGGAGGAAGAAGGTAGTTTCCCGTTGTGTTCCATGCACTGTTGTAGATATATAAGAAGTGGCACTTGAAGGAGGGGGTATCGACATACACCGGGAGTCCGATGAACGGTCTTTCACGGGACGGCCGACGAAGGTTCGCACGATGATAAGCTTCATCGGGTCCTCCGTCAAGTAGTCCCCGTTAAAGTGATCGGCGTACCCGACAGGACGGCCGACAACTTTTCTCACGATGATAAGACTTGTCGGGCTCTCTGTCGGGTGGTCTCCGATGATCAGATCGGCGCATCCGACGAGGCGGTGGACAAGTCTCCTTCAGATGATAAGTCTCCGTCGATACTCCTCTTGAGGGCCCTCATGCCCCTCATGCTTCAGACCTCTCTCCTACCTTTCCGTCTGTGTCAAGGTGTATATATAGAGTGCTCGAAGTCGGCTAGTTTGTTTGTGTTGTTATCCATCCCATTGTACTTACTCATCAACGTCGAGTGTTCAATACAACCGTGTCCTGCCACAGTCCACTAGCCTTCCAACAGCACTTATTTAATAGTCCCTGTAGAAAGAACCATCCATCTGTACTTACGTTCGTCGTCGTCACGTGTAATCTGTTGAAGGATGTCGCCTTGCGTAGCTATGGTTTGGACAAGCTGGTTTTAGGTTTTGGACAATGGGAGAATGGTGTATTGACATGACTATCTACATGAATGAGTGCAACTATTTATGTTTGCTGGATGCAGGTGGGACATGCTGGTTGAGGAGCCCCAAGCCCCTCAACCCCTATTGCAATGCAGGGATGCATTATGAGGAGGCCCATCCCCTTGACCCCTATATCAGCAATATTGGCAGGTGCCACTGATACGAGGTCAGGTCGACCTCCAACACTCCTCCTATTGGTGGCTAGCCTACTTGGTAATGACACCCAAGTCCTTGCATGACTTGTGTCATGGGCCTGAATGCTCAAGAAGCAGGAGGGTCACTGGTTCATATGGAAGGAGCACAGGTATCAAAGATCTAGTCAATACCATTAGAGAGCATGGTCGTAGTGCAGTCTCCATGGAGACCATGGACTCCTATGGACTCACATGCAAAGGAGCACTGAGCCCATATGCGAGGAGGGCCAGGCACAGCCACAAAGAGGACCAAGCTCAAGGAGCATGCAGATGGTCACCACTCAGGGGGCTCGAGAGACAAGAGTCAAAGGAACCGTCACTGGTCAAAGGAGAAGGAGCAGTGTATAGGGAACTGGCAAGCAGGTCCTGAGGAGGAGGAGCAGTGTTGAAGGAGTCGACACAGCTCAAGAGGCACAGGGGTGCCAAGCAAGCAGGAGAGGCCCCCTGAACAGTACTCGATGAAGAAGGTACTCTCTGGAGAGAGAGCAGGAGCAGCATCACTGGCGATGCTGTGAAGAGGTATATAACCATGCTTTCTCATCATCATAGGTTGAGTGGATCCTCATCCACTCTACTCACCATAACTAGTTATCACTTCAGCATAAGTATATATTAGTTTCAGTCAGCATAGCAGCAATCTATCAAGGCTGCTCCTCATCATAGTGTGTGTGTTGTATCACCACTACCTGACATCCGAAGGTGCCCATAGCAGGTTAGCAGTCCAGATCAAGATAGAACTGAAGGCAGTAGTCCACTGCGGTCTGGGGATCACTTCAAGCATCAAGTCAACACACTGGACACTCGTGTTGATGCCACAAACCTTATCACCAACACCATCAACCTCATTATCATCAACACTCACCAACCTTATCACCAACATCATCAACCTCATCACCATCAACACTCACACCAGACCTTGGTGTCATCATAACCGAAGCATTGATATTGATCATGCCGAGCTACCCCTGAATGGAGTGTCCACAGAGGTCAGCCGAAACCTATGATAGTATATACAATGAATGCCACCTGCTGTCATCATGCAACTTGATAGTTGCCAAACAACTAGCTTGTTGAGACCAATACTGAGACAATAGCTGTCACACAGTTTGATAGTCACCGAGTATCTCGACAGACCGACCTGGGTTTCAGGCGCGAGACCCCTGACACTACTATGCTGACTGAAACTAATATATACTTATGCTGAAGTGATAACTAGTTATGGTGTGTGTAGAGTGGATGAGGATCCACTCGACCTTTGATGATGAGAAAGCATGGTTATATACCTCTTCACAGCATCGCCAGTGATGTTGCTCCTGCTCTCTCTCCAGAGAGTACCTTCTTCATTGAGTACTGTTCAGGGGGCCTCTCCTGCTTGCTTGGCACCCCTGTGCCTCTTGAGCTGTGTCGACTCCTTTGACACTGCTCCTCCTCCTTGCTATCTGTCATGGGCCTGGATGCTCAAGAAGCAGGAGGGTCACTGGTTCATATGGACGGAGCACAGGTATCGAAGACCTAGTCGATACCAGTAGAGAGCATGGTCGTAGTGCAGTCTCCATGGAGACCATGGACTCCTATGGATTCACATGCAAAGGAGCACTGAGCCCATATGCGAGGAGGACCAGGCACAGCCACGAGGAGGACCAAGCTCAAAGACCAGGCACAGCCACGAGGAGGACCAAGCTCAAAGAGCAGGCGCAGCCACGAGGAGGACCAAGCTCAGATGGTTACCACTCAGGGGCTCGAGAGACAGGAAGTCGACACAGGTCATGAGGAGGAGGAGCAGTGTCGAAGGAGTCGACACAGGTCATGAGGAGGAGGAGCAGTGTCGAAGGAGTCGACACCACTCAAGAGGCACAGGGGTGCCAAGCAGGAGAGGCCCCTGAGCAGTATTCGATGAAGAAGGTACTCTCTGGAGAGAGAGCAGGAGCAGCATCGCTGGCGATGCTGTGAAGAGGTATATAACCATGCTTTCTCATCATCATAGGTCGAGTGGATCCCCATCCACTCTACTCACCATAACTAGTTATCACTTCAGCATAAGTATATATTAGTTTCAGTCAGCATAGCAGCAATCCATCAAAGGTTGCTCCTCATCGTAGTGTGTGTGTTGTATCACCACTACCTGACGTCCGAAGGCGCCCATAGCAGGTTAGCGGTCCGGATATAGATAGAACCGAAGGCAGTAGTCCACTGCGGTCCGGGGATCACTTCAAGCATCAAGTCAACACACTGGACACTCGTGTTGACGCCACCAATCTCATCACCAACACCATCAACCTCATCATCATCAACACTCACACCAGACCTTGGTGTCATCATAACATTGATATTGATCGTGCCGAGCTACCCCTGAACGGAGTGTCCACAGAGGTCAGCCGAAACCTACGATAGTATATACAACGAACGCCACCTGCTGTCACTGCACAACTTGATAGTCACCGATACCGAGACAATAGCTGTCACACAGTTTAATAGTCACCGAGTATCGCGACAGACCAACCTGGGTTTCAGGCGCGAGACCCCTGACATTAGAGTGGATCGTTCAAGCAGCTCCTCACGATCACCATGACGGACCCAGACCTCAACAATAAGCTCGATAGACTACTCACTCTATTGGAAGCACAGCTAGAGCTTACCAGACAGGGTCATCGAGAGGAACGATTACAACGAGCTCAACTGAGCAGGGAGGAGACAATGGACCTCTCTCACTCAGAAGACCAAGCAGGAGGAGGAGATGAGTCTATGATAGGAGACCCACATACTCCTACTCCAGCTCCACGACCAAGACGATCAGTCTCATTCAACCTGGATGAGCAGGAGGACATCAACTATGAGAAGTATGCTTCACCTACTGGGCCAAGATATGTCAAGACTAAGCTGGACCCCTACAGCAGGACTAGGACGGACCCTTACCCCCTGGACCATGAGGAGGATACCAGCATCATGGCAGAGCTTAACCGGTCAAAGCCCATCGCCACCCCCTTTCCAAAGTTCAATCCCCGAGACATGGAGATCTTCATTCTAGAAGCCGAAGCATGGTTTAAGTTCAACCAGGTGTATGAGCAGTCTAGGATGATCAATCACATGGGTGCTCAACTGGAAGGGACAGCAAGAGAGTGGTGGACCTCCAAGCTCCGTATTGATAGAGCTAGAGAAGGAAGGTTGTTCAATGATTGGCACTACTTCACAGAGCGACTGTCAGAGCAGTTCAACCCACGCAATGCTAGGATGGAGGCATACAACAAGCTGTTGGCTCTCAGACTCACAAGTGATGCTCCTGGTGCTGCCACACGTCATGTAGAGCGGTTCAGAGACTTGGAAGGACAGGTCAACCTAGATGACAATGAGCTAGTGATTGATCTCTTCAGAGGTAGTCTCACTCGTAGCATACAGGAGAAGTTCGAGAGGAATCCACCTGGGAAGAGATGGGAGTGGTATCGAGAGGTTGAGGAGATCGATCGACAGAGGATGCTACTACAGCAGTCCTCGGCTAGACACTCACTTCCAAATGCCACGTCACCTCCACTAAGAACTGGGTCTCGGCCAAATCAAAGTTCGATCCCCACCCGACAACCCACTCAACCTTATCCAGCTCGATCACCATCACAAGCAACTACACAAGCAACTATACAAAACCTAAACCGACCCCTTCCTCATCATCCCACCCAACCCTTGAAGCAAGAAAGCCCTGCTCCATCAGGTATCAACACCTGTCATGTATGCAAAGGTATCGGCCATTGGGCCAGAGACTGCCCCAGCAGGAGGGTAAACCCTCTTAGCTCTCGACCCATGGGACCAAAGGTTATGGTCACCACAGCAGACCCCTTCGAGGAGGCCACCGACTCAGGAGATGGCCACACAGGCAGTACTGAGACGGGTGACCCCGAGGCCATGGACCTCAGCTCATACCAGCAACCCATGGACCCCGATCACGAGGAGGAGCACGATGATGATGACGATGAGGGAAACGTCAGTGGGGTGATGCACTGATGGCATGCATTGCTCTACAAACCTCCTCGCCATCACTCTGTATATATCAAGATTGTCAAGTATGTTTCTCTACCAGTGGAGGCAAAGCAGTACTGGAGCTCTCTGGAATGGTTCAAGACCATCCTGCTCGGATACTAGCTGATACCGGTGCTGGTTTGTCCATAGTCTCAGATTCTTTCATTAGTAAGTACCAAATACCCACAAAACCCATAAAAACAAGATCGATCCATGGTGTCACCGGGCACCAACTCTCCATCAATAGTTCTGCGAGCATGCAGGTATCTATTGGTACGCACAATCTGGGTGTGGTCGAAGCTTCAGTGGCCGACACTGCGGACTATGACCTCATCCTGGGGTTCACTGAGCTACGGAGGCTCAAACCCACCATACAATGGGATACGGGCCAGCTGGAGTTCAAGACTCAGGAGCAGGACCGACCCCCTAGGAGACCCCCTGAAGCAGCAAGAGCAGGGGACCTAACCATGAAGAGACCAACCCTTCATGGTAACGAGTTTGTCTCAGCAGAGCGCATACTACGAGCAGCTCTGGAAGATGGACCCATAGGGTTCATGCTGTTAGAGGAGCCACCATCATCACTCCCGGCCTTTGGTTTTGTACCTACAGGCGCAGACAAAGGAGTCGAGATGGAGGTGGAGGTAGATAAGGTGGTGACGGCTGCAGACATACCAAAGCCATACCAACACCTGCGAGATGTGTTTGATGAGGTGGAAGCAGACAAGCTGCCCCATCATACCGAGCATGATCTCCACCTCGAGTTGATAGAAGGAGGGAAGCCACCTCAAGGGCCCCTATACCTTAAGGGACCCAAGGAGATGTCCGAGTTGAGGAGGTACTTGGATGAGAACCTCGAGAAGGGGTTCATAAGACCATCGAAGAGCCCGGCACGATCACCAGTGCTCTTCGTACCAAAGAAGGATGGAGGTCTCAGACTCTGTGTGGACTACAGAGGTCTCAACGAGATCACTGTCAAGAACAGGGCACCATTGCCCCTCATCGAGGAGCAGCTGTTCTTACTCAGGAAGGCAAGGATCTATACCAAGCTAGACCTTAGAGCAGCATACAACCTCATCCGGATTGCTAAAGGAGATGAATGGAAGACAGCTTTTGGCACTCAGTTGGGACTCTATGAGTACCTAGTGATGCCCTTTGGCCTAGCCAATGCTCCGGCTCACTTCCAGTCATTCATCAATGACATCTTCCGAGACATCATTGGAGTATATGTAGTGGTATACTTAGATGACTTCCTGATCTTCAGCGACACTGAAGAGGTACATGTGAAGCATGTCACCGAGGTCCTCACTCGCTTAAGGAGCAACAGGCTCTTTGCTAAGCTGTCGAAGTGTGAGTTCCACACCAAGACAGTCGAGTTCCTGGGGTACATCATCAAGCCAACGGGCATAGAGATGGACCCAGAAAAGGTGCACACTGTCAAGGAGTGGCCAATGCCAGAGTCAATCCATGACATCCAGAGGTTCCTGGGTTTTGCCAACTTCTATCGAAGGTTCATAGCCCACTTTGCTCGCATAGCCAAGCCCTTGACAGCACTGGTAAAGCCTATAGAACGGTTCAAGAAGTTCGAGCTACCAGAGGAGGCCCAACAGGCCTTCCACAAGCTCATCCAGGCCTTCACATCAGCAGGAGTGCTTCAGCACTTCGACTACCACCTTCCAACAAGGTTGGAGACTGATGCAAGTGACTTTGCTATAGCAGGAGTGCTCAAGCAGGAGCATGAAGGACGATGGCATCCAGTGGCCTTCTACTCTAGGAAGATGTCTTCTGCCGAGAAGAACTATGAGATCCATGATAAGGAGCTCCTAGCTGTGGTCGCCTGCCTCACTCAGTGGCGACACATGCTAGCTGGACTACCGAACCAACTGGTCATCCTCACTGACCATGAAGCCCTCAAGTACTTCAAGTCACAGAGACGCATCACAGGTCGACAGGCTCGATGGGCCATACTACTAGCAGACTTCGACTTCATATTGCAGTATCGACCAGGAGACAAAGGTGGTGAACCCGATGCTCTCACCAGAAGGACAGACATGCAACCAGCTGGTGAAGAGCAGGATCACAATGTGAGGCAACTACTGCCTCCTCGAGTGTTCAAGGAGACAGCAGACCATGACTCGCTCCTAGTGGCCCCCATGATCTCGATGGAGTCCATAGCATCAAAAGGTCTCAAAGACCTGGTCAAGATCTTCCAGCCTTTAGACCAAGAGCTACAGGAGATACATAGGAAGAAGCCTTTCGAACTCAAGGATGACCTATGGTACAGTGGAGGAAGGTTGGTTATCCCCAAGGTGATCATGCCAGGGAGGACCAACAACCGACACTCAAGGAGTGCCAAAGAGGTAGATGGACAGTCTCTCTCTGTAGAGCATCTGCGATTCATGGTGATGACCCAATGTCATGATGGTATCACTGCTGGACACGTAGGAAGAGATGCTAGCTGTCAGGGGTCTCGCGCCTGAAACCCAGGTCGGTCTGTCGAGATACTCGGTGACTATCAAACTGTGCGACAGCTATTGTCTCGAGATACTCGGTGACTATCAAGTTGTGCAGTGACAACAGGTGGCGTTTGTTATATATACTATCGTAGGTTTCGGCTGACCTCTGTGGACACTCCGTTCAGGGGTAGCTCGGCACGATCAATATCAATGCTATGATGACACCAAGGTCTGGTGTGAGTGTTGATGATGATGAGGTTGATGGTGTTGGTGATGTCGATGATAATGAGGTTGATGGTGTTGGTGATAAGGTTGGTGGCGTCAACACGAGTGTCCAGTGTGTTGACTTGATGCTTGAAGTGATCCCCGGACCGCAGTGGACTACTGCCTTCGGTTCTATCTATATCCGGACCGCTAACCTGCTATGGGCGCCTTCGGACATCAGGTAGTGGTGATACAACACACACACTACGATGAGGAGCAACCTTGATAGATTGCTGCTATGCTGACTGTAACTAATGAGTACTTGTGTTTCTAAAGTATTGACTAGTTGTATGGTGAGTAGAGTGGATGGGGATCCACTCGACCTATGATGATGAGAAAGCATGGTTATATACCTCTTCACAGCATCGCCAGCGATGCTGCTCCTGCTCTCTCTCTCCAGAGAGTACTTTCTTCATCGAGTACTGCTCAGGGGCCTCTCCTGCTTGGCACCCCTGTTCCTCTTGAGTGGTGTCGACTCCTTCGACACTGCTCCTCCTCCTCATGACCTGTGTCGACTTCCTGTCTCTCGAGCCCCTGAGTGGTAACCATCTGCATGCTCCTTGAGCTTGGTCCTCCTCGTGGCTGTGCCTGCTCCTTGAGCTTGGTCCTCCTTGTATGTGGCTCGGTTCTCCTTTGCATGTGAATCCATAGGAGTCCATGGTCTCCATAGAGACTACACTACGACCATGCTCTCTACTGGTATCGACTAGGTCTTCGATACCTGTGCTCCTTCCATATGAACCAGTGACCCTCCTGCTTCTTGAGCATCCAGGCCCATGACACTACCCCCCTCTTAAGAGCCGAGCTCCGTCGAGGCATGCTCTGGTCTGGTTCATGCTGACTCCTCCTCTTCTTCGACACATTGCCCTCGTCATCCTTCCTCCTTCTCCCAACGTCATCCTCCTCTCTCTACTCCTCCTGTTCTCTCCTCCTTTCTCTACTTTGTCTACTCACTCGTCCCCCCTCCGACACCTCATACTCCTGGATGAGGTCGGGACAGTTGAGGTTCCCTACTGGTTCCCATGAAGCAGCTTCTTCTGAGTACCCTCTCCACAACACCTTGTACTCTGTAGTCCCATTGTGTGAACGCTTGTCGATGAGTGCTTCGACTTCAAAGTCGAGGTCCTCATCTGGAAGTGATGGTATGGTGGGCTGTTCAGCACGTTGAGGAAGAGCACTTGTTCTTGCTGGCTCGAGCATGGAGACATGGAACACATCATGCACCCTAAGGTATGCTGGCAATGTGATTCGATAAGCTCGGCGTCCTACCCGTTCCTGAACTGGGTAGGGTCCTGCAAACCGGGTGTCTAACTTGGGTGTGGGTCTCCTTGTCTTCCAGTTTCGACGGTTGATATAGACCATATCACCCACCTTAAACTCGATATCCTTGTGCTTCCTGTTATACTGGTCTACTGATCTCCGTTGTGCCTCTCTGATCTGCTCCTGGAGGTACTTGCAACGCTCCTTTCCATCCATGAGGTACTCGAAGCGACCTGGATCATTGACTCCTAGTCGTTGAGGGATGTCAGGATGAGCTTTGGGGTTCCATCCATAGCATGCAAAGAATGGTGAGACACCAATGCTGTTGTGGACCGTGTTGTTGTATACAAAGGCCGCAGTGTCCAGCAGGTTGGCCCAGTCATTCTGCTCATAGTTGCAGTACATCCTGAGATATTGCTCTATGACCTGATTGACTCTCTCTGTCTGACCATCAGTTTGAGGATGGTAAGCCGTGCTAAGTGAGTGCTTCACACCCATTTGCTCTGCAAATGCCTTCCATGCTCCTGATATGAACTGCCTGCCTCGGTCCGAGACCATGTGATCTGGATATCCAAAGAGTCTAACCATGTGTCCATATAGCAATACTGCAGTCTGTTTGGCTGTGACTGTCTTATGGGTTGGAGCTAGTATGGCAAACTTGGTTAACCTGTCGACGATGACTAGGATAGAGTCATAGGTCTTGGAGTCATACTTCTTTGATGGTGGTAGTCCTTCAATGAAGTCGAGGGATATGGAGCCCCAGGGCCTGTCTGGGGTTGCTAGTGGCTGTAGCAAACCATATGGACGATGACGAGGAGCTTTGTACCTAGCACATACAGGACAACTTGCTACATAGTCTGCAATCCAAGCTGTCATGTTTGGCCACCAGTAATGTCGTTGAGCTGCCTTGATGGTAGCATCTCTTCCTACGTGTCCAGCAGTGATACCATCATGGCATTGGGTCATTACCATGAATCGCAGATGCTCTACAGAGAGAGACTGTCCATCTACCTCTTTGGCACTCCTTGAGTGTCGGTTGTTGGTCCTCCCTGGCATGATCACCTTGGGGATAACCAACCTCCCTCCACTGTACCATAGGTCATCCTTGAGTTCGAAAGGCTTCTTCCTATGTATCTCCTGTAGCTCTTGGTCTAAAGGCTGGAAGATCTTGACCAGGTCTTTGAGACCTTTTGATGCTATGGACTCCATCGAGATCATGGGGGCCACTAGGAGCGAGTCATGGTCTGCTGTCTCCTTGAACACTCGAGGAGGCAGTAGTTGCCTCACATTGTGATCCTGCTCTTCACCGGCTGGTTGCATGTCTGTCCTTCTGGTGAGAGCATCGGGTTCACCACCTTTGTCTCCTGGTCGATACTGCAATATGAAGTCGAAGTCTGCTAGTAGTATTGCCCATCGAGCTTGTCGACCTGTGATGCGTCTCTGTGACTTGAAGTACTTGAGGGCTTCATGGTCAGTGAGGATGACCAGTTGGTTCGGTAGTCCAGCTAACATGTGTCGCCACTGAGTGAGGCAGGCGACCACAGCTAGGAGCTCCTTATCATGGATCTCATAGTTCTTCTCGGCAGAAGACATCTTCCTAGAGTAGAAGGCCACTGGATGCCATCGTCCTTCATGCTCCTGCTTGAGTACTCCTGCTATAGCAAAGTCACTTGCATCAGTCTCCAACCTTGTTGGAAGGTGGTAGTCGAAGTGCTGAAGCACTCCTGCTGTTGTGAAGGCCTGGATGAGCTTGTGGAAGGCCTGTTGGGCCTCCTCTGGTAGCTCGAACTTCTTGAACCGTTCTATAGGCTTTACCAGTGCTGTCAAGGGCTTGGCTATGCGAGCAAAGTGGGCTATGAACCTTCGATAGAAGTTGGCAAAACCCAGGAACCTCTGGATGTCATGGATTGACTCTGGCATTGGCCACTCCTTGACAGTGTGCACCTTTTCTGGGTCCATCTCTATGCCCGTTGGCTTGATGATGTACCCCAGGAACTCGACTGTCTTGGTGTGGAACTCACACTTCGACAGCTTGGCAAAGAGCCTGTTGCTCCTTAAGCGAGTAAGGACCTCAGTGACATGCTTCACATGTGCTTCTTCAGTGTCACTGAAGATCAGGAAGTCATCTAGGTATACTACCACATATATCCCAATGATGTCTCGGAAGATGTCATTGATGAATGACTGGAAGTGAGCCGGAGCATTGGCTAGGCCAAAGGGCATCACTAGGTACTCATAGAGTCCCAACTGAGTGCCAAAAGCTGTCTTCCATTCATCTCCTTTAGCAATCCGGATGAGGTTGTATGCTGCTCTAAGGTCTAGCTTGGTATAGATCCTTGCCTTCCTGAGTAAGAACAGCTGCTCCTCGATGAGGGGCAATGGTGCCCTGTTCTTGACAGTGATCTCGTTGAGACCTCTGTAGTCCACACAGAGTCTGAGACCTCCATCCTTCTTTGGTACGAAGAGCACTGGTGATCGTGCCGGGCTCTTCGATGGTCTTATGAACCCCTTCTCGAGGTTCTCATCCAAGTACCTCCTCAACTCGGACATCTCCTTGGGTCCCTTAAGGTATAGGGGCCCTTGAGGTGGCTTCCCTCCTTCTATCAACTCGAGGTGGAGATCATGCTCGGTATGATGGGGCAGCTTGTCTGCTTCCACCTCATCAAACACATCTCGCAGGTGTTGGTATGGCTTTGGTATGTCTGCAGCCGTCACCACCTTATCTACCTCCACCTCCATCTCGACTCCTTTGTCTGCGCCTGTAGGTACAAAACCAAAGGCCGGAAGTGATGATGGTGGCTCTTCTAACAGCATGAACCCTATGGGTCCATCTTCCAGAGCTGCTCGTAGTATGCGCTCTGCTGAGACAAACTCGTTACCATGAAGGGTTGGTCTCTTCATGGTTAGGTCCCCTGCTCTTGCTGCTTCAGGGGGTCTCCTAGGGGGTCGGTCCTGCTCCTGAGTCTTGAACTCCAGCTGGCCCGTATCCCATTGTATGGTGGGTTTGAGCCTCCGTAGCTCAGTGAACCCCAGGATGAGGTCATAGTCCGCAGTGTCGGCCACTGAAGCTTCGACCACACCCAGATTGTGCGTACCAATAGATACCTGCATGCTCGCAGAACTATTGATGGAGAGTTGGTGCCCGGTGACACCATGGATCGATCTTGTTTTTATGGGTTTTGTGGGTATTTGGTACTTACTAATGAAAGAATCTGAGACTATGGACAAACCAGCACCGGTATCAGCTAGTATCCGAGCAGGATGGTCTTGAACCATTCCAGAGAGCTCCAGTACTGCTTTGCCTCCACTGGTAGAGAAACATACTTGACAATCTTGATATATACAGAGTGATGGCGAGGAGGTTTGTAGAGCAATGCATGCCATCAGTGCATCACCCCACTGACGTTTCCCTCATCGTCATCATCATCGTGCTCCTCCTCGTGATCGGGGTCCATGGGTTGCTGGTATGAGCTGAGGTCCATGGCCTCGGGGTCACCCGT